ACAATAGAAAAGTGATAGAATGTACCATAGGTATTGTAATAAGATAAATTTGTTAATATTTAATATTTATAGACAAGAGTAGCAATAAAATAATTTAAAAAATAATGCTAACAACCAAAGGTACACAAATGTTTATTGAAAACTTGCTTAAAGAAATCGTGCGTGGTTTGGTCTAGTTTTTTTATGTAATTTTAAGTACAATTTAGATTTATGAACCGTATGGATAAAAATTACAAATTTGAAAATTATAGTTGGTATATAAAAGAACCGATGAAGAACTACTATTGGACATTTTCCAACGGCGGTCTCGTTCTCGCACCTCTCAGCTCATAAGGGTAAGTGTGCGTGAAGGGGGTGACTGACCGGGTGTCCAGGGACTGATATACAGTTGTCGCAGTTAGTCTGGGCGCGCTGACCCTTGTGTACTAAACCGTCCCTTACGCCAAAGCCATGAGACAGCGCTGAGGCGCTGAACAACACCAGAGAGCCGTGTGGGCCAGATGTTTTTTGGAAATGAGCAATAAACACCCCTCTACACCCCCCGCCATAGCGCGGCCGCGCGCCCAGGCTGGCTGCGACTACTGTACTTTGCTAAATAAAATAGATTAATTGTACTGTCATTTCACCTGACCTTGAGTCACTAGCCTCACCACTATACTATTATGCTTTCGCTTTCATCATTCATGCCCACCTACATAAGGGTGTCCCTTCATGCGTCTTCATTCATACCAAAGATAATAAACAACTGCAATAGCTCTATCACCAGGTTAGGAGTGTTATGACCCTACTTGGAGGGTAGGGATGGATGACAAACACAGAGCAGTTTACGTTTGAAAGCAAAATGCATATATTAAACTAAACATACAATATTATAACACCCAACATGTAATATTAGGTTAAGCTGTTGGATATATAACAATAGTGGTTTTCATTACTAGTCTTGAAAGTGACTTATTGCGGTGAGTGTTTTCGCAGTGATGAAAATAACATTAATTACCTATATACAAACTATACTATCTTAATTGAAAGTAGATAAATCCCTTATTACATTCACTCAAACATGTTCTACGGATAATATCAATAGAAGTATTTTAAATACAAAACTATTGATATTACGAAATAGCCTTGCAAACTATATAATTAAAACATAAAACCAAATACAGAAGGTATCAAAAAGAAAAGAACATGTAGGACAAAGAAAATTGATACCCAATAATTATGCTTTGAGTTCGTAAACTATATCCAAACTATGATTTGCTTAATTATTTATTTGGCTAAAATAATTTACTTACCGCAACTTCTTACCCACTCTTGAGAGAGGTGTTTAGGAAATCTGAACATTCGCAAGTCCTTTTTCTTCTTATACGAATTCTTGCACTTTCTGTAACTACAAACTGTCGTAGTCGTTCTCTCCATGTCGACGTTAACTGAATTACTGAATGGCACAACTGACGAAGAAAGTGTACAGCAGCGCGGCGGTGGTCGTGCCAATAAACATTTTTTGTCTAAGGGTAGAGTTGGAGCTTGTCGGCAAGACTGTGGCGATAAACACTCGTTTCTACCAAGAAAATCCTAATACATTTTTAGGAAGTTAGCAATGTTTGTTTTTCAGTATTTTTACCAAATTCTATTTGGCATGTGCACTAGTAATATCAGCTATAACACAAATTACCACCCTTAATGTAATTTGGTGTATAGCTTTAACTATACTGCAAATTTAACGGCAAATTTACATAATTTGAGTAGATGCTAATTTTGATTTCCACAGGACATTCCAGTTCATAAATATATAACATTTCCTATAACTTGTTATATAAAGTAATTATTCTGCATATTTTCTAAAGCATATAGGCTACAATGTTAAATTAATTATTGTAAGCGTAAAATAATTCCCTTAATAATCTCATGATTATCACACAATGGCTAAATTTTTATAAATTATTTAGCTATGAAGAGAAAACTCATTTCATTTAAGCTCTAGGACGCAGAGTGAAGTGTTCGTGCACTGTATACTGTAGCGTATAGCCTGTGACGGGTGCGAGGGCAGGGAATCTCTCCCAGCCGGCTGAGTTGGCCGGTCGACCGACTGAGTTGCACGACATGGCAACCGCGCTTAGTCGGTTTCGAGACTAGCGCCGCCTAGGATCTAGTCGGTTTTTGGGCGAAAAATTGTTAACACATATTAGCATTGCGTGGGGTATCTGTGTCTATACTCCTTTTATCTATGATATTACCAAAAATCCACAAAGGCATAACACCACCGCCAGGAAGGCCCATAGTATCAGGCTGCGGTTCTTTAACGGAACGTATCTCTTCATACGTAGACGCCTATCTACAACCGCTAGTACAAAACTTGGCCTCATATATCAAGGACTCCAATGATTTTTTGCAAAAACTTAACAATGTCAGACAACCACTCCCCGCTAACACTCTCATGGCCACTATTGATGTCACCTCACTCTACACAAACATACCTCATGTCCACGGCCTAACAGCAACAGAAAACTACCTTCAAAACAGACCCAAAGGATCCCTACCCACCACTTCGTTTATAACTCAACTGATAAAATTCATTCTGGAAAAGAACTATTTCCAATTTCAGGACAAACACTTCCTACAGATCAAGGGCACTGCCATGGGTACAAGAATGGCCCCATCTTATGCTAATCTCTACATGGGGAATTATGAAGAAAAGTTTTTGTCTAGCCGTGAACACCTCCCCATCTGCTGGTTTAGATACATTGACGATATTTTCATAATTTGGACCCACGGTGAAGAATCACTACGGAAGTTCCTGGAAGACCTCAACAGTTTTGGACCGCTAAATTTCACCTGGGATTTCTCTGAGACTTCCATCAACTTTTTAGACCTTACAATTCATCTAAGGAACAATAGCCTCACCACATCTATCCACATAAAACCGACCAACCACCAACAATACCTCCATTTTTCTAGTTGTCATCCGAATAACACCAAGAGATCACTTCCTTACAGTCTTGCCCTAAGGGGAAATCGCCTAATTTCAGAACCGAAAGACCGTACACAATACCAAACCCAACTTCAAAAAGCCTTCGAAAACCGAGGCTATCCTAGCACTCTCGTAAAATCTCAGATCCAAGCGGCTCAGAACCCACGTCCAACTACAAAGAAAAATACCAACCATCTTCAAGTAAATTTGATAACCACTTACCACCCTGGCCTGCAACAACTAAACAACCTCCTTAAAACAGGTTTCAAAATCCTAGAGTCCTCCAGCCAAACCAAAAACCTCCTTTCAAGAGCCCCTTCCATAATCTATAGGCAACCCCCAAATTTGAGGAATATGCTAGTCCACCCAAAACTCCCAAATCCATCAAAAATACCATCTGAGAAACCAAGACCGGGCTCATACCCATGCAATGAAAACCGATGTAAATCTTGCCAGATACACCATCCTACAGAAACTTTTACCAGCACATACCATAATAAAAATTACAGAATCCAAGGCCATCATACCTGCAGCTCAGAGAACCTTATCTACCAGCTTCAATGTTCACATTGTCCAGCCCAGTACATAGGCCTAACAACCGAGACTCTCCGAAAACGCATGAACGGCCATCGACATGATGTTAAAACTAGCAAAGAAAAACCAGTTGCACAACATGCCTTATCCCACCAACTTCTATTTGATGACTGTTTCACCATAAAAGCTCTAAAATCATTGCCAAAGAACCAATGCAATAGTTCAATGCTCAGAAGATGGGAATTAGCTTACCAGTTTGTGACCAACTCCAGAACCCCACCTAACCTCAACATTAGATAATATCCTCATATCCTCACCCTCACAGCTAACTCTTAAGTATTTATTTTCATGGACAAAACTAATTTGCTTTTCAATGTACATATTATATGTAAATACAATATTGCAATGTGCCTGCATTTAGTGCTTTGTGCAGTGTCAGTTGGACAACCTGTCAGACATTTTGAATTCAAACTGTGTCATCCTATTTAAACTGTTGTTTTGTAACTACCATCTAGGCCTACTTCTGAAGAAGCCTCTGAAAGAGGCGAAATATTAAGTAAATTATGTGTGTGATTTTATGTGTTCTTTGACTCATCTGCAACCTTTCATCAGGTGAGTTAGCTGTGTCCTCTCCATCCTATATTTATTTATTTAATCCAAGCTAAATGCTTTTTCCTAAAAACATAACCTTAAAGTGACAAATCTTTTCACTCTTTCCTTTACTCCTTTCTTTCCTTAGTGTTACTGTCCAACTATCCTATCCACTATGAACCTATCTTCCTTTTGGCTAAAACAAGCCAAACAACATGCTCTAATTTTTTCCACATTTTCCGGTGAATTTAGCTTGCCATTCAAGCAGTCAGGAAAATGGCGCCCAGCGACCTATACTCACCATTCGGCTAAAAAAATTAACTTTTTTGATTTTTGAATTTTTTTTTCTGTCCTTGTATGTTGCCATTTTTGAGCAGTCGGCAAAATGGCGGGCGGCGACCTATACTCGCCATTCGACCGCAAAGGGTTAAGTAATTAGAAAAATTACCATCACTCAACAATTCATCAACACTATAATATTTTGTTTACAACAAATGAGGCAAGGCTGCTTTTAAAATAAGTTTTGTTAGTTAAATCTTTATATTTTGGTTGCAATTTATTAAACAATTTCTGTCCCATATATATATGTTGGTGTTTTTTCTATTAATTTTAATCGGTGAATCGGAAACTGAAAATTCTTTTTGAAACGAGTTCTACTGTGTAAGAAAATTATTCTGGAGTGTCGATTAAAGTTTCATTGTGCACGGTGAATCTGGTCACAAAAATAAACCATTTGAAATTTCACAAATGTATCTTAAATATTGTATACATTGTGTTTTCCACGTGCAAACAGATGCAGCCTAAGTTACCAGATAGTATTTTCCTTATATTCACATCAATATCAAAGAGTCTACTCTGCGAATCTACCTGGTTATCGTTGCTAACAGATGTTTTGCCGCTTGTGTAGGTGCTGTTCACTTGTCTGAAGCGTAATGACAAGCGTGAGATCAAGGTGGCTCAGCTGGCTGGCAGTGTGGCGGAACACTCTGCGTACCACCATGGTGAGATGTCGCTGATGACTACCATCATCAACCTGGCGCAGAACTTTATAGGCAGCAACAACCTCAACCTGCTACAGCCCATTGGTCAGTTCGGCACCCGGCTGCAGGGAGGCAAGGACGCAGCCAGTCCCAGATATATCTTCACCATGATGAGGTAAGTGATGTGCTTGTTAAATTCATTGTAGGGAGTTTTGGTTCTCTTTTCTTTACATTTCTTGTTTTTTGTCTATCCTGGTATGAGTAATTGGACCCAAAGATTGTAATGGAGCAGAAATGACATAGATCTCATACTGTGATATAAATAAAGTTCAAAAAACAACTGTTGAGTATTTTGTATATTTAGAGTAGATTTTGTGTATTCTGTTGAAGATTTTTAATATGACAGCAATTAATGTAAGTTAGATCCAGTTAGTTTTGTCTATTTTACTAGTGTTATATGAGAAAGTTAAATGTTTGAAAATGATGTGTTTCAGCCCTCTCACAAGGCTCATCTTCCATCCCCATGATGACCCCTTGCTCAAGTACCTCAAAGATGACAACCAGAAGGTAATCATTTTTCCTTGTGTGATTACTTCAATTCCCATTTGTTGGCCCTAATGAAAGTTTTGAATCGCTATATCTTGAAAAATCTCTCTAGGAGTTGAGTTTTCTCCACAAAATCTCTTTTTTTCTTAGTTTTGGTAAGAAAATACTATTAAGACCTGTTTTGCCAGAAGCGACTGGTGAGTCTGATGCTTAGCAATAATCGCTCAGCGTCTATCACTCGGGGCTTTTTTGCCAGAAGCGTCTGTTTCTTGCGATTATTTGATCAGTGAGTGGTTTTCTTTGGCGGCGAAAGGAGTGCTATATGTGATGTGAGATGTAAAAAGCAAATAGAGAGTATTTGTTAGCTGAGGAATTGGATGATCAAGAGATTACAGAAATTTTATGCGAACCCTGGAAAGAAGTACGTTCTATGTTTTTTTCAGGTAACATAAATGGTTATTATAAATTATTTAAAAAATCACCTCCTTTATAGAAAAGCGGGGTGTGCAACCCTCATAGGGTGTGCTGAAATGGCTTCAATCAATTATTCATCATACATTCAACTATCAATTATTCTAATATTTAGTATGTATGCTTCATTATCCTTTGTAGGTTTTATATTTGTTCAATTATAAACTGAGCGTTTTGGTAACATTGGAACACCGCCACAAATATGCGACGTCAGTCTATTTTAATGTGACTAGCCATCGCATATGTGTGTCGCTGGTCCGTGAATGAAAAAGTGTGTACTATTGGGGTAGCAAACATGTTAATCTTTGTCTTCATGCTTTTCTGCTCTCTGGCATTTTGGTAACATATTCTATGAAGAGATTTCCTCTTTTCTGTGGTTGTTTCCAGCCTGTTTAATCTTCCGCTCTGTACTTGGCCAGAATTTATGGATTAGTATGTATTTCTCTAGTGGAGAAGAAAGTCATGTAGATAAATTCTGAAGAGACAAAACCGAGGGGTGACCACAGCACAAATGGCAGAACAAAGTAAAGGCAGATTAGAACAATAAGTTGCACCAGAAGTTGTAATGAAAGTTTATCTTTTAATATGACAGCAATTAATCTGAGTTGGATCGAGTTAGTTTTGTGTATTTTACTAGTGTTTATGAGAAAGTTAAATGTTTGAAAATGTTAACCTTTATGGTGCTTGTCGGTGTGGCAAAATATCTTCTAAGATCTGCATGGCTCTTGGAATAAGAGTAAGTAAATAAATAATCTTCATAATGTTTTCAATAAATATTGTCTACTGTTTTATAGGTAGAGCCAGTGTGGTACTGTCCTGTGATCCCCATGACTCTGGTCAACGGAGCGAGTGGTATCGGAACAGGGTGGATGACCAAGATACCCAACTACAATCCCAGGGAGATAATTCAAGTTCTCAAGAACATGATGAGGGGCGAAGATCCACCTCACTTGGTCAGTACAAAGTCTGGAATAATTGTAATTTACCTATTTCTAAATAATTCTATTTGATTAGTTTCTCAATTTGCATACATAATACAGCGTTTAAAAATCACAACAGCTCTTCAATGAGTGTACATAATGTAGTTTTATTCATCAGACAAAATTTTACAAATATGTTCCTGATCTTTTTAACTTTCATGCAAGTCAAGACAAAAGAACAGCCTTACATTCACTGGTCATCCCCCATAGAACGTTCTCCTTATTCCTCTGGGATAAAACTATACAGAATGTTTGAGAACTCTCCACCTTTTAATGTATCATTCTTAGCAAAATCCTAAAACATCATGTAAAAAAATCCTAAACTCAAAAGTTACCTGTACAGTCGCCAATTTGTTTTTTTCACAAAAACTTTGTTAATGGATAGTTGCATTAATATTTTTCTCAAAATAAGCCATTCCGTTATTAATCTATGTACCAAATACCAATTCAAAAATGTGTTTACCCAATTTGTAACGTAAAATAGTTTGACAATTCATTGTGTAAATGCTTTATTTTTGCCACAGATCCCCTGGTATAAGAACTTCAAGGGAGACATTGAACCGTTTGGTGAAGGCTACATCTGTAGTGGAGAGATCAGAGTGATCAGTCATGATAAGCTAGAGATCACGGAACTGCCTATCGGCACCTGGACCCAGCAATACAAGGAATCTGTGTTGGAGGTGAGCATTGCAAAAAACATTCCATTCACGCAGAATAGGTGCATTGTCAAAACCATACTATGTGCATATATAATATTAAGCATAAAAACTGTAAACTTAATCAGTAAAATAAACTCTTGCAAATCAATGAGCAAAAGTATATTCAGATTTAAAGTGGTGTACAAATTTTCAATTGAATAAAGGTTCTGTTAATGAGTAAGTTATATATTGTGTCTTCATGTATGGAATTATTTTAATAAATATTAATATCCCAAATAAATGTAATCTTAAATCTTATGGGCAATTAGTATGATGATAAAACTATATTGATGTGTGTAGTATTAATAACAGTAATGGTGTTGTAGGTGATGCTTCACGGTGAAGGAGATAAGAAGCCTGCAGTGATCTCCGACTACAAGGAGTACAACACAGACACGACTGTAAGGTTTGTGGTGACTATGCCGGCTGACCGTCTGGTGAAACTGGAGACAGAGGGACTACATCAGGCATTCAAACTGCAGACCACCATCAGCATCACTAGCATGGTCAGCAACACTCCAGGCCAACTTAGCCTCCTTTAATACAAGGCTGTAAAAGAGAGAACTCTAGCACTAATTCATATTGCGCATCTGCACAATGCTAATATATACAAGTGTTTTATTTTTGAGTCATTCAAAATTAAAAAAAATTAAATGGGATTAACATACTCAAACATTTTAGAGGCATGATCGTCAATGTGTAAACCATACATTTGAAGAGGTTTTTATATCAAAGGGCGTAATATAGTCGTAGCATAACAGAACATTTGGCTGATTATTTACATTTGCAATCAAGGAGGGGCTTTGGCGAGTAGGTCGGCGATTGAGGCGGTGCCATAACATTGGGCACAGCCTTGTATTAGAGGAGGCTATGGAGGTAGTTGTGCTTTACTGGAAAAATCTGTTTTATTGTTCCATTAAACTACCACTGGTATCCAAATCCAAAATAAAAATTCATTAAAATAACAAGTATAATTTTAAGTTAGGTTTAGTTAATTATTATTTTTAAGGTAATTCTATGAATAGCTTCATTTTGCTTTGTTTTTATAGTACATTTAACGTCCTATGATATTGTTAAAGTATAGATTTTAGAAATGATATTTGTAAAATTTATCTGTATACATTTTATGCTATTCCTATTCAACACATGTTTCTGTAATTTTGAATGACAAATTATTAGACTTGAATTAAGTATGTAGGGTATAAGCATACAGAATCAAATTAATTGTTATTTACTCTGAAGCAGGTTTGTCTAATGAATTTCTCAACTGATGTTGTTCCAAAGATTTGTTTATCATGTTTGTGTTTCAGTGCTGCTTCGACAGGGACAGTGTGCTGAAGAAGTATGATAGCATCAAGACCATTCTACAGGAGTTCTACAACGTGAGGCTGGAGTACTATGACAAGAGGAAGGCTTGGCTGGAGGGTATGTTGGAGGCCGAGGCAAGGAAACTCTCTAACCAGGCAAGGTATGTACAGATCTCTATAGTAGATTTGGTGTAACAGTTTTTCACTTGTAAAACCATTATATTTTTTTTGTGAAACAACTAACTTTTGTTTTATTTGTATCTAAATTTTAGACATTTCTCTCGGTCCCTAAAACTATCATATTCAATAAATGTGAGTAAAGCGAGTATAATTTTTTGAATAGGGATGTGTCGATTCTCGATACCACCGATACTTAGCCCTTGCTATCGGTATCGGTGTTGAGAAACGATTGTTTAAAGTTAATTCTGATACCCCCCGCACAATCGGCAAATTACCGCTTTAGCCGTGAATGTTCAAGACGACGACGACATTTTCTTGACCGCGTGAGATGATGATGATGTCTACATGGCCGCAGGAGATGTTCATGAGTTTTCCGCGATCGCAGACGACGACAATCACATTTCCATGATCGTGAAAGACAATGATGATGAAGTCTACACGGTTGCAGGAGATGTTTATGTTTATGTTGCTAAGAACACACACCACATAACCCAGTCAAGGTTGCTTTCTCCTCTTCTAACTATCATTAGCCTTAATCATTCTCCCTCATCAACACATAATGTCAGTGACTCCGTTTGGCCACTGACCAGTCTCCTTCAGGCCTGCTCTCTACACCTACTAACCTTTACAAAAGTACTTAAGGTGTTGTCCCATGTCCATAACATCAGTGGATTTTTCACTGTGCATTTCTACACGTTGTATTTTTATTTTTTCATTGTTTTTATTTTTTTAGTTTTGTATTTTGTTGTACGGCTAGCAACAATGTAAAATGTAAATCTCAACCAACTTGCAAATCTTCAACTCTAGCTGGTCATTCCTTCTTCTCCATTATCCTGTGGAATCAGATTTTTAATGCTAAATCAAACACTAAAAATAATCCAAGCACACGAAAAATAAATGTGAGGCCCAAATAAAGTGTAATCATATAAAATATGTCAGTAACCTTTTCTTTTGTGTTACAGGTTTATTGTGGAGAAGTGCGACGGCATATTGACAATTGAGAACAAGAAGAAGAAGGCAATGATCGAGGAGTTGGTGAAGAAGGGGTATGACTCGGACCCAGTGAAAGGGTGGAAGCTGAAACAAGATAGGGAGGCTCTGTTGGTATGTTTAATCACAACTGTTCACTTTAAAATTTCATAATCACCACGCAACGTTTTACAACATAGCATAACTTTAAAAAGTTGTGGTAACGTTCATTTATGATTAATATATTACCTACCCAATCATTTATGGTCAAAAGAATTGTAGGGGTAACTTATATTAAAGTTTGTTCTTGAATTTGTTAATTATAATGTGTTCTAAGTGCCATTCTAGATACACATTTGTTCAGCCTGATAGAATCAGCTAATGGGTTTAACTCCCTAGGAATCGTTTGGATTTGATATAGGAGTTGTAGTGTTACAGTACATTAACACAGATGCTTAAGCCGCAAAATGGAATGAAACTTTTGTTCATGGTATTTAATTTTAGTGACTTCATAATCCATTTCACCTGTAGATAAACACTGGTAGTCCCATTACCCATGTTGACTAATGTTTATTTTTTATTTTGCTTTTCACCTAAGGATGGGGTAAGTAATTCATTCCTACATTAACGTTTAAATCAAAAACAGTTACAACTTAAATGTATAAAACAAATATTTGTGTATTCATTCCAAGAAATATGAGCTTATGTGATATGGTGTAATATGCAAACCTATTTCTTCCTTGCCCTCTCTTTTTTTCCTTTTCTTCTCTTACTTTATCATCCTTCGATAGAGTGTGTTTAATGTTTATGTAAAATACTGATTTCCGTCAAACACGCCAACTTTTTAATAAAATCTAATTGATAAGTCGTTTTATAGTAAGCTGTAGCATCTTTTATATTGCATCAACTATCTCGGTAACAAAAACTTAGAGAGAAAATAGAATTTTTTAAGTTGCCTTTCACTCTATCTTATCTCAAAGTTGTTGTATCCATTTCAATTCTTCATAAAAAGTTTATATGCTTGTTTGATTCCTTGCTGTTGAGTTTAGTTATGTTGTTTTAGCTCAGTGATTTAATTGTTATGATTTTTGTGCTCCTCCTGTTAGCCTATGTATGCTAAGTTTAATTGTTTGCAATGAGTTTACATTTGTTATTGCTATCCAAAGATAATTTTATCACAATTTTATAGCTTTCAGATCTTAGATGCCATCACTGTTTTATTGTTATCTTAACTAGTCACATTGAATTTTTTTTATTTTCTTATTTGTTATAACTTTCATATTTATTAACTTTAATATTTTTTTATGTCCGCACTGTTTTATCGTTATCATTGCTAGTCACATTGTCTTGTCTTAATAATGCCAACTGATTTTTTGTTTCGTTTCATTGTTAAGCCGTCAAGTATAGATTGGTTCATTACTTTAGGCAGTTTTGTTCTTCTCTTTTTTTTGTCACCTTTCTTTCATACCACTCTGCTTATGTTGCTCAGATTTGTATTTCTAGATTGTAAATACTGCAATTGTCAAAGTTGTTTGTGTTTAATGTACCTGCTTGCTACTATACGTATACCTGTTATCTTGTTGGTTTGTTAAATGCTTGCACTACGGTATTTTTAAGTCTTTTAAATTGTAAACTGGTTTATGCTGTTAATAAACTAATTGAATTGAATAGGCTACAGCTGATCCATATACATGGGATGACTAAGTACTTTAATCTATCTGCAGGAAGAGAGAGAGCCAGCAGATAGCCAGGATGAGGAGAGCGAAGCTAGTGATGACAAGGGTCCGGACTATGACTACCTGCTGGGCATGACCATGTGGTCACTAACCAAGGAAAAGAAGGATGAGTTACTACGCAAGAGAGATGAGAAGCAGACGGAACTGAGGGTACTGCAGGCCAAAACACCTAAGGATCTGTGGACTGAGGACTTGGATGTACTTCTGGAGAAGGTAAAAGCTTCTTTTCATAAAGTGTAACTGACAGCTCCAACTTGGATGAATTGATATTGATATTGGTTATCAATATAGGCTACTTAATACAGTGAGGGTTTTCTCACATCCCTTTTTCAGCCGTCATACTTTACCGATTTTGACAATTTAGGTGACATTGTAAAGCTCTTGTGAATTAAAAAGGTAATTTCCTTTATGTCTTCACCCTCTCATGTCTAATTTATTTTTAGAGTCCATTTTCAAACATCCAGTGATGCTGACTGACTTTTTAAATAACAGCTTAGATGTGCATTGTAATTTTACAGCTGATCCTCCAGTTGAATGATTAACCACGGTCAGATTTATCTCAAATTTGTTGATCATAATGACAATGGTATCGTATAAACGAACGTATAAATGAAGAGACATGCTTTTAACTTACTTTTATTGTAACTTCTTTCATGTAGCTAATAGAGTTAGTAGTTTATTTAAAATTATTCTCTTAAACTTTGATAAAATCATTACTGTGGTAAAAGCAATATAAATCCATGTTGACTTACCTAATATGTCATGAAGCTTACCAAGAATCTTAGTTGTTAATTTAGAAGCTGTTATCTCCTGAGTGTGCTGATAAACCGCTTTAGGCCACAGTTGTTTAACAATATGAACAACTATCGTTTAACCATCATCGTCCCTCTAAGTAGAGCTCCACTTACTGTAGACATCATCCTTTCAGCATTGAACCCTCTAATGTGTTGTATTACCATTTCTTTTGTGTTCTTTGAACTCTTCTCTTTGTCTCATATTTTTGCCTTCCTCCCATTTAGCTGGTCACACTACCGCAACCATATTTTAAACTACAAATTAATAACATGCCTTTTGCCAGCTGGACGAGGTAGAGGCCAAGGAGAGGGCAGACGACACTGGAGAGGCCGTGGGTAAGAAAGTGGCCAAGTTGAAGCCCGGAATGTCCAAAAAGGCTCACATGATGTCTGAGACAGCACCTTCACCTCAGGGTCGCAGGGTGGCGCCAAAGATTGCTGAAGAACAAAAGAAACGATTGGAGAACAAGGAGAGAGCCAAGGAAAACAAGGGAAAGAGACTGGTGAGATAACAAACAATCAAAAAATTCTAAAGAAGATCACTTTCTATTAGTTGCCTTTATTTTACTTACCCTAGGTTAAAACAATATGCCTGAAGCATTGTAACAATATTTATATTTTAAAATGTAGATAGATGAGAAATACAAAAGTACGGGTTTTTTTAAGATTTGTTTAGGAGGGGATAAATTATAGATAGTTTACATAGTAAAATAAATTGCTAGTACTAGATACTAGATCTTCTACTTGAAAGTTCGGAGACTAGCAGATAACATCAAAAAGAAAATAAGTTATGATTTATTTATAAATAAAACATTGTGTCTTTGTGTACAACTGCAACATAGCTTTACTGTTCTGAGATTTGTTTTTCTAATTCACTATTTATTTTTAGAAAAAGGTCAAAGAAGAAGATAAGGACAAGTTTGACCTTTTGGCTGAGGACACTAAATCTCTTGCAGATAAACTAGGAAATACCCCAGACAAAATAGAGAAGAAACTGAAAGCAGCCAAGAAAGGTTAGTATGAATACAGGTTAATACAGTAACTGCTATCAAGATTTATGTAACGTAACCACCCAAAGATAAATTAGTCTGATTTTTTATCCCAGTTATCTTTCCTTAACCCTAAATATGAAAACTACTTTATAAACTCACTGATGCAGCGTCTATGTAAGGGTTTTTCTCACCAAAGCCCTCGAGATTTGTTGGGCAACCTGGTAGGTCTCACTAATGCAAAGCCTCCTCATATATTTTGATGTTTTTCCCTACATATTTCAATCAGTGAATCGAAAACTAAAAATTATTTTTTTGTTATAGTTGATAAACAACTGCAGTAAAAAAAGATAAGGGGTTGGTAATTTACTGTGTGTGGTTTATATTCAGATTAAATGAGGGGCCATTTATTCCCAACTGACTGTATTATACCACTCAAAGACTGAAGTTTGTGTTGTTTTACAATGTTTGTGGATGTTTCAGACCTGAGCAAAGCCAAATCAAAGGGTTCACCTAAGAAGAAGGGCCGAAACCCCTGGAGTGACTCGGACGATGACGGAAGCGCCAGCTCCAACAGCGACTTTGAGTCGACTCCGGTGAAATCCGTCCCTGCCCGAACCATTTCAAGACGTTCGGCCGGTCAGTGAGCTATCCTAGTTTATTTAGGAAACAATTTAAAATTCTATACAAGAGGTTAAGTTACCTTGATTCTGTCCAAGTAATCCTTAAGTCATCATTAGTGCGACCGGTTTCGATGTCTATGGCATCATTGTCAAGCTGAACGTAAAAATACAAAAATACAGCTGAAACTAATTTACAACACGGCGGCGGGTACAGGGTGTAGGTCTAGACTAGACCGCCGCCGCCGTGTTGTAAATTAGTTGTGTGGCCATGCATTTTATCGTTTTTTGTTTGTGTACGTGTTATGTGTTACGTGTTTTTCAAGACTCATGACGACCTACTAGGAGCGATCTTTACGTTCAGCTTGACAATGATACCATAGACATCGAAACCGGTCGCACTAATGATGACTTAAGGATTACTTGGACAGAATCAAGGTAACTTAACCTCTTGTATACAATTCATGAAGTAATCCGGAAGGAAATACACAAGATGAAATTAAAAATTCTTGTTCTATGTTATTTTTTGTGATGATAAATTTATGTTATTCAAGGCACAGTGATCAGTCAAACAAAGTTTTTATGGTTCAGGATCTAGAATCGGATTCCTTCTGTAGGTGAGAAAACACCCAAAACATTATATGAATTGTGATCTACTCAATCCCAGCCAAAACACAAAAGGAAACCTACACAGAAAACTATATACCTCAAGTCAAGTCAAGTCAAAATTATTTATTCCATAAAATAAAAAACAATATTACAATACATTGTAAGTAAAAGGAATTATTCCCCCGAATAGACTATTGATCCGTGATCGGGGGAAGAGTTAACAATATCATCAGTCTATGGGTATTGTCAAATTGTTCGAGTCACTGCACTAGGATCAGAGAAAACACCTAGTTGTTAAAACATGAAACCCAAAACCTTTTAAGACACTAATTATAGGTCGGTCGGTTAGAAAATGACCTGCGCGAAATTTTTAGCGCATGTAGGTGAGGTAACGTTCCCCCTCTCCGCCAATGGCCGTTTTCACACTGCACAACACAACACCGACACGGCGCCGCCTGTGTTACCAAATGGAACTGCTTACACAATGATATAATAACATTTCATGATGCTCAAATATTGATGCGATTTAGGCTATACAATATTTTTTGCAGGACCTATTTCTCTCAAGTTATGAAGAACGTAATTGTTTACATTTTGATCAGCTGTATAATTCAATTTGATTAGCTGTGTTCGGGTAGGTTGGGGGTGGGCGGCAGCAGAGTGGGGGAAGAGCCATAGTCTGTCTCACTCCCACAGCTCGGTATCTCTCTCTCTCGCACCAATGCTACGAGGAGGACGCTTTCCAACCGGCCGACCTATTGTGCCAACTACAAATAAATAGATGATTGACAAACACAATGGAAACTACTGTACAAGATGTTGGCTAAAACAAAACTGAGACTGTAAAGTTGTTTACTAATAATTGTGATGGAATGTTAAGTGTAAGCAAGGCCACACTGAAAAAACAGACTGTAATGCTCGTCAAGCATGACGTCACAATAGAAGACGGCAATGACGTAATGTTTGTCGTTTGTGATCAGCTGCTTGTCTTTCCTCAGAAAATAAATACCTACGTCATTGCCGTCTTCTATTGTGACGTCATGCTTGACGAGCATTACAGCCTGTTTTTTTAGTATGGTCTTGGTGTAAGGTGTGCAGAATTTATTATGCAGAGTACTTAAATTATTTAATTTATGGTATGAAAAATGTGTTGATTTTCATTATAGCTGAAAAGGTGAAGTTCAACTTTGACGAAAGCTCAAACTCTGAAGAAGAATTGGAGCTGAAGGACAATGAGGGTATCATGAACGGAGGTGATGTCAAACAGGAAGTAGATGCCGACTTGGACGATGGAAGCTTCCAGTGAGTACGAAAAAATATTCTTTTCATCTTTATACATTTAGAATAATTGTCAGCAGGTCCAATCACATTTGTCTTACTTCCTCTTTTATGTGCTAACTAACATTGGTAATCTTTTGGATTTGGTTTATGGTACCAATTATAAAAAGATTATGATTTTATATTTAAAAACTTTTTAAAACACTCACATTTTTGTACTTGTGCTGGATTAGCACAAATTACGAGTATAATATAGTCCAAGCGAATCACAATTTTAATTATTTGCAAATAGGGTAAATAGTAAACATTTACCAGTGAATCTATGGTTCTACTGTGTTACCATTGGTTGAAATGTTTTCTTTCATTTACAGTTCCGACAATTTTGTTCCATCTGATCCAGATAGTGAAGAAGAGAAGGCAAAGAAGAAAAAGGGAGGTGGTAAAAAGAAAAAGGGAGGATCGGATGATGAGTTTGAAGCCAAGAAAGCAAAGAAAGGTATGTACATATTTTATTGATAATATAATTAGGCTACTCTTTTTTTTACTATTTCTTTGTTTTTTAATGCAATTTAGTAAACTTGGTTTGTTACTTGACTTAGGTGAGGATGCCTAGTATGGAATATTGGGTAAACTTGTTTTGATAAGTCCATAGTTTTTTCATGAGGGAACCCAAGAATCTGGACTGTTCAGTCAAACATTCCATGAGACTTGCCTGCAACTACATATTAGAAAGGTCCATGTGTAATATAATACAGTCTAAAAACTCAAGAAACTTTCTTTTCTCAAAACTTTCCAAATGAACGTCTGCGAATTTCAACGATAGATTCTGTTCTGGGTAATTACCCTCTTTACTTATTTTCACAATTGCACTCTGTAAGAGGTAGGCTACATAACACATTAATAATTTTGATTTGAATGAACATTTTTATTTGTTTATTTCATTAAAAATATCTTTAAAATTTTGTTTCCAGCTCCCGCGAAACCGAGAAAAAAGAAAGGTTCAGATTCAGAAGATGATGTAGAAGAGAAGAAACCAAAAAAGAAAGGTAGCTATATAAAAAGTTAACTACTGAAGCACTGTAAACTGTATGACAAAACTGTGTAATTAACATTGGTGCATGCCTAACTTAGTAGTATGCGAGTTTCATAAACTTTTGTCAATAGCTTCCCGGAATAAACTAAGTTTGTATCAATGGGTCCAGATTAATTAGAGTTTACTGTGCTTAAAATTATCACAGCACATAAGTCACTTGTTTGAGCATTGAATCTGATTTGTGTACGTTTCTGCAACTGATATTGTTTACCTTGTTCCAGCTCCTGCCAAACCAAAAGCAGTCAAGAAAGATTCCTCCGACAATGACAGCGATTCCGATTTTGGTGTTAAGAAATCTAATGCTAAGGGTGAGTCCCAAGTAGTCCAAAGCAATGACAACTTAGATAAGTTAAATAACAAACATAATAGTGACAAATCTTTTTACTAAATTAAACTGTCATCAAAAATGTAAAAGAAAATAATAGAACCAATACCATTACAATAGTCATCATGAATACATACTATAGGTCTGAAATTTAAGTTATCTATGTAGGGAGTTTTGGTATTAAAGCCTAAAATGCTTAATAATTTGCAGTGGAAGAAGACTCAGATGCAGTGTTTGACTCACTGTTATCGTCTGCACCTAAGAAGCCGGCAACAACATTGTCTGAATCAGAACCTGACTCTCCTGTGAAAAAGTCAAAACGTAAGTCAAAGTCCTGTGAATAGAATAAGTTGATTTTAAGACTACATACTCTTAGCATCTGGTTAAATCTCAGCTAGTAATCATGCAGGATTTAGTCTTAAGTAGGTATGAATAAATCTGGTATAGGTGAGAGAATGGTTCAGTTGGTAGGGCCACAAACTTTGGGTCCATGACTGAGATGTCATGGGTTTGGATCCGCATGCTTTTATCAGCTACTTTTTATCAGTACAGTTCACCCTTGTACTGTGCTGGCTCTCCTCTTGCTGTGGTGGATACGTTCCACGCACAGGCCCAAGGCCACCAACCTCTCTTTTTCTATAAAAAATCCTGATTCCCAAGTCTCTACATCTTTAATACCAAATGAATTGAGGTGTTGTTGATTCTCAATATTTAGTCTTCTACCAATATCAGGACGTTCTCATGATACACTGACCTCCCAGCTTGGTTTTGACGCTTAACATTAAAGTCTGTCTAAAATTATTGTGCGGTTGGAATTCAACATATGATTTCCCTATCATGGTAAATCTCCCACTCATTTACCCTTTTCTATACTAAAATCCCCCGTGACAATCATCTGTTTTATATTGCAGACAGGTATTTTAGAAAGCATTTGTTTATTATGATTGAACTACACATATAATAAAACTAAAAGAATTATTTTAACAATAATAATCTACGTATCAATTTTAATTTCACTAGAAGTGTTGTTATAATGTAATATTAATCCTGGACTAGCATTTTTATGCTTTTGATGGATTGTTTTAAATACCGGGTGTCCGAAAAAAAAACTGAAACATTTTAAAGGCAAATACTGTTACCAATTAAGAGACTATGTTTAATGTTTTATATATGGATATAATGATTATGAAAATCTGCCGAACGCACCTTTCCCCACCTCCTTCCCTATTTGCGCGAATCCTTTTTTGTAATAAAACATTTTTTACGCCCCCGGTCCCAACTTTAAGTCTTAGCTGTCTGGCGCCCCCCTAAAACACTTGGCTGACTGGCGCCCTAGGCTCCAGCCTAATTAGCCTAATGGGTAATCAGGCCCTGTTTTAAAGCTCAAATTCTTAAGTTTTATTAGAAACTTAGTAGGCTATAACTCGATATTAGCACCATCAGTGGCCCGGCAAAAATCTAAGTGAAATTTGAACTTTTCCCAGGTTTTGGTTAGTACTTCAGGGGATACAAGCGTTGCCATTTAATGTGACATGTTAGATGAGTATTTTTCCCCATAACTGGGTGGCATTGAGATGGCGAATGTCCCTGTCTATTTTCAACAGGATGGAGTGCCGCCACACTACAGTTTGAGTGTGCGAGAGGCGCTGGATACTAGTTCGACGATTGGTGGATTAGCAGGGAAGGGCCCATCCAATGGCCTCCTAGGAGTCCAGATATGACTTCTCTGGACTTTTTCCTTTTGGGGTCAGTAAAGAATTATGTCTACTCGGTGCAGATTCGTTATCTGAATCACTTCTGACAGAGAATAGTCGCATGTGTTGGTGCAACATCCTCTGAAGTACTGACCGATACCTGGGAAAAGGTCAAATTTCGCTTAGATTTATGCCGGGTCACTAATGGTGCTCATATCGAGTTATACTAAGTTTCTAATAAAACTTGAAAATTTAAGCTTTAAATACATATATAAAATATTAAACATAGTCTCTTATTTGGTATCAGTATTCGCCTTTAAAATATTTCAGTTATTTTTCGGACACCCGGAAGAAGTTTCAAAATGAATCAAACTTATGGACAATTTCAGGTCTGGTAAAATGATTAAATTAGTTGATATCGTGGTGAACTGGTTTCAAAATTCTAAAGCGATACTTCACTTCTTATTTGGTTATTATTTTAATACCGTAGGTAATAGGAACTTTGTCAAGGTCTCTAGCAAAGCCCTAAGGTCAGATCAGGACGAAAACCATTGGGTTATCCTGTTTATGCCTGAATAATCAGTGTACAACATTGAACTCGCTAGGTAAATGACAAGTAGGAGCATTTGTGTTGAGTAAGTGAGCTGGTACTTTGCCTTTAATATGTATCTATAGGTCTGAGGTCATGATCAATGGAGTCATTTCATTAGACTTGTTTTGTTATACAGAATATTGTTTGCTATAATTTTCTATTACTGAGGATAAACTAACATAACAAATTGATCATACTATATTTGAATGAACGAGTTATGTTTGGAGGTGCACACAAATTAAACCATTTGTATGTATCAGCTATATTACATTTTTTGCTTTTTCCATTGTTTACTAATTGTATAAATATTTCAAATCCCTAATAATAAAAGGCAAATATGCCTTAGTACACACCAAATAGAAAACAAAACTCGTAAAAATATATAAATATAATTTTATATATACAACCACAAAATGAACCTAATGATGTAAATTTAACAACTATTAACTGTAATGTGGACGTTAACAAAGTACTAGAGACGTTCCATTACATCATTCACTCTCATAACTGGAAAGATATTCACCATCATCTTCGCTTAAGCCATCAGAGTCAGTGTCATCATACAGATTTATAATAAATGGTTCCATGATTTCGTCACGAAGTCCTTCTTTAAAAAAATCTTCTTCCTGGATATTTTCAGCATGAATTACACATTTCTTCCAGTCTTCTACTGTTACATGGTTCATGGCATTTTCTAGAAGGTTCCTGACATCCTTTATTTTGAAAGACGTGTTTTTTTGCGCCACCTCCCCTTTCACTTGAGCCCAAATTAGCTCTATGGGATTGTATTGACAATGGTAGGGTGGTAGGCGAATAACCTCATGACCCATCTGCAACGCAAGCTCGTCCAGTTCGTAGCGTGGAGGAAAGCTGTGCCTATGCTGCCGCACGGTGGTGAGGAGTTCTGCTACTGTGTGGACTGGATTGTGTTCAATACCGTTATCTGATAGCCACTTCACAATGTCTGCCTTTCTAGATTTTGAACTTGGAATTTTGTTAAGTTGTTTCGAATGGTAGCTGGCATTATCCATTACAATAATACATGGCTCGTCTAGGCTTCTCAGTAAATCGAGAAACCATTCGTGGAAAACTATATGGTTCATTTCTTGGTGATAATCGACATTACTTTTTGATTGAAATACGAGCTGTGCGTCTTTTATAAAACCATATTTAGCTGACCCAGCGTGACACACGACAAGCCTAGAACCCTTCCCTACTGGAACCCGAAACCCTCCCTTGCCATCTAAGCTTTCCCAAATACACTTTCTTGCATGGTTTTGGTTTACCCACGTCTCATCCAGGTATACAATTGGGAGAGGAGTTTCCTGCCGCCTTAAATCGTGCATCTTTCTTAGAAATACTACCCGGGAAGCGACAATATCGAATTTTCGGCCGTTGTTAGTCTTTTTAAACTTAAATCCCACATCTCTAAGTATCTTACATACAGAATCTTTACTTCCACTAAATCCAATTTTTTCTTTTAGCACAATCTTCAACTTCCTGCAGGTCGGGTACTCTCCTCTTTCGTAGAAATCAAAAACAGTTCTTCGGACTACGTCCTTGTCGAATTGGTCTAGATCAGTTATCCACTTTTTGTGGGATATTTTCCTTTGAGATGAAGAAAATGTTGCTTCTTTTGATATATTTTCTTTATTACAATCTTCGGAGTCCATATTATGTGCTGCAATGGATTTGTTTCCTTCTCCCGTTATGTTTTGAACTGTTCGAAGAGAAACAGAACAAGCTTCTGCTGTAGCCTTTTGGGTTTGATTGAACACTTCCCTCACTGTCGCATTTGGTTTGCTGGTTACAAGCTGTTTTAAATAATTGTACACACTAAAAATTGTGTTTTTAGTTTGAATTGTAATGTCTTGGCACCTTTTGGCCATTTCTAATTAACACTAATCAAGTAATAATATTACACAGACTGAATAATATTAAACTGCACAAAATACTATCAGAATAATCACAATGTTGTTTACAACTAAAATGTAAACAAAGTGACAACTGTTGTAAAATTATAAACAGTATGAATCAGCTGTAGGCTAATATGTTGTGGTGGCAGGGGCCAGGGAGAAAGCAGGGAAAAACAAATTTGTCCTTCAACCGCACATTAAATTCAGACAGAGTATAATGAAGTACAGTACAACCTCCAAATTGCAGGATGCAACCAGCGAGCTAATTTATGGGTTAAATGGTTTTACTCTTAGTATACACTAGTTTAATCCATGAATAATATGATATGTTAAATTAGTTTTTTTTTAATACTTAGGCTACAGCTTTTTGTTAGGTAATTTTTTTTTTGGGAGGGGGGGGATTTTCAATCTTGAAATTTCTGTAGCCGCTTTCTGCAATCATGAGAATAAAAGCTTGGTACGGCCTGATTTTCATAGTGGTTGATCACTAGAGTTTTTACCAGCTTAACTTAGTCAAGAATCAGAATCCCATCCGATCTGGCTTTAGTCTGTAGAATTAATAAAACAACATCGAGAACATCACTGCAGTGTCCCTACACACTGCTTCATTTGTCTCTATTCCACCTGTTCTCTGCATAAGACCGTTGACAAAAATATGCTAATTATGACTGTGAATTTCATTAGTACTATGTTATTGCTAAATGTAATACTGTATAGGTTTAAATGTACACACTAATTTTAACATATAAAATTATAGTCAAAAATACTTATCTTCATCCACTTTTTCAGCTGCTGCTAAGCCAAGACCTGAACCAAAAGCCAAGAAACCAGCAGCTAAAAGGCCGAAAAAGTTGGCTGATTCAGACAGTGATGCAGATATTTTCAATTCCCAACCCAAGAAGAAATCAGCTGTAAGTTCTCTGTTCTTATTTAATCCTGGTTTAAAACAATGTCTGTTGATAAGCCTAATTTTTTAGATATATTAGTTTTATATTAGGGATGGGCCGATTCCGATACTCGATACTTCGCTTCATTGTACTCGATACCGATTCTGAAAAGTGAGGTTAATTATGCTCAACTCAACTGACATTGAAGGTTGTAAAGAGTGGCACATCTAGTGATGTAAAATAGCCGGGTATTTAAAACTCCGGGTAAATATCCAAAATCCATAAATACCCGGGTATTTTGGTTATTTATGAAATCGATTGAAATTAATTCATATTTACCCCTAAATATGTTATTGTTATCATTACATGATAAATTAGGATAGTCTATAACACCTTTTACAGTAACTTGAAGCTTTGCTAGTAGCCTACCTTTTATTTACCGGTAATGATTTAGCATTTTTTTTTTTAATGCATAAAGTTTCTAAATAAGCATGGGGTTTTGTGTCTTAAATCGAGTAACATTAGTTAAATTTAACTTACTAAAAAATAGTATATTAAAAAAGGCTGTGGCTATTTCAATTTTTATCATTGAGAATGCTAGATAGAGAATGCTAGAAACTAAACACTCCCTATGAAATGAAATCAAGACAACACCTCATCATAGAAATAGTGAACCTAAATCCATTCTACTGTTATTAAATCATGATAGTTAAAATTTTTATTGTATAAATGGCTTGGGAGGCTATACAGACCTAAGGCCTGATTGACATTGGCAGAGTACTAAAAGAGAATGGCGAATACTAAAAGTACCAATTAAACTTTTCTGTGTTGCCGCTTAGTTGGAAACAATATTATGGATAAACTTACTAAAAAAAATGTGTCTCCTTTTTTAAAGATAATGCTATAGAATCAAATGTTTTGTATCACATGTTTATGAAATTAGTTTTTTTTATTTTGATACCATTGATACCAACAAAAGATCTAGAATAAAACTATTAATTAATCCTGCCATCCTACAGGTTCAATTTTAATTATTTTCTTAAGCTGTTTAAACATAGGCCACTACGGGTGGCGTCGTCCTGTAATCCAGCTACTAGGAGGTCACGAATTGTGGATATTTATAGGCATGCACTGTGGATGCGATACTCCCTGGTGTGGATTAACGTCCGCACGAGTGAGTACTACGACTATCCGCAGTACTATCCTGATAATTAGACCAATTCGTATATACCAAGGAAAAATGTGGTTCGGATTCCACTATAAACTGTAGGTCCCTTAGTTGCCATTAGCTGTATGGGCTATTAATTAACAGCTGTGTCTAAGGAATGTCGGCCTTAGTCACTAACAAGACTACAAGATCGCGCCCCTCATCCTACACTCATTTCCAATCATACTTGGCTTAAAATACCTACTATGTATGGTCGCCATTTCATTGAACAGTATTAACAGTATGTAAACATTAAAACCTTTATCAAAGTAATATAAACAGTTAAAGGGATGGCAATGCCTTAATATTTGTATCTTTTTATTTAATTTTTTTTACATTTTGTTAACAATTATTGCCACAAACAGAATATTTCTCTATCTATTTCGCTTTAAAAAATACAGATTTGTTTCAAGACTTAATTTACACACTATATAGAAAATTATATGTATCAGCTAAATAATAAAAAATAAAAATAATAAAAATAATAAAAAAATTCACTTTCACATTAATTGATAAACTATTGATAGCTAAATGTTGGCGTGTAAAGAATCACTTAGAAATATATAATAATATATAATAATAGGTCAAGAAAATCCAATGATAATTTGATGTGGAAATACTAAAATGTAGTGAATAATAATTTTGTTATTTCTGACAGAAAAAGCAGAAGAAGGCAAGCTCCGGCAGTGAGGACGAGTTTATGGTCGAGTCAGATGAAGAGAAGGTTGTATCTGCACCATCAAGAGCAACTACGGGCCGTGCCAAGAAACCCATCAAATACACGTTTGATGATGAGGATTCCGATTAGAACACTGATTGTGCTTGTGTAAATGTGATTTTAACTTTAAGCCGAAGTTGAATAGTTTTTAACTATTTATTTACTTAAGTTTTATTGTTAAGTGAGGAACATTTTACTTAGGTTCCAGTTTTATACTCCCGGTTCTTTGAACAAAGTATTTGTGTTACTACCGAGGGTAAATCATGAAAATAAAATGTGATGTTAAGATAGCGTTAGTCTAAAATCCCTTTGCATTAAGGTATTGAAGATAATTTTTATCGACATCACTATGTTTTGTACTCATAATACATAGATTTAGTCTTGAACATTCTTGCTGTACATGAAAATGTCGATATTCCTATCCTGTTCATTTTTTTCTGTTTGTTAACAGTTAGTTGATTTTGTATTTTTATTAGTCTTAAGGTTAAACTGTGACATAAATTATAGCTAATTGTTTATTATTTTGTACAATTGTTGTTGTTTATTGTTCCTTGTTTGACTTTTGAAAGGTGTTTTTGTTTAAAACAACTTTTAGTTTTGTTTTTTTTAGGGTATAACAACAAAAAGTGAACAAATTTTAGCACTGTAATATATTTTTTTTATTAAAAAAATTTGATGAATCTTTTTTAATCCATCTTCAATTTAAGTTTTAGTTAAAAAAAATAATTAATTATTAGCGAATTTCCCATATAGGGGATAAGCTATTACCGTAGGTCCCATAACCTGGACCCAGGACCGATTTACTTTTGTATTTTGAGGTCCCCAGAGGCAAAAAACACCATTTATATGTTCATATTCATATACATGTATATATATTTATATTTATATATGTGTAAGTAAACCTTCATTTATTTTACGAGTTCGCAAACCGGCATGACTGGACTACAGGAACGTGGGTTTAAAAATGGGTTCTCCCCATTTTTGACAATTCCCATGTTATTCTTATGGAGAATAACAAAACCGTTGTAGTTTGCTTATTTATAAAGATATTTTGAAAAAAATAAGAAATGTTATTTAATTCATATTATAGTATTAACATTTAACTATAAAAACAATTTATTACCTTCCTCGTAGCAGCAAACCTAGGTACTTGTTAAACTAATATTATTTAAATACAGAATAAATATGACATTTTTAAGAAGGCAAAGGAAATGTAGAGTAATGAAGTGTTTTTAGTGAAATAAATATCTTAGTATAAAATTAATAATTTGCCATGTTTGATCAAAATATCTATGTGATGTGGAAAGTGAAAAGGGACCTCTTGTCAGGAATTTTCGATTTTGAGTTATACAAACTTTGTTTATATATTTGAATTCTGAATCACTTGGTACAAGTCCCATGCATCTAGGGTTTTTTTTTTATACTTTTTAGTGAAATGGCGACCATACAAAGTAGGTATTTTAAGCCAAGTATGAATGGAGATAAGTGGCGCGATCTTGTAGCCTTGTTAGTGACTAAGGCCGACATATTCCTTAGACACAGCTGTTAATTTAATTAATAGCCCAAACAGCTAATGGCAACTAAGGGACCTACAGTTTATAGTGGAATCCGAACCACATTTTTGCCTTTGGTATTTACGAATTGGTCTAATTATCAGTATAGTACTACGGATAGTCGTAGTACTCACCCGTGCGGACGTACTATACTCCACATTAGGGAGTATCGCGTCCACAGTGCATGCCTATAAATATCCACAATTCGTGACCTCCTAGTAGCTGGATTACAGGACGACGCCACCCGTTGTAAGTTATATAGGACTTTAAAATGTTATGAAAAAGGGCAATTTTGAGAAAAACTATTTTGAAAAATTAAATACGCATAAAAACAGTTTTATTCGTATTCAAGAAACAATTTTGGTATCAAAAGAAAGCTTAATGTCCTCTTTAGAGGCAGTACCAATTTGTGTCTTAACTCAAGGTAGTTTTCAATTAAATAATAGTTTTATCAAAACATGTTGTAAAAATCACATTTCAGAAAAGGTACCTCTTGTTGGCCCTATGTTATTTCTTCATAACATAAAAAAGGTACCTCTTGTTGGGACCGCAAAATTTGTGAGTTAATTTGTTCTCTGTAAACTGAACTTTGCTTTTATTTGTAGTTATCTACAAACTTCCACTAGAATGCAGGACTAAAGTCTGTTAAGTGAATATTAGAAATGGGACCTCTGGTCATTATGGTGAAATAACCTTGAGCAACAAGAGGTACCTTTTCTCAGACCGTGCAGGGGCTAACAAAAATTATTTATTTCAACCTTTTACATCTTCGATTCGATATTTTAACCGATACTGTCCTGCTCTATCTTAAATGAGGTATATAATAACAATCAATAAAACCCGAATGTCGATATTTTCGACCTTGATTACTTATATCCAGGACCGCCAAAAGGGGGGGGGGGCAGATTGCCACCGATCACCCCCCCCCCTGTATAGGAGAGCTGAAAACAGGAGACTCGAAGACGATGGGCTTCTAAACTCACCAGCCAGATCCCAGATCCAACAGTGGGTGGAACGGTGGCATGGCGAGACAAACTTCTTATCAGGCCACGGCTATTTTCAGTCATAAGGCCTATTTTTTATTAAATTAAAGATTTTTACTGTTATTAACCTTTATATTTTAGAACTTGTTATTTATTCTTTAAAAAAACTACCAGTCATGGTCCTGAATGAAGATATACGTCCCTACAATACTCGTGGTAGACATAAAATAAGTGCACCTCCGTTTGAGGAAATCTCTAAATAGCCATGTTGTTATGTGTAAGAAAGCTTATAATAAGGTTAATAATAATAATAATTAATGTAAATAAGCATCCACAAAAAATATTTTTTTTTAAATTCAGTGACTGGCTCTTAAGAATTCCTTTTTACAGTATTGAAGAGTTCCTGGAACAACCTGTGATAAGTCTTTAACTTTGCATCTAAATATGTTAATTATTTCTATATAGTCTATTTTTTTCTTCAACTTTTGTTAATTATTCATTTGTTAATCGTTTATAGTATATTGTGATTGCTAACCCTATAGTTAAAAGGAATTTGTACATCAGACTCATACACAAGTTACCTCTGATTATTTAGACAATGAACATTGAAATTTTATGTTCTGCTCCACTGACAATGTCAATGCATGTTTATGTCCATGATAATACATGATTTGATTTGATGGAGAGTGAGGATAACCGCGGGACTGATCGCATTTCGTTCGGAAAATCTTGCAATAAAAAAAGGTCGACCATTATTAGGTCTTGTAGGAAAACGAACTGATTAACAACACGGAGTACGGAGTGAGCCCTTTGGGCGTAGACAAACTCTGCTTAGTGCTTAGTTCTGATGAAGAGTGACGTGACAAGAGTGTTCCCAGACTAGTTCACGAAGAGTATAGTGGATAATCGATGGGTCTTAAGCCCGTTGCAATCATACACTAAAGGTTGGCTTCCTTACCTAAGTGCTTAAACGCATTTCCTCGCTTCTATCTAAACAAAATTGGGTTGACATGTAAATTACATTACAAGTTTTAATCACGCCTATATAAAAAAATTATATGTGACGGATTTGTAAGCACTGAAGTCCGTCCGGTTTGTTTTCAGATACGGCTGTAGGTAGACTAGAGCAGAGTGAGTGCCAGTGCCCTGCCAGTGCCAGAGACTAGAGAGAAGAAAAGGAACAAACGTCAAAAATCTGTTACCGCACTCGGCGAAGGATATCTAAAGGAAAGTTTTTGTGCTTTCAGATATTTTCTCTTTATTTTAGAATCAGTTTGTAAAATTTTTACTGAATAAATAATTGTTTATTTGTTCGCTTAAATATTCAAAGTATTTTTATGAAAAAGTTTGATCCGAATATTTGTTGTGTCTAGCCTTGCTTGTGATTGTAGTGTCATGGCGTGTACCACAGGCAATGTGGGTAGGTATAATCCTAAAATTGTATTATTAAGTTCTTGTTGTAAGTACTAGGCCTACACACACTAAAGTGGCCCAACATGTCGTAAAAGTATTTTTTTTACTCAAAACAGACTACACTCAAGACGTATTGATATTTTTTTTTTGGTTAAATATCTTGAGATCAAAAAATAATCATGGGCCTGAAGACAGAATCAGGTTGACCTATTAACAGATTAGATTTGGCACTTGGCAGGCAATTGAATTAAGCAGACCAGTTCATAGAGAGTTCCTTAAAAAGTATTGATTATTATATCTTTCAAGTACTATCTAGGTCCTAATTGTGTAGTCGGCCTAGGCCTAGGCCTAACTTAAGTTAACCTAGTGGGTCTAGGTTCTAAAATCAGTTACATGTCATGCCAGCCTATTGGTTGGCCTAAGTTGGTGGTTTACGGACACAGGAGGGCTGATAAAAATGTTGTGAGTTATGCAGGATTACGTATAGGTATATCACCACTGTTATGTTTTTTCCTGTGGCTCGTAAAGGATTTACTTATTTGTATTCCATAGGCTGCACTTTACTTTAGGTCCTACACTCATTCGAACGAAAATATCGATCTATATATCGATTATTCGATATATCATTTGGTTAGTTAGGTAAGGTTAACCTAACCTAACTAACCAAACGATATATCGAATGAAACAATCGAATAGTCGACATTTTCATTCGGTTTTTTGTATAGGACCTAAAGTAAAGTGCAGCCATTCCATACTTAAACTTAACACGTTCGCTACCGAGCGACGCACATTTGCGTCGCTCAGGTCACTCCTACAGACTAAAAGGAATGATCATGACGTTCCTTACAGACCAAGTGATATAGGAATAACATTGCCGACAGACCAAAAGAGAAATATCGTTTAAATGGACTAATTGACTTCATAATAACCTTAAGTGAATTAGTTAGCAATAAATATTGTTTTTATTTTACGTTATGAGCAAATTTTAAAACGCCGCATATATGCGTCGGTCAGTCTATTTAATGAAATCCAGTTAAAAAGATTACATTTTCGTTTCAATAGACCAGGCGACGCACGTAAGCGTCGTCGTAAATTTGGTTGTTTCAAGCTTTTACACAAACAAATAAAGAAACTCCGCTAAACACTAGCCAAAACTGCAAAGGTTATAACGTTTACATCTGTTCTCAGGGTTGGTACGGTCAGGGAAAACCTGGAAAACCTGGAAATGTCAGGGAATTTTGTTGGTCTGGAAAAGTCAGGGAAAAGTCAGGGAATTTTGGAAAAAATCTGGAATTTCTCTTGAAAGACTACATTTTTTACAGATATGTTACATTTTGCATCTACGTCTCAATACTTGGTCAAAAACATCGAAGTTTGACGAAAACATCGATGTAACAAAAACATCGGGAACCTACCATCGATATAAAAAACAACGAACATCGACAGACATTCTATCATCACCCTCTGATCACTGGCTTTAATTGAACGCACCGAGCTCCCAGTGTTTCTACACGACCAAAAGAATATAATTCCGGTCACTGGGTTAAGAAATCCCGTTTAATCCCTTAAGATTTTTGATGTTAAATTAGACATATTGTGTTTAAATAGTTGTTTTTAACATTGCTATTATATTTTGTTAAGGTAATTTTTTCGATTGGGGTTAGTTTTTCACTAAAATAAAGCATAGTAGCCTAAATAAAAACGGACGTCATAGCAAAAACTCCTGTTTTATCCCACAACCCCTTCAAATCCCGCTCATGCTCTAAAAATCCTGTTTTCGGGATAATAATCCCACGTATGGAAACACGGCTAGTACCGCGATGCATGGAAGGATAGGCCTACATTCATCGTTTCAATTTCAATGCCATACTGAATACAATTCCTCATTGAATTTATACCAATACTGATTCAACCTTTAATAAACTAAAAAAAAACTGCACTTCTAGGAGTTTGTAAACAAATTTTATTCTCTGTTAGTTGAAACATTTAATAGTTTAGTTTGGTACTACTTTTTGTCTCCGGTACAAGCATGGTAGTTATTTTTCCAATATCACATGTTTCTTCCGATATAAGCCGATGATATTGAAAGCAAAATATCGATATTTATCAGTATCAGAAGCACTGTATCGTCTATCTGCTAGTGTCAAGTCAAGGCCAAGTAGAACATAAAGTGAGAGGTTAAGTTAGTTGGTACTCTTAATTTTCCAGATTCCAGATGTTTAATTCTTTTCTTATTGGTTTTATGAGTAAACTATTTAGGCCTAAATTTTTTCTAATAATTCTTGATTCTGACTATTCGATATCGTCTTACGGTATACCTGGAAAAAGTATAATATCAGTCTGGAAAACCTGGAAAAGTCAGGGAATTTCATTTTCCAAAATCAGTACCAACCCTGGTTCTGTGATGTCGCGGAATACACAATGTAAAAAACAATGTTGCCAACTGTTGACGTAACCAATCGTCATATCCACAGACCAAGCGACGCACATTTGCGGCAGATATCCCTCTAGACCGATACGATAAAATCCGGGCTTTAAAATAGACCGTTGCTAAGAAATACGCTGTTTAATAACATTAGAACACCGACGCAAATGTGCGTCGTTAGTCTATTTCAATGTGACCAGCTGACGCAAATATGCGTCGGTGGTCTATTGTGAGAAACGAGTCGACGCACAATTGCGTCGCTGGTCTATGCGAACGTAAATTCCATGTAATTGTGGTAGCGAACGTGTTTTACATTTTGCCATGTTTGACTGATGGAACTGTTTAGGCCTACATTTGCTATGTTTGACAGACAGTCTAAAACTGTACAAAGTGCTTTCTAGCGGATATGGATACAACCAACCGGAATAGCCTAGAAATCTTTAGTCTTCGCTTGAGGCTGTTATAAGTAACTATAAATTAACCTATAAACTTACCTCCTGTTTTCTTAATTTGGTACTTTCCTGTTAAGTTAAGGGGAACATTCTTTATTACGGTATATCTATCGATGATTTTTTTTATACCTACATCGAAATTTTACTTTTTGATCCAATACATCAATATTAACAGATTAAAACATATCAGCTGATAACTACGATAACTTGCGCCTATTGTTCAGTATAAACATGAACAAAAAAAAATATTGAAATGAATCTGTTCTAAACTAAATGTTAACTTAACATAGGCTATTTAACCAAACTTTCTACCCCAAAATTTGATATTATTTACCCTCATGCCTTTTCTCTTATCAAACGGAATTTTTAACTAGTAAGCCAAGAGTTACTAAGTTACTGTAGTTAAGAGTAGAGTAAAACTAAATCATTCAGCTAACAATTAGAATCAGTAAATGTCAAAAAAATCTTCCTCTACTTACGAAAGTACGACCAAAGCTAGGAAACCTCTGTCCCGCCTCGCTTCAATGTGCGGTGACAAGAAAAAGTCTTCGCTCCCGCCTGCACCTCGCCTCGCTTCAATGTGTGGCGGGCCTTCAGTTGATTATTAGCTGGAACCATTTTTAGATTTATAAGTTTGAACGAGCTGCTAAGTATACCCGTGCTTTGCAACGGGAAGAATATGTGACAGGCATTGAAGTGTATAAGTGGTGCTGATGTGTGTTTTAAAAATCCAGCAAGTCTATGATTTAATGCGAAATCAAAAACTGATTTAAAAGTATAGGCCTAACTTAAACCTACTTACTTTCAAACCTCTACTATTAATATCAATAGATCCAAAATAATATGACTTGACTACATACCTTAGGGTCTGACTTAAGGGAGGTACAAATGAGGCAATGATGACATCATAGTTAAGTTAAAAATTCCTCCGTTAACAACGTTGTAGTAGAGAGCACAGCGCGTAATTTTTACTTCACTATTAGGCCTAGTTAATTATAAAATTAGGAAATTTTTTAAAATTAATCTTAAATTGTTCATTTCCTATCAAATTAAACTGTCATAACCTAACCAAACGTGCTGATAATGAAAAAATCGAATAAAGGTTTAGCCCTACTTATAAAAAAAAAAAATTGTTTGTTCATAAAATAAAATTATAGGCTAAATGCCTAAAATTAAATTTTAAAATTTTTTAATTATAAAATTAAACTCTCATAACCTAACTAAACCAATCAAACTTGCTGATATGAAAAGAAATTGTTGACAAAAAGTTAGTGCTGCCAGCGGGATTCGAACCCGGCACCTTCGGATTATCAGCCCGACACGCTATCCACTACACCACCGAGGCCGATGATTGAATTCCGTATCGTTGCGGTAATGGTGTCCCCTCAAGAGGAGATCTGACAGCTGACGTCATCGAAGGCTTTTCTGTACCTTAGTGTAGCAATCACATCAATTACTTGATATTGATGCTTCATGAATGAGATGTTTTACCATTATTCTTCAATTTGAGTCAAGCCTTTTTATTTTCATAATGTAGTTGTTTTTCTAAACCACGTTAGCTAATCAATAAAAGGTTACAGTACCTGCAGACTGCCTTGTGGGTTTTGTTAATCAAGTAGGATTACGTACGTTTCGGCAAATATATTGCCATCATCAGATCCAGAACTTGAAGGTTAAAATTTTGATTTTTCGACACATGGTCACGTCAAAGTTTAAAATAGAACACATACACAAAACGAACATTAAATACATGTAGGCCTACTATTAAAAAACCAAACAGGATATAATATGATGCAAGCATCTCTCTTGCCGAGTCTCGATTGGTGGTCGTCAGGTCCTGTGAACTGGACTCTGACCCCAAGGCATCCTGTATCATAAGTGTCGGTCTCTATCCAGTTGTATTAAAGTTTCAAATAATAAATTTGATTGAAGTGTGCTTTTATCATTGAGTAGGTCCTGTTTATTAGTAAGAACAATATAGGCAAACTAACAAAAGATCCGACAGCTTCTTTCACAAAAGACATTAATAAAACCATCTCTAGCTGTAAAAACTTGTCATCAGAAAAGGAGATTAGGCATCTGAAAACAATCAACCCTCATGCTCCCCCACTAAAAGGATTGCCAAAAATACATAAAGATGATAAGCCCATCAGACCATTAGTCATCTACATGCCCGCCCCTGCTTACAAGTTAGCAAAAAAACTAGAGCGTATATTAAAGGATGAAGTAAAATTAGAAAATAGTAATAGTTTAAAAAATAGCCTAGACTTGATTGAGAAAATAAAAAACGTAAATCTTAATCCTAGATATACTCTTGCATCGTTAGATATCACAAACTTGTACACAAATGTGCCTGTGGATGAAACCTTGGACATTTTACAGAATAATCTAAGAGCACACTCAAATTTGAGTAAAGATAAGCAAGAGGAGTTATTAACTTTATTGAAATTAGTCTTAAAACAAAATTACTTTTGTTTTAATAATGAATATTACATTCAACGTGAAGGTTTGGCGATGGGTTCGCCATTATCGAGTATACTAGCAGAAATATTCCTAAATGACTTTGAAAATAAACACATATGGTCTGACAAAAACAAACACAAAGGAAATGTTGTGTTCTTCTATAGATATGTCGACGACATAATCCTTTTATATCATGGAAGCCAAAGACAGTTAGCTCTATTCAATAACTACACAAACAACGCTCATCCTAAATTAAAGTTTACCACAGAATTAGAAACAAATAATGAACTAAATTTTCTCGACATCACCCTGAAAAAAGATAATGGCAAGTTCTTGTTTAAAATTTATAGAAAGCCCACGACTACAGATACAACGATTCATGCAACGTCTCATCATCCCTTATCACACAAAATGGCAGATTACAATAGCTTCGTGAATCGCTTGTTAAAAGTGCCGTTAAAACCAGAAGCTTATCAGGAAGAGAAAAACATACTAAAACACATCGCAATAGCCAATGGTTACAGCCCTGCCATTATCGATAATTTAATAAAAAAACAACTTAATAATATGTCAAAAACAAACATTGCTAACAGGAAAAATTCCGATTATGTCCCAGTCGAATACGGCAGCTCATTTCCTATGTCTCTGTGACCATGTGTGTCGAAAAATCAAGATTTTAACCTTCAAGTTCTGGATCTGATGATGGCAATATATTTGCCGAAACGTACGTAATCCTACTGGATTAACAAAACCCACAAGGCAGTCTGTAGGTACTGTAACCTTTTATTGATTAAGCCTTTTTTTAGCTTACTATAAAAATTTCAAATTAAACTGTGAGCAATACTCTAAAAAACGTGCACTACCTTGGGAACCAAGAAACCCTCTTACCAAACAACTCAATTATTTCTTCAATCTAAATAAATCATCGAAAACATCTTTTGGGAGTAAATAAACAAACACCAGTTAATTAAATTGACCAGCTGTTTCATTAAATAAATTGAATTACATCATTTAAACTTTGGAAGCATGTCAGGCGCAGCCCTTTGGAAATTGGCCTGTGAATACTTTTCGGCAAATCTAAACACTAAGCTAAATTTTGATGTGCTATATGCCTATATTTTTATTTGATAAAAGGCCTTAAGCGTTTAAACAAATTGGAATGTATCACTTTAATAATATAATAGATTGTGTTTAAAACTGCATGACTGTTACTGTACATTTTTAAGATTTACACTTATTAATAATAAAAATACCCCCACCGTAGCAAACCTGCAGACTAAGCAAATTTCAACTTTTCTGATTACATTTTTACTAAAATATTTCCATAAATAAGACCTTCTGTATCCAATAGTCAATGATAAGACATATTTATTCCCTATTTAAATAACATTATATTTACCGAATGCTTAGGTTTGCTGCTATGGGGAAGGTGAAAAGTATTTTTGACCATACGTCAATAGTAAGTTATCCATAAACAAGTAAACTACAACAATTTTAATTTTCTCCATAAGAATAACATGGGGATTTTAAATTACACTATTTTTGAATTTTCTCCGTGAGCGTTATGCATACAATAGCGCTTCAATATACTAAATTATTTCTTTTTTTAAGCTCTGTAAAACGGTTTAAAAAGAAATTGCAAAAAAAATTTTTTTCACAAAACCCCCGTTCTCATGGTCCAATTATGCTGGATCGCGAACTCGTTCGAATAAACGTAGGTTTACACGTTTGTACCTAATTTCATCAAAATCGGATCATTTTTGCTCGAGTTATCGCGCTAACGGACACATATGAATTTGAACGGATGGTGTTTTTGGCCTCTAGGGACCTCAAAATGAAAAATTAAATCGGCCCCGTGTCCAGGTCTTACCATGAGTATTACGGTAATAGCTTATTCCCTATATGGGAAATTTGCTAAAAAACTAACCTAGATATTTCTGATCACCTAATTATTTTAGAATTGTCTAACATAGCACCAGTTTATTTATAGGCCTAATCTTGATCAATAGCACCACATGTCAAGAAAAGCTTACTTTCATCAATGTTTGAAACACTTTGTCAAAAACTTCCGCCTGAGATCAGGGAAGCTGTAAAACAGATCTATTCTGCCTGTGTTACAAACAAGGTCTGAGGGGTTAAGACAGTATTTTTTGACAAGTTTCAGAGTAATCTGTTATTAATTTTGATCTGGTTCATGTTACAGTGGTGCCCCGTAACTTTCGGCTGTTGGAAGAATTGGAACAAGGCCAGCGAGGAGTGGGGGATGGAACCATCAGCTGGGGCTTGGAGAACGACGACGACATGACTCTGACTCACTGGACTGGCATGATCATTGGACCTCCCCGAGTAGGTTACAAGTCCTATATTTGAAGTACTTGTTTTATTAAAATCCCTTAGTAAGAAAAAAGCTTTAAAATTACATTTTCAAAAGGAAGTTATTAACTAAAGACAGTATCCACTGTTAATTCTCGATAGTCTGACACTTCAAATCCAATACATTCAAAATCCGACATGAGTCATCAGCTGATATCTGAATTTCATTTGCGCTGTGACAGGAGTCTCACGTCTCTTATCAGTATGATTTTGTGAGACCATACAGTGAATAGCAGCTTGATAATTGGGTATAATAATTTTATTACCATAGATTAAACGTACCCCCACAGTAGATTTGTCATCCTTATGGATCAGGTGAAAACAATGTTAGTGCAAGTTCCATCCAGTGCATCTAGGGGAGTTTTTTTACAATTTGAATTGTTTTTCTTGTGATTTCAGTTATTTAAAACCTCATTTATTACCCAAATATAATCATAAATAATGGCTCATCCCTTAGTTATGTAACCAAGTATAGGTACAGGATCAGCAATCCGTCACATAATTTCTCCCATTAGCTTGTCAACAACCTTTACCATGGGTAAGCGGTAGAAGTAACTGATATTTTATAGTGAAAATCACCAAAGTTGCAACAACTTTTAAACCATAATTTTTACAGCAATTGCACTTTTTGTTTAGAATTATACGGACCATAACAATCATATTATACAAATTTTAATCAGTTAAGTATGTTTAACCGGCTTTTTTTTAAAATCTGATTTTCTGTTATTTTATAGGGGTTTTATGAGATAATCTTTGGCATAACCTATAATTTGTTGTAAAGGGGAACATAGCTTATACAGTAGAACCTCGCTCTTCCGTCACCTACGGATTCTTGTTCAATCTTAGGCGTGATGACCATGTCACACCCTATTACATTTATGAATCAATTTTTAAATTAGAGGACGTCAGAAAAATACTAATACTTTCCATTACTCATTCAGTAATCAATCTTGGAATTCCAAATTATCTTGCAAAGAATTTTAAATTTTTGAATGGAAGAGGCGCAAGGGATACCCGCTCTGGCTCGTCCACGCTTCGCATTCCTCATCACAGAACAACTGTTTGTAATAAATCATTTTTAGTAACAGAATGCCACCTATGGAACTCCATACCTCTACCCAACAAATCTATAGAAAACCGATCCCGACTGATGGTGGCACTGAAAGAATATTACCTTGGCCGTGGCTTAGCGGGATGGCATGCATTAGGCCTAGATGCAGCAGAGGGTGTATGTGTGTGTGACTGTATGTTAGGGAAGATTAATAAATTTAGCTACTTCATTACTAGTTATGTTACAAACTTTATTGTATTTTTTGTTATTATTTTGTTGTTATTATTAGTTTTTTAGAGGTTAACTGTAAGAAAGGACCATGAGGTCCTAAGTTCGCCTCAATAAAGAAGCATTTTCATTAATAATGGGCAGAAATGGTTGAATAAACAACAAATTTCAACACATGACTAAAAAAAAACACAATATATACAGTTTTCTAGGTATTTTTCTTGGACAATAAGGTTATGTTAGTGGAAGCCTATTGTGTTGGCGGCACGGTCGGACCATCGGAGGTCGGATTAGCGATGTTCTACTGTAATTGATTTATAAAAAAAGTAAGCTACTGTAAAAGTAAGCTACTGCTGAAGCAGCTAGTGTAGCGGAGCTTTTAAATATTATTTATATTAATTATATCTGTTTTTTGCAGACACCCTACGAGAACAGAATGTATAGCTTAAAAATAGAGTGTGGAGGAAAATATCCAGATGATGCACCTTCAGCTAGATTTGTATCGAGAATAAACATGACTTGCGTTAATAATTCAACTGGACAGGTAAGTGGTGTCACATTACTGAGTAATATTCTAAGTAGCCTATGTATGGCCTAGTAAAAGTCTACAGATATTTGTAATAAAATAGCTTTTTAGTTGACGAGTGCAGTCGAATAAAACTGGTGATATTTTCTGTATGAATACTCAATACTAGTGTATCCTTATTCTAACTACTACTATTAATGAATGGTGATCTACAAATCATCCAAACAATAAGAAAAATTGTGTTAGCTGTCAAGCTTAAAAATTGTGACAATATCTATCGACCCTAGAATATTTAGTTGACGTCATCTCAATGATTACATAGATTAGAATGCGGACGGTTTTTTACCTGTGTGTCACAATTTGATCAGGGAATTCTGCGCAACAAACAGCTTGACCTTAACTGGGTTTTGATTTAGGCCATAAAAGACCAGAACTCACAATAGGTGTGAGCAAGGCCGCTCTGGATATACAGGCCGTGCTTATCCCCCACCACCTCAGTCGCTACGTCACAACTGAAGGCGGTCGCTATGCGGTGTTGTCGGTAGGCATATTGCGGGGCTATAACTAACGAAATCGTCCACAACCATTCAAACGTTTATGATATCATTGGAAATATTGAACAATAAAGAAGTGGTAGTGTTATTTCTTTGCAAAGATTCCAAATATAGCACAGGATAGTGTAGTCAAACTAGCACTAGCATTAAATAAGACAGTTACTCTACTGGAGAGAAAACATGTGAATTTATGTGCTAGATGGTTCAATAAAAAAGATTAAGCTACTCTAAAGAAATATCAATTTGAGAAAAAGAATAAAAAATATTGATGGAACTATTATTTTCTTAGAAATTGTACATAGGTGGTGTAAAATAAATCATGCTTTCAAGGGAGTGAAGTTGAATGATAGAGATTGTCAAGCAGCAATAACAACAACTGTTGATCGTGAGAAATGTCTTATTTTTAAGATGATTTGTAGGCTGGTTAGAGAAATGGATCAGTGTGATGGTACGAGAATAACCAGTAAATAATAAAAAAAGCAATGGGAAACTCACACGTCACACCTAATTTTGCACAGACACACACCTTCCAGTACGTAATAGAAATTGTAGAATATTATTTAATGTTGTACGTGCTGCTGGGGAAATTTCAAACAGATTATTTAAGGCTAGGTTCGGACTAAATTATCAGATGAGTTGAATACTGTATCTCTGTTGCGCAAGTTGGCGAGTCAGAGAAAAAGCTTAAAACCCCTACTATTGTTAAGGTGTGTCCTGCAAAAATTTGGGAGGTTTTTATAATAATAATAAGGTGATTTAAATAAATAATCAAGAATAATCATAAAGATAAGGGGATTTTAATGTTGAAGAAACTGAGGGACCAGAAGGGGAACAAACCTTGTGTAAAACTGTGTTGATATTTCCGACAATGGTGTTATTGGAAGTACTTACATAGGAGGGTTACCGATAAATTATTAAAACAGGTACCAATTGCTTTACCAATGCTTTTTATATTGTGAATTTTTTGCATAGGAATATACCATCAGAGATTTGAGATCTACAGGTATCTCTTCCAGTTTATAAACGTTCGGTAAGCAGTTGGCTGTCGGAGATTGGGCTCGATCAGTCTGAGACACTTATCAGTTCAGTATAAAATACCTAACAACAATTAATACACAAGTACACCAAACAATATTTAGCGTACAGACATCAGTAACTCCAACTCCATTCACTCGACTACCTGTTACTTAGCATTAACTGTTCCTGTAGCTGTCTCATAGCTTAGTTGTAAATAGTTTTTTTGAATAATTTAGTTTTAATTTTTAGATTATTTCAAATTTGTAATAGAGCTCGTCCCGCGCACAGGTCTTGTACGGCCTATGCAGGACTATTGTTTCGTAGTTTGTATGCATATATTGTAAACAATTTTGGAAATAAAATGGATTTTGATTTGTTTAAACATAAGTTAAAACTAAAATCAGTATTTTTAAAATTCCTCATTTTGTATATTTTTAACCATACGGTAGCAGTTTAATAAATAGTAGGACATATCCAATAGTGAAAAAAATTGTATAAAAACGTCTCCTTGAAAAGAAATAGGATCCTAACTGGTAAATGTTTAAATAAATAATAACTACTTTATTTTCTTGACAATATACATTGTATCGACAGTACAATTAATTACATTTTAACTTAGGTTTAGTATTATGTTAACGATGCACGAACAATTTTAAACGCGTAACAAACTAGCTAATCACTACACTACACTAATATAGAACATTACTACAAAATTTCATTACATTACGACATCATTTAATGGTTAAAATCACGGTGGGAACTAACTGAAGTAGTAAAAACGTATAAGCGCCTGTGTGTGTAGCGGCAGTAGGACCGCCTACAGTTGTGACGTCATACAAGTAGCAGCATGGCCTGTATATCTAGTGCGGCCTTGTTGTGAGCCCTAAGGGGTTAGGTGACCCTAAAGAAATGTGATGACTCCAGGTCAGTGTCCAACAGGTTAGAGGGATTTCATCAGTGTGTGGTCTCATGATCTTAGAAGTCTCACACTACAGGCTGTCATAAAAACATTTTCCCTCCTCTCCCTAAATGTAGTAGTTTTGTATAATAATCTTTTGCACTTAACTGAATTTTTGACAGTCTGAGCTTTCGTCATCAGGTCAAAAATTGATGGTATTATCCTGACTTATGAACCAGCTGATCTTAGTTAGTAACAAAGCTACACAAGGCATCTATCTCATCCTTAACTCATATTTGGGTTAAAATACACACATATGAGGTGTCCCCATCTCAATTGATGAGTCCAATCACAATAGCTGGTACCTAAAAAATGTTGTGTTCCTTTGTGTGTGTGCAAACACGCATGTAGGTACACACAACAGTGCAGTTGCTTAAGCTACATTATGCTATAGGTGGACAACAGACAAGTTCCGATCCTGGCGAGATGGCAGCGAGACTACACGATCAAGACAGTCCTGCAGGAGTTACGGAGGCTCATGACACTCAAGGACAACATGAAGCTGCCTCAGCCACCCGAGGGAAGCTCGTTCTAAACACCACTTCTGGACAATATCGTTACCTAGCTATGCAGATGTATTCAACAGTATGATTTATTTCACCAAAAATACTACATCGAATTGTATTCCTTTATTCACCTCCCCAATATGTCGTTGGCGGTACATGATTATCAGTTACGTCGTTGGCATTTGATTTTATCAGTGGTCAGTTATAACTTCAGATATAATCACAAAGTAAATAATTTATTTGAGCTTATCTCCAGGAATAGGCTATTGAGGAAAAAGTTGTAAATAAACTACTTTTTGTATCTATTATATTGTATTTGTATAAATTATGATTTCAATTTTTTAGTTAATCATTTGAGTTTATGCATTGTTTACCTAAATGGAGGTGATAATGATTTACCAGAACCTAATTTTTAAAATTTGGTTTTGCTTGGCATGAGAAATTTTATGAGATCGTGTGCTGTTTAAACCTATATTTAGTTTTGCAGATTTTCAAAGTTGTGTAATTTACCTATTTCGTTTGACAGATTGATGCTTCTAACATATTTAGTTGTCACATTCTCTTTCACATTTAGTCTTCACCTTAACCTAACGGTGTGAAATCACCTTTACACAATATGCTGAGACTCCATAGTGTAAATTTTGTAACATACAGTTTGGTCAGCTGTTTGTCGCCTTTTCGGTGATATACATTCCTAGGTTGACAAATAAAGACTCTTCAATTGCGATTGATCTAGAAATTCTACTAACCCGAGTGGTATTTAAGAAGTAAAAATTTTGTAATTTAGAATAGCATTCTCACGTTTCTTTGATATTTTTGGATCTGTGTTTCTTAAACATTTCAGACTTTGATGGAACATACTGGCCTTATAGAGATGGTACTTTTGGTTTAAGTAAATAATTGTATCGATGCAACTATTTTTAAATTGTTGGAATGGCTCACATAGGAAGTGAATATTTTTAACAAATGTAAATGGTCAATATCATCAGCTTTCTCGTTCTAACATATTCAGTTCTAATAGTAAAATAAATAAATTTTACTATGTTACTAGGCTTCTTATTCAATACCTTACCTCTTTAATATACTAGCTTGAGTAATAACTGTTCAGAAACTAATTTTGTTGAAAGGTATTTTGAACAAAGCAATGAAATAAGAATAAAATAAAGGAACAAGGGACTCAATCAGTCTAGGTAACCTTTGTCATTGGTTGACTCGCAGACAGTGAAACAATATTCAGATACCTAAACACAGGGCAAAATTCTTTAAGAGATGATATTTTAACAGCTCTAGATTCTGCAATGCACTGCCTGAACCCCTTAAAGTTAAACAATTTGACACAAGCGATTAGGGAGAGCACTGAAAGACCTACTAACAGAACTGGCTTCCGGATAGTAAAAAGAATATTCAATTCTTTTGGAATTAAGTAGGCCTAGTTAGGTATTATTTCTATTATAATCATTCATAATTATAAAAATAAGGATAAGTAAAAGTTCATACGGCCTTGTGGCTTCATTGGCAACAAATAATGCAAATGATATAGCAATGGGACATTTCCAAAAAGCAAAAATACTGCAAATTGGCTGTTACGTATATATTGACGTTTACATATTGTTAATCAACGTATCTTATAAAGGATTATGTGATCTAGTTTAAAAGGAATATGACCTTTCTGTCATGGCAGTAGCTGCTTAAATAGCATTTTCTCTTTGTACCATATTTACAGCCAAAATGTCGTGTCATTTTCAATAATGTTACCAACCCAGTGCGCCAAAGTCTGTAATAGGCAGGTGCAAATAATTTTTCAAGATGGTACCATTTTAGGCAAGGTTTCTATGATTGGGTTTTATTAGACACGATAAGAGCAGATGTTTCTACATAAATATTTTATGTTTAGAATAATATGATAAAATGTACCTAGGCAAAAGTGGTGAAAAAGGCAGACACCAACCCGTACAATAGATATAAGATAGTTCAATAAGAAATAATTTAAGAATTGCTGTGATAAAAGGATTTTCCACTGATTTCGTAAAGGAACATAATTGCAAAGCATGACATGATAAAGAAGAAAATCAATTTTAAAATCAGAAAATAACATTGCAAATACTTATTTGGTAGAATTCAGTAACTCCCAATAAATATGTGTTGTTTGAAATACAATTTAATAAAAATGAACAGCTGATTCATTAAAAAGTAGGCTATTATTCATGGCCAAAATGTAAACAACTCTGTGGAGGGATCTTTAAAGGCTTCTGGGGCAGAATCCTAAGGGATTTTGCTTAGTTATTCTTTTGTTAACTCATCTACAGACCAAGACCTTTCTTTGGACACCTCTACCAAGTTTCTACACCCAGCAATTCTCTCAAATTATGGGGACAAAGTTTCCAATTAAATATTTAGATTCCCCCATGTTAATCTTATGGGAAAAACTCCAACTTTGATGGCCTGTGGGGCAAAGCCCGAGGACTTTTATTACATGAATTAGTGAAAGGGGGCGTCTAGACAAAAAACACTTTATTTTGACACGTCGTTTGTAAAAATCCGTCCACTATTAACGGATGAGTAGTGTTTCGTAGAAATCGCCTCCACATATCTAATTAACTATACAGCCCGATGTGTAACTCACTCACTCACTCAATGAGTGAGTGATCCCTCCACAGAGTTGTTTACATTTTGGCCATGAATAATACCGTAGCCTACTTTTTAATGAAACAGCTGTTCATTTTTATTAAATTGTATTTCAAACAACACATATTTATTGGGAGTTACTGAATTCTACCAAATAAGTATTTGCAATGTTATTTTCTGATTTTAAAATTGATATATATGATGTCAAACGGGGTGAAGCCCGTGGGTAACAGTTAGTTATATATAAGGATAGATAGATAGATATATAGATTTGCTATTTCTCCCAACCCCTTGGGACCCAGACCTTTAATTTGAGCCCTCTCATATCATCATGCGAGCTGTCAAACCTAAAATTTTGATTTTACAAAATCGTTTAAAAACAGAATAAATAATATATAGGCCTACTCCCATGGCCATCGATTCCCAAGAATGGTTTTGCCCTCGCCAACAATTATTCGCCAGACCCTGATACCTTAGATGAAACAAACAAATAAGAACGAGAATAGTAGGCTACATGTACAGAACTTGTGAAAAATGAAAACCAAAGTTAACAGATTTAAGTTAGTTGGTTGTTTTATTGTTTGAACATTAAAGCTACCGTACTTGTAAAAAATTCATACATAGAAAAATCTAAACAAATTATGAATATGAATTGTTTCCATCATTAAGTACACAATGCTGATAGCAAATAGTTATTAGTCGGTGTACTAATCTATTAATGTGACCAAGTTAAAGATACATGCAAAAACGGAATCCAATGTGGCTGGCTGCCACTAATAAAGTCTAAACAGATATTCCACTCCGCCTGACTGCAGCACTTAAAAGAGGGTTAGGATCTGGTTCTTCAGTGATTATTGTTACTTTAACCCATTCTTTATTAGAACTTGATTTACGCAGAGCATCAATCACTGCTTGCACATACAATCCATCTTCAAATGTTGCGGCTAATGCTACAGGTTCTTTGACCCACCCTCGTTTGTCTTCAACTGGTAGGAATGCTTCTTTCAGTGCGCCCATCATTTTAAACAGTCCTTTCATATAAGGCTTAGGGATGGAATTGGCCACGACTGGATTGATGCTCCCACACTTTTGAAGGTCTTCAACGTCTAAATATATAACATCTTCTTTGGATGCCCCTTGTTTCATTCCATACAAGTCACCACCCCTAACCACTAAATGACCTTTACCACAAATTAAAAATTCTTGATGGAATTGGCCAGGTAAATGATTGTTCAAAGTGACGGTAACCAATGTTCCTCCACTCATTTCCATTTGAAATGAACAAAAATCAGGACTTGAAATGTTTCTAATGCCATTAACGTGCTCTGTTTGTTTGTTGAATGTTCTTACAACTCCATGTACTTTGACCGCTCTTTGACATATTAAATGAGACACTAAGTCAATTACATGACTCCCGACTAGTGTCAGAACACCTCCACCCATTGTCCCATCGCATAGCCAATCGTAAGTGTCATGCAATAAACTCCCCATTTGAACCCTGACATCACAAACAGTTATGTCTTTTTCTGTTCCTAGGTAACCATCAGCAATAGCCTTTCTCATCTGAGAGAAAGCGGGGAGAAATCTGAGACTATGATTCACTATAGATATTAATGATGGGTAGTACTGAGCAGCTCTTACCATTTTTAAGGCTTCACTTTGACACAATCCAGCAGGTTTATCACACAAAACATGTTTGCCAATTCCCAAGGCTTTCACTGCAATTTGTGAATGCAAATTAGGCGAGCTTATGATAAATATCAGATCAACATCTTTCCTTAAAAGTACGTCATCAATTTTGTTGGTGTAAAAAGGTATATCTAGTTCTTTGGCAACCTCTTCTGCTGCAGCTAAAGTTCGTCCCCAAATTGCTTCTATTTTGAACCCCTTTTCTCTTAGAAATGGTACGGCAATTTTTATTATGTTCCCAGTTCCAAATACACCGATACCAGGCAGCATTGTGTTTGCCTTTTGAAGTATGTTTAATAGTATAAATTTAGATGTCAAGTCACCCAATGGTTAGGTATATGCTATTAAACCTAATGACAACCATGTGACAAAAGTAACATGGTTTAATGCAGAATAATTTGTATTTAGTCCTACACTCCTACAACCTAAAACATGAGCAAACAGTTTCAACACATTAACTGCAGAACCGCAAGAACACATTCGACGAGTACGACTGATATGCTTCAGTGAATGAATGGTGTTATTGTTTCTATTGATTGACACTACAATTACACTTGAAACTGACTCATTTGATTTACATTATGGCACTTGACTGACAAGTCAATGAAACGACACGATAGAACTCAGAAGTTGACGTTGACGTTGACAGAAGCAGAGCAGAAGCAGAGCGAGCATACAATAAGCAGTTAAGTTAAGAATAAGAAGATAATGGAGAATGGCGATTGGCTCAATTCGATTGCTCCGATACGGTCACAGTACTCTATAACAAGTCTGCCACTCTTAGATTAACAAATTTTCTGAAGAAATTTAAACAGTGAAACTAAACATTGATTATTTCACGCTAAGCTGGACTATATTGATCTAGATGGATATAAAAAAGTCTTAAAAAGTATACTGATTTCGGTGTTATATATTACAAAAATTTTGACTGTGTTGTTCTTTACACCACTATTAAACCGTGAGCAACAAGTAGAGAAATGCCACCCAACAGTCAGTGGTGGATGCTGTTGCAAGGAATCTAAGTTGTGACATAGGTGCAAATCTTTTTTAAAAATACCCCCACCACAGCAAACCTACAGACTACGCGAATTTCCATTTGCCTGAATCGAAATACTATTAAATCTATTAGGTTAAACGGGTACCTAGGATTACTGCTACAGGGAGGCTAGTAAAGTAAAGATTAAGTACTAAAATAACCTCGCCTACGGCTCGTGAGTAAGTATTTCTCTCAAGTGAGTCAATCAATTGTTCACTTTACTCACTTGTTGCACAAATAACTATTTCTTAAGTGTATTTTCCTTTCACCATGGGCATCAAGCATAATAAAACATACTCCTTTAGCAAGTATTTTCCTCTTACAAATAACTTTAGAAAAGGGAAATTTTGGTTTGCGAATAGAGTCTGTAACTTCCGGCATGTTTGAACAGTGACGTCATTGTTATTTAATTGACTTTGTAAAAATGGCGAAGAAAACATACGATCTTCTGTTCAAGTTACTTTTAATTGGCGATTCTGGTGTTGGAAAGACGTGTGTTCTATTTAGATTTTCAGATGACGCTTTTACAACAACATTTATTTCCACCATTGGTAAGTTCTTGAATCATTATAATAGTACTACCTCAGTAATCGGACTCTTCAGGGAACAGGGTGGGTACCCTACTGTGACGGCAAATCGAATACCAATGCAAGTCATTCTTTTGTTTTTTTTACTGAAATATTTTATCACAAAATGTTAAGGCCTACATAAATAAAGTTAGCTACGTGGAATTTGGCTTAATATGCCATAGCTGTTAAATATTTGGCTTTCTCTTGAATTAGATGCAGACCTACCCCTGACTAATTTTTTTTCTAGGCTTTGAAGAAATTCAGGTTAGGTAGAGCTATATATCTAAAATTAGGTTCCTAAGTTATGTAAATATAATGTTATCACGAAACTTTTGGTCTTTGGTAAATGTTACCTTTCCTATCATAAGCTGGAACCGTTTGACCTTAGCACACCATATAAATCACTAGCCTAAGCTAAGTAAATACTTGGGCATTTTTCTACTTTAGGCCAACATGAGATGTCATTAAAAATGTTAGCCAAAGAGTCTGTACAGAATTAGGCCTAGTAAGTTAACTTAAGGTAGATCATCACCGTTTTTTTTCCTTAAAAGAAAAATGTGTTTTTTGTAGGTAGGCTAACTTATACTTTACATTGTTAACCCTCCAAGTGTCCATAGTTTAGGCCTTAATGTCCACCTATTTTTGGCGCATTTGCAAGGTTTTATTAAAACGGATCTGAGAAGCTTAAAACAATGTTAATTCTAATGTTCTATATACCATTTTGTTTGGAAAATCATGGGCTTCAATATTATATATAAAACATAAGGAACATTTTTTCAAAAAAAAATTTTTAGGTAAAAAAAATATAATTTCAAAAATTTTCAAAAAAAAAAAATAAGTTCGCGCTCAATGAAATTGTATAAATTATAGGCCTATAAATATTTGAAAATAGCCACTTTGTTCTAAATTTTAAGAGGATTACAAATTTATAATAATATAAGGAAGTAGATTTGCAAATAAATAAGTTATGGGCAAAAAACTGATTTCAGTACATAGCGTTTAGCTAAGAATTAATAGCCTAACCATAGCTAGGAATCTGGCTGATAATTTACATCAATATCACTACCTACTTCTTCAGGATCATCAACCAGCACTTCAAAACCACTTAAATCTTCTTATAATGCACCACGTATATCACTACTTTTGATTTTTAACACTAAAACAATGATAAACGTAATAAAACACATCAGTCATCGGTCCGGGGGAACCTAGCTGTTTACAAATACACGCACGTCAGCTGTCTGCTACAATATTTTCGGAACTAAAATGAATAGCGCTTAGAGACAGACCTCTGGAGAAAGCTTAGAATATTACGGAAAGAACGATACCTAACTCGATCCAGTTCAATCCGATTCAGTCAGTCATAGAGCCTTCGCCGTAAACGATGTCTGCGTGTCGAAAAATCGACAAGTAACACTACACAAAGTGTGCTGCTTGTCGAATTTTCGTCAAGTAACACTGGGAGGGTTAAGTTACACTACCTAGCTTACTAGATTTCATGTTTACATTTTTCATGGATGACAGGTATAGGCCTAGCTAATATAGCTATAGCCTAATATAACTCTAGATATCACCGTTCAAATATAGCCTACTTATACAGCCAAATGTAATTCACGCCTAACGTGTAACGCAGTTTAACGTTTTTAAGCGTATGGCTGTAGCAGATGCTCAGTTCTTAGAACTGAAAAATTTACTGAACAAACAACCTGTCCCACGGCATTGATAGTTTCTGCAACTCTGCATCATCTGCCCGTCAAAGAGAGAGACAGAAGACAAGTCTGCAATATTTGCTAATTATGTATGACAGCGGACTATCAAGTCCACGTGGACTATCTTGACCAATCAGAATCTAAGACACTTATTTCTAAGATGGTTCTAAAGTATCTAAGACACTTCCTTATGACACGTATTAAGTCAAGAATAGAAACGCCCATTCAACTAGACACTCCCTCAACACCTTCAGATCATCAATAAGACTTAGTATAGGCTATGTCCCGGGTCGGTCCCATATTTGTGTGTGTCTGTGTTTTTTATATAGGCCTATGGCCTGTTGCCTTTCATAGGCAGATTAAAATGTATGTTATGTCTTAATTAATTACCTATCTTTGATGATTATTCAGTGTGGCAGATTGTGTGTAATAAATCTAAAGGTTAGGCCTACTTACAGTCTTCGAAATCCTGGTTATTAAGCACTATGGCCGTTTTGGAGATACTCCATCGTCGGGTGCGTAGTCATCATATAGGTACTTAAATAAGTCACCTTTTACATATTTAAATTTTTTACGTGATTTCTTCATTTCCATTGCTCCAAATAAATAACACACAACACTTGACACGGACACGATACCTATTATAAAAACATTGAAGCTCGTGCACAGCTAAAAACTGACAACCAACCTTGGGCCTTATATCACTGCAAGGGTTGGGTAGACGACTCAATCGTATAGGCTATATATATATATATATACACGTATATGAATATGTAGCCTCTCTTTTGTACTTATGTGATTTATTGCTGTACAGCGATTACAAAATTTTTTTGTTGAGCTTCTTTGAGCTCTGTAATTTTAAATAACTTCTTGATCAGCATCGTACATGTTATCAAATTACCTGAAAACACAAAAATATGTATATTTTTTGTGCTTTCAGGTAGCTAATTTTAAAGAGAAAAAAGTTAATGAAATGGAAATATCATGATTGCGCAATACAGTCTGTATTGAATTTCATTGACGTAAAAAATCCCAATTATGACGATGATGGCTTTTTATAAGTTAAGTATTACAATATTTTTATGGACTGTTATAAATTTGTATAGCCTACCCATGGTTCTCAGATGTCCGTAGTACAGAATATTATTTCTTGCTAGAGACAAATCCAGATTATTGACAGTCCAGATGTCTGAAACGTCCGAAATATTGACATCCTTTAAACATAGGCTAGAACAAATTATCAACTGCCTTCCACCAGCAACTTTCAAAATATAGGCTAAATTAAGCAACATAACCACTCGGCTACCCCAAGTTTCCTAGTTTTTACTTTCCATCATGCCAGTTGTAATAATAATGTGTTTTAAGGCTTATTTCTTATGTTCTCAGGTATAGATTTCAAGATAAAAACGGTAGAGCTGAGAGGCAAGAAGATTAAACTACAAATATGGTAAGTTTGTACAAAGCTATTTTCCATACTTAATGTAATATTGACGTTGTTTTCAATTTTTAGCCTAAGCTTAGGTATACAATTTTTACTGAGTTTGTGCTGCCTACATGGACAGCAAAAATTTATCCTGATCAATGATCATTAAAAAATAATGAATTACAGCACCTTAATGGACGATCACTTAGTTTGAAAGCTACATATTTATAATATATGTAATATTAGTCATATTATTCTTAAGCATAACCGCTGCACTTTTTCTGACTGTGTTGTGTTTAGGGACACAGCTGGCCAGGAGAGATTCCACACCATCACAACATCGTACTACAGAGGTGCAATGGGCATCATGTTAGTATATGATATAACCAATGAGAAGAGCTTTGAGAATATAGTCAAGTGGCTACGAAATATAGACGAAGTGAGTATTGCAGATGGAACTGAGATGATTTAGATTTAAATAATATATCAGATGCTGGAAATACAGTTTTAATCTTGGTATGATTCTTCAAACTTGAAGATGGGATTTGTAAAATCTTACTAATCCAATCTGGAGTCCTGGAGTAGTTTTTCTAAAAATGTTGAAGTTAAGTAAAAGTTAACTATACATATCGGCTTAACTTTCATCAAATCTTGTAAATATGTTATTGTCTGTTATTGAGGATGTAAACAAATTACACTCGAAATTAATGAGTTTACAAACCACATTCTAAAGATAGGCTTGACAATAATATTTACAATAATGTTCTTAGAGAATAGTATATGTGTCTTTATGTAGGCTATTAGTTGTAATGTTTAAAGTGTAACTTTTGGTTTTTATCAGTTCCTGAAAACAAAATTTTATAATTAATCTAAAAGTGTTAGTTAAAAAATATAAATTATGCCATATTAATGCTACAGCATGCGAACGAAGATGTGGAGAAGATGATTCTTGGCAATAAATGTGATATGGAAGAGAAGAGGTGTGTCAGCAAGGATCGTGGAGAGGCGGTGAGTGTTGTAAACAGTATCAACCTTAAAGATTGTTTTTCAATTGCATTTTATGGACAAATTAATTATGATATCATTGCTGAATTGGCTCAGAGCTATTATTTCACTAATTTTAATGTTTTTTGTTCTTCATTATTTTATTACAAGTTGCAGTTTTGCTCGATTTCGAGCAACAGGTTATCTAGTAAGTATTTATTGGTTACCAAGATTTGTGTAGAAAAGGTTTTTCCTATCGAAGTTCTTTCCTTTATTATAAATTTGGAATGTAACCATTACTTCATATTGGGAACAAGAAGTTATCTTGACAATCTGTACTGGAGTATTTATTACACTCTAAAATGGTGGTGTGGGTACCCTATTTTATGCCAAAATGCTTCTTTCATGATTTTCATTACTGTTGTGATATCATTCTTTTTATTGTACCTATTTAAATTGAAGAAAAAGATTGAAAAGCCACTTGCGTAGCATGGCCTTTCAAACTAGACAGGATTACAGTACATGCTTGGAGACTGCTGGTGTGCTTTGCGAGTCTTCTTAAGGAGAGTTTTCATTTTTTACCGCTAAACTCCTCAACCAATATACCCTAATTAGTTTATTTGTCCAGATGACATTTACGGAAAATCTCAATAACACCGTCAAATGGTTTAGTGGCATATATTTTTAGTGCTGGAAATATAAATATTATTGGCTTTATGTTAGAGACCGCCATTGCTTGGTTTTGATTTATTTTGTTTTTAGCAAATTTTCCTATAGGGAATTTGATTTTAGACTGACACTAGTTATTGTGGGGAAAATTCCTAATGACAAACCAACTAAAATTAAGAGGAGTTTATGCATCTACTTAAAAATAATTTTTTGTATTATGTTAACAGATTGCCCGTGAACATGGAATCAGATTTATGGAGACTTCAGCCAAGGCGAATATCAACATAGAAAAGGCATTTAATGAACTGGCAGAAGCTATATTGGACAAGACACAAGGAAGAGACCCCACGGAGCAACCAGATAGAGTGTTGGTGGACCGAAGCCGGGTAGACCGAGGAGTGAACCGTTGCTGCTAGATCATTGCCACCGCCGCGTACAACGAACATGACATATCTACGCTGTACCCGCGCAGTGTTCATACAAACCGCTTATACTCAATAGGAAACAAACCGATTTTCTATGTAATTTTTTGTGTGATAATCTAGCACGGTGTAAATATTACAGCTTCAATACCGATTCTAACGTTTTAATCGCTACTATCTATGTGAGTCTGCGCCGCCTGACCGTTATTGTTGCCAAAGAAATCACGCAATAGTGTTCATGAGTGGTGTCGGAGGGATATTTACACAAGTTTTCTAAAGTTTAATGTGATATTTGAACTGTAATTCCGAGTTTCACCCTCGTCGTTTCCATAAATTAGTTACCAAGTGAGAAAATTTGAAGTGATTTGAGGCAAAGCGATGTATGTTTTACTTCCCTAATCGCTTGTTTTTTAATTCGAGTTCTGAAACAAACGGTTGCCTTAGTTTGCACGTTTTATACTTATTGTAAATAAATATATTGCTTAGAGATTATGTAACACCTAATAGAACCATACTCTTTTTATGTTTATAAAAATAATATTTTATCTTAACATAGATATCTGATCACTTTGATCGTAGGATGTTTTCAAATTACATTTGTGACTACAGAGTAAGATTTTGTAACATTTATTAGTGAGAAAAACCATCCAACATTGTGATTATAAATCAAAACATAAAGATGAATTTTTATTTGATCAGCATAGCAACATGGCAGACCTTTAGAAGTTTCCAAGTGAGTGAACATATTGTTTTCTTTTGTCTGTTAATTAATTGGTCTTAAAAATTAAAGCTTTTATCCTGTACAAAAATTGTAGTTTCATAGGGCCACATTTCAATTCAGGCAATCTTATTCATTCTATTACAAACCCAAAATATAAATTTTAACTGATTACCTACTAATAAAACCACTTATGCAATTACAGGTGTTTTAAGTTCTTGCAGGTGATATTTGAGGCACCCCATGTATTAATCTTAGGGGAGTGAGTTATTACTATGAACAATATTATTGTATTTTACTGTATTTACTCTTACAGTCCCTGAAAAATTGTTCAAGAATAGGGAATATTTATTGTGCTGTGTTCAAAAATAATGTTTAGGGACCGTTTCCAAGTATAAGTCCATGTTAAATTAAATTGAATTTATGTGCTTTTGAATTAAGTATGGTTAAATTTCTCAGACCCTTTTCATCCGGTTTTGATATAGGCTAATAGTTTCTATTGTGCCTGATATTTCTTTTATAATTTGTTAAACTTAGCTGGGCAATAATTAAATATCAGTGTCTGATTCTGCAAGACAAAGGTATTCAGGTTGTGAGAAGTATGAAATCCTTTTAATGAATTAGTCTCTAAAATGTTGTATTTTTATATTGAATTTTAAACTTTTATAATTGCTTTATCTTGTATTCAAATCTTGTAAAGTTAAAACATTTTTAAAGAATGATTTCAACAGTGGTTTTTATGAGGTTTAAGAACAGTAATGTAAAACTGAGATGTTATTCAGTTAATTTTTTTTAGATGTGGAAAAAGTGGACGATGTTTCTTTATTGAACTTTTAATATTTTTCAGTGTTGAAGTTATGTGGATGATTCCGGGGCTTTCTAATTAATTGCAGATAGACAAATCTAGTCACTTTACTTTTTGTGTATAGATGTATTAGGAGGATTGGCGTTCTTTTTCATTTCAAATGGTTTAGAATCTTTTTCTTAACAAGCCATTCACAAACATAAATTTCAGAAACTAAATATATGTACAGTTGACCACAGAAGGTCTAAAAGCCTTGTATTGTCAAATTTGCACAAAAGCTGAATTTTGTTGTGTACAGTTAATATGTTGCTTTTACTGAATTTCTTTTGGTATTCTGTATGCTATACTTTATTTCTTAAGTTATTTACAGATTTGAATATACAATGAATTGTAAAATATATATATTCTTCATTTAATTGTGTTTTTATTAATTATCTCTGTCTTGTGTAGTTTGTTAAAAAAAATATTTATTTAGTTGAAACAATTTCAATGTGACTTATTTAAGACATGGAAGCCGGGGCCACTGTAGACAAATAAAATAAATATAGATTGTCAAAGGAAGGTTCAGCGATGTGCCGCTAGAGCGTGTTCGGTGTTCGATTCGCTGTTGTCATCGGCTCCTCGCCGTATTCTACTAGCAGACGCTGCAGCAGTGTGCGTCAACTACACGGCCCTCCTAGCGGTGGACACCAGAACATATGCTAACCGCAGAACTGCTGCCGGTCTATATATCCTTTTGTCTATGCCGCTGGTAATATTGCCAGCAAGCAGCCAAGTCTAATTCAGAACCATGTTGAACATTTTTGTCTTTTTAGTGCTGCCTACCCTCCGCTGGCACTAACGTGACCTCCTCGCTGCTAAAATTAACACGCGTCTAGTTGGTTCATGCAATGTTAGTTTTGTTATGCTGTATTTGATACTTCTTTTTGTGAATATTGAATATGGTTGACAGCAACAAGTGGTCGGGCTAATACATTGCAACATTTCTAGATTTATTCCAAAAATATTTTTGCTTAGTAGGGACGCTTCGTCTGCCGACATTAACAGGAATGCTAAAGACTCAGCTTATAATGAGTTATTCCAAGACTTAAAGAACGAGGACTAAAATCAACTTTGGTCTCATTAATGAGTAAAAGGTCTAGAGGCTATTTAATAGCGTAGTGGCTAGTGTTAATAATCTGAACCCTACAGATCCACAGGCTGCTGGCGATATTTGCCAGCGCAACAATAAACAACAGCTGCTAAACAGCCTAGTGTGACCCCGGCCACAGTATAGGGCCATCAGCTAGTTTAACATTTAAGATTATACAACACTCAGGATGGTTTAGTAGGGTTGAGTAGAAAAACTAAGATCAGATCTATGTATCGACCATTACAGATATGCATTTTTCTGTTTCAATAATACTCTACAAACGAGTTAGTAATCGTTTGGAGGCACTCAAAATTATTACATGGTATGAATATGAAAAATTATTCAAAACATTTTTTGAATAGTCAAATCATATTTTAACTATTTTAAGACATGTAAAATTTTAGTAGAGCACTCTTCGGATGACAAAAATAGAAAATATATTTTTGAATCATTGTGGGTTCCAGCACAGTTGAATTAAAAACAATGACAATCTCAAAACACTGGACTATAAAGCTTTGTTTCCTTAAAGCAGGGATAATCTAAAATGAAACTCTTAAATTTTTTTACGCTCTTTATTTCAATTTTCAGTCATTATCTTCGAAATCATGAATTGTATTGATAGTCATCTACAGTTTGGTATGTTAATGCTTCATTAATACCCAACGGCAGATTTTGCATCTACTCCAATGGAGGCACACTTGGATCATCTTTGAAATCCTTAGATGGAAGTTTTTCCTCTATTTTCTCCCTTAGTGGTTTCATTTTTCTTTTATTACTTCTATCAAAAATCTTGCTAAAATCCATTTTATCATCAGGCTTACCTATTTCCAGGTATTGGCGCCTGTAAAGAAAATTTTACTCAGTGATATCTAAGTTACACTAATTCAAGTCATCATTACATTAAACAAACACACTGATGTATGATGATTCCTAAACACTTTAAACTTGTTGCTGACTACTAGGACGAGCTGTTTCCTTAAGCCACATTTACACCAGAGTTTACAGTAAAATGTAGTAATATTTGTTAGCAATAAGTGTTACCTAACTAAAATTTTGAACCTTTTTTTGTGAACATGGCTTTTAAAAAGTGCTGCCCAGCCTTGGTAGCATATACATATACTAAATATGCTACAAAGACCGGGAAGTAGGTGTTAACTGTACAAGATAGTAGCTCAACAAGATCATGCTAACATAAAATAGTAACACATAATAGTTGTTTGTGTTCTTTTGTGGAGTTTCCTGTGTGCACAGGATTTCATGTGAGTACGTAAACACCTTAAGGTGAGCTGTGTTTGATACTTTTTGCCATAATGCCAGCAACAAGTTTAACAATATAGACTAACATAGCCTTACTAATATTACTATAATTTTGCCCCTTGAAACATTAAATACTCTTTAACTTATTCCTGTTAGATTCATCAGGCAGCAGATTTGAGCTAATTCCTTTCAAATTGTGATTAATTCATGAGTAACTTCACAATGTTCTCTATCGAAATACAACTTCTAAAATAGGTTGATTAGTAAATGACACTCGTCAATCTGAGTGAAATCTCACTCTATCCCAATATTTGCATTGATGTGTCAAAGTCTATACAAGCTGAGCGGGGGAGGGAGGTAGCTTCAAAAACAGAATAGCATTGTTTTAGTCTATTACAAAACTGACTGTACTGTACGCCAGCTGACTTAACCAGTTCCTTTCTTGTATAATAAGAGTGTAGTAAGAAGCTATTCACGGTAAAGTGTAGCAAAAACATGTTTAACACTCGGTTTATTAAATCTTATTTTTACGTAATGATTTTTAATATCTTATGCAGACAAATGGCAGCTGGGTGGTTAAAGTGCTCACCTAACAATCAAAAGGTCGCTGGTTCTATCCTGAGAAAAGTCAGTAGCTTTTGATGGTTAAAAAATAGACCCAGCTGTCTCTGATCATTGGGCTTTAAAAGATCATTCTGACACAGCTGATTTAATCAGTAACAAAGCTACACAGATCATCTCACAACATTCTATACTCATCCTTCACTCATGTTCGTGTTAAAATGCACACCTAGGTGACATCCCCATCACAAAATTATAATGGTATGCCAGTGAGTTGGGAAATTGGTATGAATATATAACACACATCTAACATACCAGATAGAAAATCATACAGAAATGGATGTCTAACTGTAAAACTAGCGGATTATTACAATATAATATACACATACTTTTAAAAATATTTTAAAAATTAAATAGAAAGCATTTAGGTTTTAACTGAATAAATCCATTCTGTGAAATATGAATTTACTTTGACATATCACATCCTGAAGTCTGAGTAGAGGATGGAGTCGATGGGTTGACTGGTGGCTTCATCTTTACAACTCCATTAACCTGCAGAACAAATACAGAGAAATAAACAAACAAACAATGTCAAAAGCTGTGGTTAGTAAAACTATTTATTTCAACAACATATATGTAGTGTTTGCAGTGATAATGCTACTCGCGTGGTTTTATTAAGTTATCCACTTTGTTTGTTGTACACTCCATTCTGAAATACTCAACATCCCACTTTCTGCCGTCAAACTCCTCTATATGTGCAGGGAACAATTATTTATGATTATCTCTTTGGTATTTCTAACCATAAGATACCAAAGTCAAACTCCTCTATGCAACTGAACCCCATTTGATCATCTTAGGTATAATATTACCTTTTGGTACGACTGGACATTCCATCCCCATGTTTAAAAAGTTGTCGCCAGTTTTTAATCAAAATCGTCTAGTTGATGTGAGCCAAGAATTTTCATCTCAAATTTTCACAATACTCTTTGATGGGTTGTCAATTTCTTGGGAAAAACAAAATTCCTGTTGTGAACACCAAAAACTTTTGAATGTATCAACATATTGCCAACAAAAAATCTGAGTTCTTTGGATTTGTTATAAACATTGGTTTAAACATGTGTTTTAAACTCCGGTGTAAAAAACACAGCTTACAACTTTCATAAAAGATGAATATTGTATTTATTGTATTACACCACAATACAGTAGGCCTATATATACAGAAAATACCTTGGGCATTGTTACTACCAAGTGGCCTGTGGTTTGTGAACGTTGCGCTGTTGACAAGGACACTTGGACCTCATCTTCCAGTGTGATCTGGAACACCTTCCCCTTGACTCTAACTGTCACATACGTCGGCTGTACATCCACGTCTAACAAACTGGTGTCCAGGTGTCTGCAAATAACAGAGAAAACAGACAAGGTGTAGCACTGTTAACACTATAGTTTAGTCATTACCATCACTTAAGTGGTTAATCATGAACCACTGATTAAGTTAGAATTCACCGTAACTTCCTAATTAGAATTGAGTAAAACTAACTAAATTAACTTTCCTTTTTTGTGTAGAAAATTAAACTATTAAAGTTTTTTTTTTTAAATATAGAGTTTTAAAACCACTTTCTATTACCCAGCATCTCAGCAAGAATTAGTTGGTGCAATTAATAGCACTTAGTTAAACTTAGTAGTTTTTTATGAAAACATTTAAAATCTTGGTACACAATACAAAAATATATGAGAGAAACAAAAGAAATGGAAGAGCATAAAATACTATGATTATAATAATCACAGCCAGAGATGTCACTACTTTTTCTAGCAATTGTTAGGATTAAAGTTAGTCTAAGTAATAACAATAAATCCTTATTTGTCATTAGGAAACATTTAGGATCATACATCAATCGTCAAACAAAAACAACATCAACTTCAATATTATGAAAAAACAATAAACCTTACGTCAATATCAAGACTAAACAAACAACAATAATTAATTACCTGCAGGAGTGTTTTATCATGATAAAGCATCAAGTTAGCATCCAGGTATATGAATTCAAAGATTTATTTGGTCAGATTTTAAAAAATCGTCCAGGCTATAAGAAAGGGTTGATTATAAGCAAGACGAAACACAAACTTACTTGTAAATCCTTAAAGTTAGGACGTAGCAGTTTCTATCCTCGTCATCTTCAAATGAAAATGACAGTTTGGCCTCATTTATGTTGTTTGGTTTTCCATCTTTATTAAACAGATTGATTTCTCGTTTTGTTGAATTTTTCACTTCTTCAGGTTTTTGTTTTGCTCGCCTTGAGTGTTGGGCGATTTCAATCCTTGTCTCAGGCGTGTTTTCACTTATTTCTTCCCAAAACCTGGATCAGAAAAATTGTACTTTTACTACACAATTTGAAGCCAACAAACATTTTGCCCATTCTATATAGAGGAAGCTAGATTTTTAAAATCCAATATATTAAAATACAATTTCTTTGAAACATCAGGAAAAAAATGTAAGTTTACAAAATTATTTTTTAAATCCACAACTTACTTAGAATCATCCATAGTGGCTTTATCCCCAGCAGCGTTCAGACATTTTTCTTCGGCGCTTTTCTTTTGTTGCTCTCTTTTTTCTGTGATACAGACAGAATAAAATACATTACAATTATTAATTGATCTAGTGTCAAAGATCACTGCAAACAAGTACTACATTTATACTGTACGGCCTCTTAGGTTTAAATTCTAAAATGTCTAAAAAAACTTGTATAGGCCTACTTCTTGTTTTATATTGCTGCTGTTGGAATCATGTAAGCCATTACAATCGATGTGCCTTGCACAAATTAGGTACTTGTGTCACTCATAGATCTTTCAAGAGGAATTTTTTTCATTAATTCTTGTTAAATCTTGTATAAAATCTTGGTTATCCTTGACCTGTGTATCAAATGTGTGTATATTGTATATTAATTGTTTATAAACTATGGCAGAAACTTACTTCTCTGTGTAAGTGCTTACTGATGGTTCTTTAGAATCTAAACATTGACAGATTTTACTGCTACTGAACTCGGGCAAATAATTATGTGAGAATACATCAAACTTACTTTTGTAATCAAGCTGTTGAGCAATAATCTTTGGCCGAACAAGGGTGTAATTCTGGACAGCCCTGATGCGTTCCGAGCGTTCAATCTCCTTAGCATCAAGAGTGTGTAATTGTGGCAGTGTTGCCACTACAAACTCTCGATAACCCTCGTAATCTGTGCAGGGGTTTCCGGTCAGGTACCTGCAAAGTTGAAATGACAAATTTGTCACAATACGTTTAGACACAGAGGAGTTAAGAAAGCAAAAATACTAATTTCTCATTACAGAAAGTTAAATACAGTAGAACATCATCGCTATTTCGAATTTCAGAGGAGAGAAAATATATTTAGAATTATGGATAGTTTGAATTATAGAGGTGATTATTAGGGGCACTTCTTAGCACTCATTCTTGCTCACTGCACTAAAATAGTCATCAAATAACAATCACTTAACACCGCAAAATCTGACTGACCGTTAAAGACGTCAACTTGTAAGGTGTGCGGTGTCACAGAAAACATACTACTATAACCCAGAATGCTGACCGCGTGGAGCTTTGCCTGTCAATTCATATGCAGTATGTTTACTGTGGCGGTGTGCCGGGGTCGTGGCTTTTCCGATCTAAGCTCTCCCGTATTGCCTTACAAATAAAAATGCTCTGAGTCGCTCGAGCTGGGAAACCCCACGGTCTTTCCGCGATTCAATTTTGAACCAACCGTATCAACCTGATAAAGCTCAGAGTGACATCTCACCACAGGGGGTCATTGATGCCAACACACTCATCATCGCTTTAATACTCTAAAAAATTGTCAACTATATTTTACTCTTGCGTGTAAAGTGCCAGGCATATTCGCCGGTCTTTCTAGAATAAAATAGATGAATAAATTAAAATCGTAACTTAAATGCCAGGCCAATAACCAATACTAATCCCTAAATACAATTAATTATTGCCAGGCTCATTCGCCGGTCTTTCCTAAATAAAATATCTCAATAGCTGAAAAATATCTGCAAGTCTTGTTGATTGTTGAAGGTTGAGGTTTAGACATTTGGTCGGACTTCTCAACTGGTTTCAACTAACTTCCAACTGATCTAGAACGGCTACCGGCTCTGGTTTTATTCGCCACAGAAGTAGCGAGCTCCAGCAATGATTACAGGAACTACTTATTCTGTGTTCAGCGGCCGGCGACGTAAGCTGGTGACTCTTATCAACTGGTTGACCTTCGTCCCCGAAGCATCTTAGTGTCCACGCCGTAACAACTGTTTCTTGCTAACGGTTGTAAACATCAACTTTTTTTTAGTGCCATTCAATATTTACAACCGTTTCAAACTTTGAAAGAAAACGAACAGAAGCTAATGATACACAGTGGGAACATCAATAATAGCGTCAGTTGAAGTTTCAATAGGTATATTTATTATCCTGAATTCAAATTACAGAGGCTTACGGTAACACAGTTTGAATTGTAGAGGTTGAATTCGGATTTTGGACGTAACAGTTTGAATTACGGCAACAAAATTTGAATTGTAGAGGCTCGAGTATGTGCAAATTCGAATTGTAGAGGATGCATTAAGCGTAAAAATCCCATTGAACTATTGGTATATTATTTTTCTAATTTTAGAGGTTTTCTGAGGGGAACAGACAAACATTAGTAATACTAGAGGTTTTTGAATGATTAGAGGTTCGAATTAGCGAGGTTCTACCTTCACAGTATTGTGGTAGAAGTAGAGTGGCAAAAAAAATTATCTGTGTAGCCGAGTGGTTGCTCGCCTTCAAATCTGAACTTCACTGGTTTGATACCAAGCGAGATTGTTACTATGAACCCAGCTGTCATTTAAAGACGTGCATGAATTTTGTCAGGCTATCAATTAGATGCTATCTAACAAAACAGTAGTTAGATTAGTTACAAGATCATGGTTATTTGGACGGTTCTCTTACAAAAAAGGTTATAAAATGCTTAAAGCGTAGCTACACGAATACATTTTTTTTATCCTAGGAGTATTCTTTTGCTTATTATTTCACTAAAGCATACGATTCAGTGTTATGTTTTATTTTTATTTTACAGAAAACACTGCTTATAGACAACTTAACTATGTGAAGTGATTAAGATAGAGATATGTGCTGTTGAATTAAAAAGTCACATGGCAAGTCATTGGTGATCACAGTGATTAGATTCCCAGGCCTCAAAGTCCAGTCTCAAACCAAGAAACCAGCAATATTGTTATCTTATCAGCTCATAAATAAGAGGTTAATTTACCTTATATCCTCTTGTGACTCTTATATATACCTCCTCTAAGGGCGGATCCGCCCTTAGAGGAGGTATACAGTATAAAAGAGTCACAAGACGATACTAAGGTAAATTAACCTCTTATTTATATGTTAAGTGACTCGAGACTACACAAAAATGAAACCATCAAGGCGATACAACTTAACTCACATATTATGTTTGATAACTACCTATTTAAACTTTCTTGCAGTGATAACTAGAGAGCATATTCTTATATTTACAAAAATCTAAAATACATACAGATGCTGAAGATGTTGATTCGCCTTCAATCTTTCTACTGACAGAAGATCCCCGATAAAATTTAATGTTAGATCCAACTTTTGGAGGGATTCACATCCTTCAAGATTTTCAATAACTTCTACATTGTTTAAAGCAAGATTTAGATACTCCAAGTTTTTCATTTTATGTACATTTTCTGGAAATAAAAAGAATCAGAGGTATAGTAATTGATGATTTAATAAAATAAGCATTACTGGCTTTTGATGTATGTCAGTTTTATACTGAAATTTCAGGTTTTAGTTTTGTACCTTCTACCGTGGACAAAAAAGAATGAAATAGACTGACAGCAGTGCTGCAGTTAGCATATGATCTGGCGTCCACCGCTAGGAGTGCCGTGTAGTTACGGCACACACCCCTGCAGCGTCTGCTGGTAAGTTAGCAAGGCGAGGAGCCGACGACGGGACGGCAGTGAATCGAACGCCGAGCACGCTCTAGCGGCACATTGCAAGACCTTCCATTGACAGTCTATATTTATTCTATTTGTCTATGCTTCTTCATTCCATACCCAAGCTAACACTGTATCCAGAGATTTTGAATACAAATTAAGTCTACTTGAAATGAGGGTTTATTTTATTTTACGGCATTTTCCCTTAGCTTTTTCTATTTTATTACCTGATATAGTAATAAATCATTTTTTAATGATAGTTGTTATGGATTTTCACGATATTTTTGGCTTATTCAATTGTAGCATATTAGAGAAAAATTTCAATTGTCCATATTTAGTGAATAGGCTGAGCTTTATTGGTCTAAGTGTAAGTTTAATTTTTTTGAATCTGTCTGAACATAAACTCAACTAGAAATTCTCATGGTCTGTAGTTTTGCTGCCATGAAAGTAGTTTTTCTTTCATATCACTGGGTATGTTAATTGAATAAGAAAGAGTAACAACCCCTTTGGGAAAGTGGTCTAAAACCCTTAGGCTTGGCAAATTACTCTTTTTGAATATGCCAAAAGATCAAACCCACAGAACCACTGTACCAAAAGAATATAAATAATGTTTGTAAATGAATGTCCATATGAGCTATACTATACTAATTTACAATTAGGGCGCCGGCCTGACCTGTTCAATGATGATTTGATATAATTCATCAGTGATGTGATAAAAAGTAGTCTCGATTGTTCTTACCTATTCTTGATATTAAATTGGACTGTAACAGTAAAATTTTCAAATCCCTGCACCAGTTTTGAATGTGTTCAAACTTTTCAATGTCCTCTTGATGCAAGGAGAGTTCTTCGAGGGTAGAAATGACACATTCATTGTGCTCGCTTCTTTTTCTAACAAGTTCTTCTGTTACTGTAACAAACACTTACTATAACTTTACCACTGTAAACAAATTTACTAAACACTATTTTAAATAGTTTGTCTTCTTACCTGAAATGAGAGTCTCTAATGTTTTACTTAATTATCAGAGCTGCAGCAGCAGAAACATACACTTAATAATAAACAAAGTATAAAAGTAATCAATGAAATAAATCTTTATCACACAAGGGACATTGGGAATGGACCGATGTAATAATAAATCCAGCAAACAAATCTCACAATGCCAATAACTATACAGTGTACATTGACACTTTTTAATGATGAAGGATTGGGATATTGAGCTGAATAGCATACTTTTCTATAGAATGATATTGTATAACAGTATGAAATTTGCTAATAAAAGCAGTTCAAAAATACACTTTGTGTAGATCTATTGTAAAATTGTCTATTGTAAATGTAACATAAAGTGGTTAGTCAAATTACTGCACGTTTTAATGTTGTTCAAAACTCATAGTAGTGTCTAGTTACTGTAAACAATTTGTACACAGGCACACAGTATGGAATAAAATAAAATGAACTTACTCAACACCATAGCTTAGTCAGACCAAATAAATACAGTTATAATTATTTTCACAATAAAAGAAACTGCAGACTATTACAGTAACTGTTTGCATTAAAAACACATCAACCAAAACACTCAGCATTTAAATACAGAACAGACGACAATATTAAAGTTGTTGGTAGGTTGTTATGACAACTATCATCGCCACTCTCCAGCTTGGCGAGTCAGTGGCTCAGTCGGTATAGGGGTTCGGCGGTCGGCGGGTCAGTCGTGACGGACTTCGGGCCAAACACGGTACGTCCAGAGTGCAGCCGATTCAGATTCATATTTTTGGCGCGTGCCTGGCCTGAATAAGGATAATATTTTAATTAGGATAATATTTTGTTGGTGGCCACAGTGGAAACAGGAAATACGACGCCGGTACTGACTCGGTTAGCAAAAAAGCAATTCAGTTGTAGGTTGTAGTTATGAACTTGTTGAATGAGGAATTAACGTGTACAATTAAGGTAAACGCACCAGTAGCTGACAGTATAAGAAACTATACGCACTTAATAATCCGTGGTTTTGAATAAATAGGAACTAAAGAGATATTACGGATTTTATGTGATTCTAAATTTAGTGTAGTTTTCAAATTTGTCATACAAAAAGGGTTTTTAAAATATACTTTATAACATTTTTAAGCTTAATTCAACCTTTGTACGTGTTCCAGTGGCTGACAGTGAAAAAAGTGCTTGTACCAGTAGCTGACTGTCAGTTGTCCCAGTAGCTGACACTGGAACTATAAATGTACTAGCTGCTAAACCTAAGGGTTTTCTAATTTATAAGATGAATAAAATCTAACTTAATAGTTAAATTATAAAATCATGTAAAACGTTATTAAGAAAATTTATTTTACATATTTTAAAATAAAAACTATTTACATTAAAAAAATATATGTATTTTATATATATTAAAAAAATATAATTTTTTTAAGATAATTTGGCTTATTAATTAAAAAATTAAAATCATTTTATAAAAATGTGAGATCACATAAATTATAAATAGCATGCAAATTTCGATGGGTAAAACCAATTTAATATTGTGCAAGTAGCAAATATCCCCTGTCAGCTAGTGGAACTTGTATGGCTTTTGTGTACCAAAGCCTGACATTGATATAATTTTAAATCCTAAACCCCTAACACCCCAATTTTATCATGAAATTGTCAACAAAGGTATAATTGATAAAAATAATGAGTCTAATCATTGATATTATTCAAGAAATTTAGCGAAATGACAAAAAACCCAACTTACCTTCTTAACAGTTTCATTAAGGGAATCGACTAAATGTGATGTGTACAGACAGGGTCGCTTTCAAACCACCACCATTCAGCGAGTATGGGCTAAATTTCACTGATTTGTTTGTAAACAAATCAAGAATAAACATATGTTCTTCTAACAATGCAATCATGTGTAAATATTTTTAAGAGCCCACATTATATTGTAAAGAATCTTGAACTGTCAGCTTCTGGAGCACTGTCAGCTACTGGTGCATTTACCTTATAGCATCGCAAATTCTTGTGAAGTTACAGCCAGTGAAAAATTGTGTTCAGGAGATTTCATTTTGCTTTCCCCACCTAGAAATGATATGAGCACGGTTCTTTATAAATTGTTGAATAAGGGCATGAAACTGGTTACATTTTGGAAAAAATAAGCTTGACAAATCAGTATTCATTAGTTGTATAACAATTAAGTTATTTATATGTGTTGTCAATTTGTAATATTTATTTGTTGATATTGTTGCTTGCTCTAAGTTAAACAATTAAATTATTTATTTTTGTTGTCAATTTGAAATGTATTTGTTTTTATGTATTGTTACAAGGTTATGTCATAGATAAACATGTTTTATCTATTGTTATGTTTTATTGTTACATAGTCAAAAATGCACACATTTTTTGCTGTAGTAATTTAGACTTATTGTATGAATACAATGTTGTTGAATATTTATAGTAACACACAATAACTTTCCTTGTTTATTATTGTAATGAATCAATCTAATGGGTTTCCCGTTGGAATAAATAAACTTGACAATCTAGGCCTACTGCAGAATCAATGTTTTTTATCTATGGTAGAATCTTTGGAAACACATAATATGCAGCTACATGGTATAAAAAAAGCTGCTTAGCAATGTCAAAAACATGCACAAAATTCAAACTACTAAAATCAAATCATATGATTTAAGAACATAAACACAACACATAACCTCATAACCTCAATAACCTCATAAACATTAATTAATTAATAGTTGTGTTGTGAGTTGTGACTGACTATATGTGACTGTTGTGAGTTGTGAGTTTCTTGACTGTGACTACTTTCAAGCTCTTCATTTAAATAAGTTTTGGTTTGTAACTTTTTCTGATTCAAATGATGGAGTTATAATCACAATTAAGATATGAATAAACAGTCAAGTTTAAACGAATAACATGGCAGGTAATTTTATCCTTTTTGTTAATTGTTACATGTATTTTCCTACAGTAGGCCTAGCCAATGTAAAAAAAAAATATTAGTCCTGCATGTAAGTTCCATTTTTATAATGCTTCTCTATAAAATAAAATACAGCTCAACTTATTTGAACTTATTAAACAGGTCAACAATATTTTTTGCCATTAAATTACAAGGCCCAATTCTACAATTTATTAGCCTAAGTTAATGTTCCAGATTTCAATGTACCAGCCCTAGTGCCAACCTTATGACATAAGACTCATAAGAGGTTTATTAGCGAATTTCCCATATAGGGAATATTAGCGAATTTCCCATATAGGGAATAAGCTATTACCGTAGTACTCATGGTATGACCTGGACGCGGGACCGATTTTTTTTTTCGTTTTGAGGTCCCTAGAGGCCAAAAACACCATCCGTTCAAATTCATATTTATATATTTATATATATATATATATATGTGTCCGTCAGCACGATAACTCGAGCAAAAATGATCCGATTTTGATGAAATTTGGTACAAACGTGTAAACTTACGTTTATCCGAACGAGTTCGCGATCCAGCATGATCGGACCATGGGAACGGGTGTTTACGGGGGGTTTTATGGGGTAAAAATAGGTTTTTCCCATTTTTGACCCAAAAAACATAAAATATAGCAATTTATTTCCAAACCATTTTGTAGAGCTTCAAAAAACAAATAATTTAGTATATTGAAGCGTTATTATGCGCCTAATGGTTACGGAGAAAATTCCAAAAAATTGTAAATTTAAAATTCCCATGTTATTCTTATGGAGAATGAGTAAACTGTTGTAGTTTGCTTGTTTATGAACATATTTTGATCAAATTTGGAAAATGTTTTTATTTCTTACTAACTATTAATATTTTACAAAAAAAAAAAAAAACAGTTTTACCCTCCCTGATGCAGCAAACCTAAGTACCGGTACTTGTTAAACTAATTCTATTTAAATCGGGAATAAATGTTATATTTTTAAGTAGACATTTCAGTGTAAATCCAATCAGTCAAATGGAAATTCGCTTAGTCTGCAGGTTTGCTGCGGCGGGGGTATTTTTACCTTCTAAGCTGATCTTTTTTCTCTCTCTAAACATTGGAATTACCTTAAGTTAATAAGTTGTTATTCCATTTTGCTTGCACGTTTGTCTGTTAACCAAACTAGGCTGCACTTCACTTTACGTCCTAGACTCATTCGAATGAAAATATCGATTATCTGATTGTTTCATTCGATATATTGTTTGGTTAACCTTACCTAACTAACCAAACGATATATCGAATAAGTTAATCGAATTATCGATCGATATTTTCATTCCAATGAGTGTAGGACGTAAATTAAAGTGCAGCCCCAAACTAGGTACTTAAATGTTGACAGGTCCATTCTTCCGCCATAATGATCCAAGCTCAAGTTTAATTTCTTCTGTCAAATCCTCAAAATCAAACTGTCTGTTGAACCAGGTGCTTTGTACCACTTATTTCAATGAAGGTAAGTAGGCCTAATTTATTTAGTTCCCTTTCATTTTTGAGTTTAAGCAGGTTTACACTAAAATACACTGAATGAAATTACAACGGGAAATGAACCAATTATCTATACTCTCTTGGTCTTCGGGGTTCGATCGCGTCCTTAGGTTATGTACACTATGTACAGCAACTACTGACGTTTCGGCCACATAACAGTCAGCCATCTTCAGGGCGAGCGAGCACTATCACCGTAGTCACAGAACTCGACTGGCACGGGTGGGCCGGGCTCGTAGGTTATATACCCTCTTGATGGTGGTGGGGGTGTTCTGGAACTTTCCACTCCGTTCTAGCCCCACTGCGCTCCGGCCGCTTCTAGAACTTTCTTGGCTTTCTCTGGCGAGCGGGGTAAAACTACCTTAGTTTTAAACCTTACCTGTAAACCAAGTGGTTGTGATTTCGTTTCGTAAAATGATTTTGTATTTTTAGCTACAAGTACATCTTTTACAAATTTACTTGCAAATCAAGGGCGGTGTGATTCTTGTAGGTATAATTATGTTGTAGAGATTTTTTTTTATGACCTCGTTTTATCTTCTCCTCTCCACGCAACATACGCTTAGGCCTAATTAGTTGACTATTCATTGTTGTTAAAAAGAACAGAATGATTATCCAATTAAATATAAACGGCATGATTTTAATCACTCAATATAGAACTAATTGTTAATTAGGCCTAATTCGTATTACATGCAATAGACTAATGTGCTCTTTAGTATTCATCCGATTTTTTTCTTTTGTACTGTATCTATAATGTGGTAGATTTGTTGACTAACATATGTCGAGGCTCTTGTTTACTTTTTAGTGTTAACTCGCAAATAATGTCATGGTGACCAATTAGCCCATAAGGCCCATGTTAAGTTTCTAAAAGTTTGCATTCATGTAGGGAAAAGTCCTGTGGCCCGATTTGTACCATTTCAGATTTATACCTTCCCATGGTTGGGTATTCTAACTGTGTTAAGTTTCGTGCAGATCGCTTCAGCCGTTCAGGAGGAGTATTTGTAAAACAAAAGCAGGAGTATTGTATAAGAGCTTTGCTCACTTCGCTCACTCCGCTCAATTAATCTTTGAACAACTGTCATTATTGGCTCGGTTGTCCGTTTGAGTTCAAATTTGCGGCATTATATTCTCCTAGTAAAGACCTTTAATTTGATGTACATGCCAACCTATGCTTCTATTTAAGATTTCCTTCTGACTCCTTGCGGGACGTCCCCATGATATGACAGAAAATTGATAGTTCCTTGAAAAAGTAGATTTTTAGGTGTGGTGTTGATGTACCAAATCTTATTGATTTATCTGTTGTTGTTTAGAAAATATTAAGCCCGTGCGGGACTTTATATACACCCTGTATATTTTGTTTGCATGTATATGTATAACTGCATTATTGCGGAACAAAACTCCGCAAGCGCCCTCTCTCGTAACATACCTTTATACTAGAAAATTGCTCAATATGTTTATTTGAAATATTACTCATATTAAGTTAAACAAATAATGCTATTAACAAAGAAATTAGGTTTCTGATTAGGTTATTCAACACTTACATATAATACTTCGTTATAACAACAAGGAAAATGGGTAAAATTTATGCTATTTAGTTTTGCGGCATAAAACTCTGCATGCGCCCGCTCCCGTTTTACTGGTGAAGCGCCTCCTCGAGGGTTAACTTAAAATAGGTTGCAATAAAGTAAAAAAATAGGTTAGCCTAGTTTAACAAAAAAACTTGTATCCTCAATGGGGCCTTACGATTGCCTGAATGGGTTGGTATGTAATTTAAAAAAAAACATTTTCTAGGAACACTGGGTTCTGGGAAGTACTTTCTCCCTAACCCTTCACCCCTTCTTTTTTGGTACATCACTGATGTACCAAGATGTTTGAAATTATGGGTGCACTTTAGTTTATGCCCCACATTTACTATTAATCTATACTTATTTAATACCGTACGCAAGCAGGTTTTTTGTGACAATTACTCCTCCGAAACTACTGAACCGATTGACATGATTTTGGTGTCATTGGAAAGAGCGTAACGTGAAGTTGTGCCGGAAACTTTCTTTTTAGGGAAATAATTAGAGAGTGAGGCCCTGGGGCCCTTTAAAGTTTCGTATTTCTCCATAAGATTAACATGGGAAACAAAAATTGTTATGAAACTCCAGTTGTTGTCAGAAATGCTGTTCTGCTATTTAATTTAATTTGTTTACAAGGAGAATTGTTTCTTGGTGCCATGTGGTCAATGAATTATAGCCTACTTTTGCATATATTTTAAATGCTATACACTATATAAAATGATTTTACTCTAATACATTAAGAGATCTTAATTTAAATAATCAATAAGCAGAATTGAGCCTTTGCTTATATTTTTCCTGGTAAGTGTGTTGTAACTGTTTCTCATAGTATATTATAGTATCTTAAAGTAAAACCGAATTATTCTTTTCTGCATTCTCACCCCGTAGCGAAGCACGGGCAGAGTAACTAGTTATACCTTAAACTTATACATTAACTACCAGCTGATTATAAAATGAAACTATTCTAAACTAACCTAACCTAACCTAACATAAACTAAATGGCGTAAACTAAAGTGCTAAAGGGCGTAAACTAAAGTGCAGCCAAAATTATACCAACAATAAGTAAAGTATAAAATCATTTATTGGTGTGAATCTGCTAATAACTTGCCAATAACCATTCCTAGCAATAAGTAGTGTGCACACTTGTAAAAATCTATTGATGGCGCTATTTGAGTATTTAATAAGCCTGCACAGAGTAATATCTATATGGCCACGTGATAAAGGACATGTTCACGCACAGGACAGTATCAAAGTCATATCCCAGGAACGATTTTTGGTCATACATTAGGGGTAGATGACAAACCACTCACGCCAAAATCTATTGATAGCCCTATTGTGGAAAAATAGGCCCGCAAACTGTTATACCTATGATCATGTGATAAAGGACATGTTCATGCACAGGACAGTATCAAAGTCATATCCCAGGAACGAATTTTGGTCATACATTAGGGGTAGATGACAAACCACTCACACCAAAATCTATTCATGGCTACTTATTGGTGAGTTATTGGCAGATTCACAAGTCAATAATTTATGTAAATATTGGCCAATAGGGGGTCAATAAGATAGGTATCAATTTATGTAAATTGATTGCTTCATTTAGCACAAAATATTAAAAATCCATTTAAAAAAGTACCAAGTAAGTTATAGTAATATAGGCTAACACTTCACTAATAAAATGATGTAACTTATAAGCTGGCCGTAAGTTAAGCTAGATTTCAAAAACGTACCGTCCCGATAATGACTTGTAATATTGCTTGGAAACAACCAAGGCCCCACTAGAAAAAACAGGCCATGCTGCAGCGCGGGTAGCGCAACACTACGTCACAGTGGTGGATAGTTGTACTAAACTCTATCCATTAAAATTTTACAAACAGGCAGCTTGTTTATTTACCTAAAACATATGGGAATGGTGATGGCAATGAATTTATCAATGAAATCTATCCACTAGAGTGACGTCATAGATCCTGCAGCATGGCCTGCTTTTTCTAGTGGGGCCTTGAAACAACAGTTCCAATATTGTATTTATATCCAGTGTTGTATTTATGCAGCACTATTTATTTTTCAGCTGTTGAGGACCAAACAACTTATCCTTGCAACACAAGTCGTAAAGGTTCAGTCTCTAGTACTCAGAAAACCCCATCTTCTCAACTTGGAAACACTACTTCTTTTAAAGGTAGGCCTACATAATAAATTCAAGTTTCTTTATGATGCTGCTTTATTTCTCTGTAAAATAAAATATTAAGTCAAGCACTCTAAAAATCATCCAGGCCTATAGTATCTTGTTCTGTCAACTCACATTGACTGTGTACTCGCTGTTGTTTCGTGATGTTTCAGTCCAGGGAGCCGAAACTCCACTTGACTGAGGCTGTTCTAGGACCATGTCCTCGTTTGTTCATAACATAATAGCTTTGTACCTCGGACTTTTATAGAACTAAACATTCTATCCCCATGTTAAAGTCGTCTTCAGTTTAAAAATCAAAATGGACGTAGTTAATGTGAGCTACCAACAGATTGGGCTCATTTAAATTACTGGCTTCTGTTGGGGATTGGACTTTTTAACCAAGTTAAACCCATAGGACCATTTATAGTAAGCTATAACATGTCTTATGTTGCGTCAATTATCTCAGTAACAAAATACCCCCGCCGTATCAAACCTGCAGACTAAGCGAATTTCCATTTGCCTGATTAGATTTACACTAAAATGTCTCCTTAAAAATACCACATTTATTCCCTATTTAAATAGAATTAGTTTAACGAGTACTTAGGTTTGCTGCGGCAGGGAGTGTAAACAAGTTTTTTTTGTAAAATGTTAATAATTTAGTAAGAATTAAATGCATCTTCCAAATTTTATCAAAATATGTTCATAAACAAGTAAACTACAACAGTTAACTTATTCTCCATAAGAATAACATGGGCATTTTAAATTTACCATTTTTTGGAATTTTCTCCGTAACCATTTGGCGCATAACAACGCTTCTATGTACCTATGTATTTGTTTTTTAAGCTCTACAAAATGGTAAATAAATTTCAAAGTCCCAGGTTCAAATCCCGCCATCACCAGTGGACTTTATATGTCGATGATTTTCCAGGACTAACCTGACTTAATGTGTAAAACAGTTCCACACAGGAGCGTGGGCGTCCTAGAAAGTGTTGTAGGTGGGACAAAAAAACCTTTGAGGCTTTAAGGAGACTGTGAAACTAAATTAGTTAAAGGGTTATAATTTTAAAACAAAATAATCAAATAAATCATTGCCAAAACATGCAGTTTGACTTTCTCTTACAACTGCTGATATAAACTGTGTATTTTAGCTTCATCGTTCAACAATGACACTTCCAGGCCAGAGTCAAGCCATGCAAGCAATTGGTTATCCAAAAGCTCACCTGCTTCACAAGTTATTAATTGTGAGTTTATATGTTAATTATAATAGTTAAGGCTACCATCTAAAGGCTTGTTTGTCTATATAGATACACAGTTGAATTTAACACACAAAACACATTAGTTGATCTAAACTTCAGGTTTTTAATTTGAGGCAAAGATAAGTATTAAATGAATGCCTTGTTACTGGCTTTAACTTCAGCCAAAAACAAAAAAAAACAAACCTATTTTAAAAGACATTTATCAAGGGCAAATTCCCCCCTTTTTTTACGCTAGTGACATTTTTAAAATTGAAGTTGTAGCTATTTAAGTGTATTAGGTAACGCTTTTAAGGGAAAGCTGTCTAAACCATTTAAAGTTGTAGGCCTAAAAGTGTCTATCCTTAAAAATATATTCTTTAACTGTCAAGACTAGAGCGTGTCAAACAACATTGCATACCTTACCTTACCTATTAGGCCACTCAAAACCTCAGAAGGTTTTTGGCCTCGCCAACAATGCCTCGCCATCTCTCTCTGTCTTGCATCCATTGAGCCTCTGCCCCCAATCTTCTCAAGTCCTTTTCCACTTGGTCCTTCCAGCGAAGTCGTGGTCGTCCCAAGGGCCGCTTTCCTCTTGGTAGTCCTTCATTTATCGCTTTAATTGTTACATTTTGTTCTCATCTTGTGATATGGCCTGCCCACCTGAGTCTTCTGCTTTTTCTGATTTGGGCTATTATGTCCGGGTCTCTGTATAGCTCTCGAAGCTCTTTATTAGTGCATATTCTCCATATTCCATATTCATTTATGGGACCATAGATGCACCTTAAAATTTTGTTTTCAAACACCATTAGCTTTTTTTCAGCCTGTTTTGACATTGTCCATACTTCTGACCCATTCAATACTACAGGTTGTATGATGGTTTTATAGACCCGTAACTTGGTCTTTCTTGAGAGTAGTTTGCTTTTTAAAAGCCCTTGTAAAGCCCAATAACATCTGTTGACATTCATTATTCTTGTGTTGATTTCAGCCATTTCTTGGTTGGCTTGATCAATAGTCGCTCCTAAATATTTGAATTCTGTCACTCTTTCAAATGTGAGGTCCTCTACTTGTAAGTTGTCACTAATATTGTCCATGTGACGGCCTACCCAAAGATATTTAGTTTTCTGTTCATTTACCTGTAGCCCTACTTTTTTTGCTCCCTCTATTAGAGTTTTGGCAAGGCTTTTCAAGCTATGTTCATCTTCCGCGACTTGCGCAATGTCATCCCCGAAGGCTAAGACATTACATTTTGCTCCTACTTCTATTCCTTGGCCTCGACTTTTTACCTTTTGAAGGGAGTTTTATAAAGCCAAGTTGAATTATAAACGTGAAAGCCTGTCTCCTTGCAACAACATTGCATAGGTAGTACAAAAACAACTTTGAGGAAAGTATAAGTTTCACACAGTGTACTCTAATTATGAAGAAATTTTAAAGTTTAATTTACATTATCTTTTTTGTTTATTTACAGCAAAATCACAAAGACCTTCTCTTTCAAAAGCTAAGTCTAAATCAAATGTCAAGTCGTCCAACGTTCCTTTGACAAAGTTTTTTCGACCTACTCAGAAACCTAATGGTAAGTTTCTAACATATCTATATTATTAAAAGAATTTGTTGGATTTGTATGTGCAGCAAATCGATCCTGAAACATTTATTTTTATAGGCATATTGGGTATCTATTTAAAGCTCTTATCCTCTAGATGTGCCTTTTGCGGGTTCGGGTGATATACCGTGAAAGCCCTTCGTCCTATAGGCTTTTAAAATTTCAGAGCCAATCATCAGAACTTTTTTCAAGTTTACATTTTGTTTACATGAAAATATATGGCCATGATACAATTTTGTTTATATCCATAGGAAAATGGGGCTATCGGCATGGGGGTGTAGTTGGTGATGTTGTGAAGTAAAATGTTTTAATGTTATTTGTATAAAATGTAAAGAAGAAAATGACTTACGTTAAAATTTGTGTTGTGTTTTAGTTGTTTTAGGGAATTTAAGTAAAATATTGTAATGTTATTTGTTTGATATCTAAAGAAGAGATTTTGTGTTTCCATAGTATGTTTCATTAGAGCATTTAAAATTTTACTAAGATGCACTTTTTTAAAGGATTACTATAGCGTTTTTATTTATTTTTCCAACCGTTTTTCCTGGCATACCACGTCACATTGACAAAAATAATTTACGTCCCGCTTAGACAGGTGGAGGTAATTATGGATGGAATATGTTTATTATTTATTATTTTCCTAACCTAATTGACCCATTCCCCAGCCATAAGTATTCAACTTTCCGAGCAAGCTATATTTTTCCAAAACAAAATATAATCTCTTCCATGCTCCAATGTCTTGCTGACTATACAGTTGCCAATGGACCGTGAACTGGTGCCGTGTAACAGCCTCAACAATCCTGGACATACACTACTCGTACGTAAAACATCACCACGCACCACTGCAGTAGCCTCTAAGAACCATTAGTAGGCAGATGACCGGTAAATGTACTCCAAAGTGGAAAACACTCTCCAATAGCCAGTAAATGGTGTTAGTTTCAGATGAAAGCAGAATCAATTTTGCACCTGAACCTGAAAAAAGAGATCCCATATTAATAAGTAAGTTTAGAATTTTATGTTACCTGTTAATACGGAGGACAGTGCTCCGTCATGTTTTTTAAAAGTAATACACACTTTGCTTTAGTAATAAATAATTAATATCAATTAAGTATTGTGATTGGGGTTTTCATTTAAAATTTAAGAAATAGTCGTTTTTGCTGTTAGCTGTTACCCTACTTATTATAGTACTGTTCTTCCACAGGCGATAATGAAGAAGAAGACGCAGAAATTTGCTCCAACCGTGATGAGGTCATCATTGAAGATTCATCCAGTAAGTTAAGCTCTGAAAAAATAATATGTGATAAATAAGTAAAAATATTACAAAATTAATAACACTTTTCTTGAAGAAATTACTTACAATATACCTACACTTACTAAGCTCAAACAAGACTCAGATTTAAAAAAATACCATATTATTACATCTTGAGAAACTGTTTCATACCAACGATCATGATGAGCGCACTCGGCGGCCATCTGGCATTACTGCCCCCAGTACCCAGTGCGTTGCTCATCATGAACGTTGGTGGGGCTGTCTTTAAATGCCCTTACCCACTTTCGTTCCGTTCCGTCACTCAAAATGTTCTCGTTATACACTTCACTAATCTGTCAATGAATTTCAATGGCTTTCACCCCTTTAGCACTTAAAAATCTAATTACAGCGTGCACTTCACAGTTGGCAGCAGTCTCAATTGGCGGCACCATTTTGAATGCTCCAAAACGGATGTAAACGCGGCCGATTGTTGCTGAATTTCTGGTGCAGGCTTGCCAATAGATGCACATACACAGCACAAATGTCCAAAATGCCAATCACAGTGCTGGAACGGAGAAATTTAAAAACAGTAGGCTACTTAGTTAAAAAAAAACATGCCTTGTACTCATTAGCTCATTAACTCATTAGCTGACTTGGATAGCATGAATCGATAGACCATTTTGAGACGTATCTGCGTTAAGTTATTTGTTTTAGCGAATTTCCCTATAGGGAAGTAGCTATTACCGTAGGTCTCATGGTAAGACTTAGGCCCGGGACCGATTTACTTTTTCATTTTAATGTCCCCAGAGGCCAAAAACACCATTCGTTCAAATTTTTATATATGTATATATATATATATATATAGATTTATATATATATATATGTGTCCGTGAACACGATAACTTGAGTAATTTTTATCCGATTTTGATGAAATTTGGTTTGAAGGTGTAAGGCGGGATAAACTTGAATGAGTTCGCGATCCAGCATGATCGGACCATGGGAACAGGGTTTTATGGGGGGTTTTATGGGGTAAAAATTGGTTTTTCTCACTTTTTACCCTCAAAACACAAAATTTCCCAATTTTTCTCTAAACCGTCTTAAAGAGCTTAAAAAAACAAACAATTCAGTATATCAAAGTGTTTTTGTACGGTTATTGGTTACAGAGAAAACTAAAAAAATTGTAAATTTAAAATTCCCATGTTATTCTTATGGAGAATATTGTAAAATGTTGTAGTTTGCTTGTTTATGGATATATTTTGATCAAACTTGGTAAATTTATTTATTTTATAGTAAGCTATCAATATTTTACTAAAAACACACTACTTTATTAGTTTCCTTGTAGCAGCAAACCTAGGTACTCGTTAAACCTAATGTTATTTAAATAGATCAATTGAAAATCAATTCGGCCAAATGGAAATTCGCTTAGACGGCAGGTTTGCTGCGGCGGGGGTATTTATGCTATTTAAACATAAAAACTCATATTAAACTTCATCATATTAAACTTGTTAGTAGAGCTAACATTCTGCTTCTTCACATAAGCTCAAATGTTTACAAGTCAATGTAACTCTTAGTCAAGCCATTTTTGTATAATTTATTTGAAATATTCTAGGTGGAGATGAGTTTTTGCCTCCTCCCAATCGTAGTTTAAACAATTCCTCATTCAAGACTCAAACTTCTGGGAAAACCAATTCAAGTAAGAATTTTACTACATTTATACAATTTATATTTTTTCATCAAAACTTAAAACATTGTTTTACAGCAGAGAGTGATTGCTAGTAAAATTGACATGTAGTATTTTAACTTAAATTGATAATATTTAAAATAATTTTTACTGAATTTGGTTCTCTCCTGCAGTTTTAGAAACATATCTTGCAGTCAAGCAAACAATGATAATCGGCCTTTGGGTTAAGTGATGTTTCAGATTGCTGGGTTAATTGACCCTCTGCTGTAAATTTTAAATTTGACTTTTTTTTACACAATGCTAACTAAACGCTATTTGTTTGTGTACTTAAATTTTTATATCCAACCTCTGAAAGTTTGGTTACTTGTATTAACTCTTGATTTTAACAATTTGTACCAATTTGTACAATATGTTCTGCAGCTAGGTTGGCACCAACCACTTCCTATACCACCCCGTCCTCTGGCTTTCCTGAGACCTCTTTGGGTGAGTAGTTTTGGTATTTCTTTAGTAGGCCTATTCATTCCTATTGGAGATAGATTATTTTTATTTGTGCTAGTAGTTGTTTAAAAGGCTTAGAGGTTATCGTTGAATCAGACTTCCTCTAGTTGAATTTAAATGTAATAACTAATTCTGAGAAAAGGCTTAATGGTTTTAAAATTTAAGCTACTTATGCAAATTACTTAATTTCTCTGGCCGAATTTATTATTGTTGTTGTTGAGGTACGGTTATCTGGATGGTTGACAATCCGGATGATTAAAGTACAGGCCACAAAGTCTGCAGTTGGCGGCAGCCAATACCAGGACCAGGCTAAGCGTGACGTTGCAACATCGTTTGTTGACTACCACTCGCCCTCATCGCAGGCTGTTGCGGCACTAGGCCTAATTAAAATATACTAAACAATATTTCCAATTCAGCTGGTATAAATTTCCGCTGGGGAAAAAGAAGTTTGTCAAACTAAAGTAGCCTATATAAGATTATAGAAACAACAATAGCAAAGCTTGATGGTATGGCACTTAATGTAAACATTTATTAATCAATAATTATTTGATTTGGCAACAATGCTCGGTCCTCATTGGCTCCTTCATAATCACATGGTAGATAGGCTCCTCTCTCAACTGCAGACTCTGGTGGACCGTATATAGAGTTCAATTGTATTTGGATTAGCAGTAGCCAGTTTTTAATTAAAGGGAATATAGTTAAATTGACCTCTTAGAGTGTGATACTATTTGAGTTTTAGTTTCTTGTACTTTGATAGTTGATAAAAGGTTAAGTTTGGAATAAGTGGCATTTTCAGTTATACACAGCTAAAGGGTTGATGAATTTTACATTGTACACTCTCTCTACAATCAAACTTGGTTCTTTTTACACTTGCTTTACTATTTTAATCCTAGCAGCAACTTTGACTTATCAATGGCATGTATATTTCATGGTAGTAACACTAATCTTGTTTAGTCAAATTGTGAAATTTAGGTACTTAGTGTTGTATTGAGGTAGTTTTTTTATCAACTATTTATGTTTTACAGATTCCCATCTTCCGAGTGATAACACTGTTTCCAGATCAACGAATGTTCCTAGATCCAGCACAGCAAGTACAGGTAATTAATATAAACATTTATCATAGTTTTATTTAATTTTTTTAATAAATAAAACTTTTTAATTGTTCCCCAAGTAGAAGTTCTTTGATTCCTCACAAAAACTATGGTTTGTTAACTACCCCTTCAGGCAGAAATTACACTTTGTTCCATGTTCACTTTTCATGACAGAAACAATCATTAGGCTAGGCCTATAGCAAACCTACCACTTAAGTATACATGATAACTGTAATTACTTGTTAAAAGCAGTTCCTGCCTGATTGAGAAATATGTTTGATTTGATTCATCATACTCTGACTGTATACCTTCCATAATCCAGCTTGTTCAGAAATTTAGCAATGGCAAGTCACTGAAAATGTTATTTACTGAATGCTTTCTAATATTAGCCTTTATTTTTTAAGGTTAGCAAAAATGCTATTAAAATAGAGAGTAAAAAAGAGCTTTTATGAGACAATTTTTATCAATCAGCTAGTGAAAGTACTCAAACCGTAGCCGTGAAATATGTTCATGATTTCACCGCGAGTGTGGAAGACGATGATGCTGTTCTTGGTTTCATGGTGAGGAGATGATAATGTCGTCCCTGCAACGGCTGAAGATTTTCACTATTTCGCCGCGCTGCAGGAGAAGTTAACGATTTTGTCACGAAGACAAAAATTATGACTAGGCAAACCATTTCTGTGATTTTGCCACGAGCGTGGAAGACTGTGATAATGTTTAAGATTTTACCATGAACCCCGGGGGATATTATTAATTTCATTACAACCAAGAACAATGTTGAAGATTTATTTGCGTTTGCAGAAGTTGTTAACCAAGTGAAGTATATAACCAATTTTTAAAATCAATATTTTTCAAAGCAACTTGATTTGAACTCAAATTGAATCTGCCCCAATACAACCATATTTGACCAGACCCAAAATAAAATAGTCTGGCCCAAAGACTATTAATATTATAATAAATAAAAAACATACTTTATTGGCTGGTCTCATACCAACCTCTTACCTCCTACGTCCCTCTAGATTTCAAAAATACTTTATTGGCTGGTCTCCTAACCTCTTAAGTCCTAGTTCTGTTTGCTGATTGGATCATAGAAAAAAAAGAATTGAGTTCATCAAGTTGAAGCAATATCGTTTGTATTTCTAAATTCCTTGAGCTCCAGCCACCAAAGAATGAAAATATAGGGAGATCTCTAGAGCTGCTGGGGGCCACATAGATTCTATATAGGGCCCTGAAATTAATATAAAACAGACAATTTATTTAGATTGACTGTTTCAGGATTCATACACAAGGAGCCAAGCGTATCTCTGCTCAGACTAGTCAAACAGTCTCAGTCTGGTGGTGTCTCTAAGACATGGGCCAAACTACTGCATCAATGTAAGTATAGTTATATATGTGTAACTAGTTTATATTTAGTATACATTTTGTTATTTATAGAATTTAATATTTTATTGAGCTAAAAATAAATAAATACGAAGGCGGTATATTAAGTCAGGGCTGGTTTCGCTTAAAAATCCATAGTTTGCTTGTACACCGAAACGAGGTTCATACCATTTACTGGCATCATTTGTGAATAGAATGACACAAATTTCAGCTATGTAGCTGACATATACACGTAGATGTCTGTTTTTAAAGTTTTTCAAACAATCAAATCTCCCGCCACATTTGAAGTAAGGTCAGTGTTCAGTGATATACTTTTTGATTACAAGAAACATATCTGATGTCGACATTCATCGCCAGATGACTGGAGATTATGACCCTGATGCTCTGGGATAGAGTGGAAAATGCAGAAATAGGCTAGGGAGTTTAAAAATGACTCATTTCAGAAGGAATTGTGTTTTTGGCGGGTACCCAGACTTCTCAAAGATATCACTAAGAAAAAAGGATTTCACAGCCATTTTTACACTCCATAACCCATTTCTGCACATTACCCTCCCTCATTACATTAGGGAAATCACCTTTAGTCATTTGGCGATGAATGTAGGCATCGGATTTGTTTCTTGTAATTAAAAAGTATCACTGACCTTACCTCAGATTCGGCAGGAGATTTATTGCTTAAAAAGTTGTAAACACACTCAGCGAAGCATACATGACAGGCACAGAGCTGAAATTTGTGTAATTCTGTTCACAAATGATGCCAGTAAATAATGATGAGCCTCGTTACGGCATACAAGCAAACTACAGATTTATATGTGGAACCCCCCCCTTTCTTCCTTTCTTAAAAAACCGCCCTCTTATGTATATATATATATATATATATATATTTTTTTTTTTCTTTGAGGATTTCTTGAGATAACTATGAAAAATAAACCAGTGCAAATTTGTATTCAATAAAAATGTTTTCAAGCAGAGAGAAATTAATGAAAAGTAAAATGAAAAAAAAAAATATGAATGTAAACAGTTTACAAATAATTAAAAGTATAATTAATAACGCTTTTTTACCAATTTATTAAAAATAATAACATGTTTTTTTTAGACTTTGGGGCAAGTTTAAGAATTGCGGTCAGTAGAAATAAAGCTAAATCGTGAGATTAAAAAGTAGTGTGGTAAATAATAAGCTGACCCACTAGTGAAATATAATCCTAAAAATTTTTTCAGACAAGAATGAAATAAAATTAGCTGAAGAAAACAAAGTGGTCAGGAAGTCTGAGTCAATCACTCCTAGAGTTCCTACCACTTCCCATCCTCGTAATGCTGATTGCGGGAGATACAATGATGGTGAGTCAAAATTTGGTTGAATATATGAAAACTTTAGGAGTACCACTGATTAAAGCAATGGGACATCAGTCACTTGACACTGTTTGTAAATTGGAATACAATATACTGTATAGGTGAAACATACATTCAAAAGTAGATAATTCATATCACACATGCCATGACATATTTTATATTTTAATATTCATCAAATCAAATATCATTTCAATAATCAAATATCATTTATTCCATGAAAATAGCTAACAAAGCGGTTTGATATATTTTGTTCATAATTAAAATCAACAAGTGTTGTTCACTAATCTTAAGGAAATTATCTATTATATTCTCTCGAAACAGGCTTAGTGTCTTATATTATACACTTCAAACCATCATTCTTATTGTTGATTATTTTAACTTGCTGAGAGTATTCAGAATGCTTTGTCTCGATGTTCAAGGGATGTCACTAAACCAGGAGGAAGGCAGAGGTTACAACTTTTCCCCTCCAAAACAACAACATCACAACAATGGTAAGAACTTTAAATCTCATGTTTTCCTGAAGTTTTTTTATGGAATAAGGATGGATTGTATTCTCTAAATAACCATCCTTGTTAACGTAAGTCAATGCTAGGAGAGGCTTAGCAACTTTTCTCTTTAAAAGCTCTTTACGTGTGTGTAAACCAATTCTTTACTTAGGATAATTTTAACCCTAGAGTGTTTTTGGTCTAACTATTTCTTTGGCTGAAAAACATATTCAAGATATTTAAGAAATTAAAGTCTACAACTAAGACTTGAGGCGTGGTAAACAAGTTTGCAGATATGAGGAGTTTACAAACTGCATCATGCTGAAACAGTCAGAAAGTAAATTCATGAGCAAGTGACGAAAACTTACCTTCCCAGTACTGATGTACAGTAGTCGCATTTAGTCTGGGCGAGTGGCCGCAATAGTGCGCGGGGTGTAGGGGGGAGTGTTTATTGCTCATTTCCAAAAACATCTGGCCCACACGGCTCTGGGTTTGTTCAGCTGTCTTCACTGCTAACTGGGTAAGGCCTCGATCGGGTAGTGGTGTAAATAGGTGGTTGGGGTTCCCCCCATCAGCTTGCTGGTGGTCCCCTTCTTCCTGGCTTTGATGGCAGGCTCTGCCTGTCAGGGATTAGATAGGTCCCGAGTGTTGCTTGCACTAAATGCGTCAGGGCATTCCATTATGGTTCTTCTGGGTTTCGTACCTGGGGGAGCCCAGGTGGAGTGACGCTTAAACAAGTAGCCGGTATCCCTGGTTAGGATTGAGGGGAAACCCTCTCTCCGATGGGTTGCTTCGGCAGCCGGTGAGCCTGATGACCTTAAGTCATCCTCCCATGATGTGCCAAAGGTTGGTGCATTAGCTTCGGCCTACATCATGGGGCCCGGGTATGTTTAATTACAGGTACCGGGCTTGCAGTCAGGGAGCTTGCTCTTATGACAAAACGAAGTGCGAAATGCGAATGCGAATGCGAAATGTCTTCACTGCTAGGAGGGGGTGGGTGAAATGTACACAGGATGGCTAGTAGAGACGGAACCGCGCGCCCAGACTGCTTGCGCTCACTGTAGTTGTCACGACGTACTCGCCAAGGTTTGCAGGCATACCACACAGACAAAGTGTGCGATCTCTTGACACTGGTCAGATAACAAGGAAGTTGGATAAGCAAAGATAAGATGATAAAGATAAAAAATCTGAACTTTAGGTATATTTATCTGATATCATAGTCTCCTTTAACACTAAGCCTTGTAGAACAATGTTCCAACGCCACACTAACAACAACAACAACAGTTGCGTTTGCAATGGGAGAGGACACAGTTTTAATTTACGGTATACTATAGTATAGCACATCTACTGTAGCCATAATGTTCTACCACCGCACCTAAACAATAGAAAAAAGTAAAGTTCTCACAATTTTTTGTTGCTGATTGGTTTAAATTAGCTGTTGTCATAATTGCACAAAAAATAATAGTGCTGCACCCTGTTAGCCCTGTAACCTTATAACATTTTAATGCTATTGAATATCATAGAACCAACTTGTGTAGGTCAGCTGACAGCTGACGAAATTCTTTAATTCTTTTAAATGTGAATACTCATAAGGGTAACATGGGAAACTCTAGAGCAACTGGGGCAGAGCCCAAAAGGATTTTTGAGATAAAAATATGTCTATATGTTAATTGGGAATGTGAGCTATCACCATACCAAACTTCAACCCAATCCGACCAGTAGTTAATACCCGATTGAACTTCTAACAAACAAACAAATATACAAACTTTCACAATTAGGCATAATATTAGTATGATTTTTTAAAAAAGATTTATCATTTTGTATTTTTCCAGAGTACATGACATCATTAGAAGATAATGAAGAATTCTGTAATTTTTCCTCTCCTAGACAACAAAATGATGATAATAGTAGTAAGTACATAAGACATAACATTTCATATTATGATCAGAACTGCTGGATTTTAAATTAATTAAAAAATGTTAGGCCTAATTGTTTATTTTCTTGTGAAGTACGTAGTTCATTGCTTCATGGCTTTGGTGTTGTGGTACCTAACTGCGTCAGGTAGTAAGAAGAAAATAGTCATTACACCTTATCATTCAAAATATTTATCAAAAATAATAATTTAATGGATTATTTTGGTGTTTTTGCAGGATACATTCCTCCGTTTGTGGATAATGAAGGGGCTTCTAATTTTTCCTCTCCAAGACCGCAAAATGATGACAACAGTAAGTGCTTACAAATTAAGACATTATCATTATTGGGGACTTCATAGTCAGTAACAAAGCTGCACAGATCATCTCATACCATTCTACATCCATCCTCTTTGCTAACGCCCAAAAGAGATTTGTGGCCTAATAACTTACTATGTTATCTGAACTGGTAAAATTTGGACTACAGTACCTCAACATTATTTATCAAAGTATTGAAAATGTGTGTATGGTGTAAACAACATTTTATAATACTCAATAATAACAAGCTTTTTTCCTGTCAGGCTCTCTTTATTTTTTGTATGATTAGATTGAATACATAGACTCCCTCTTATCCGGACTCCTCGGGACGGAGGCCAGTCCGGATAATGGTTTTTCCAGGTAAACCGGCGTCCCCAAAAACTTGTTAAAACGGACCGTTTAAATGCATACTGTGTACAGTATTTGAATTAAATTTAGGAGAGCATTGTATTTAGACACGTGTTCACTGGTCTCAAATCTTTCCCACGAGAACAGTTGTTTCAGTACCGCCCACTTCCTGCTCATCTAGTCCGGTTAAACTAATGTGCTGATAAAAATTGTCCAGTTAAACAGATCGAGATGTCATTTCCGCTGAGTGTAGTCCGGTTAAACCTATGTCCAGTTAAAAGGTGTCCGGATAAGAGGGAGTCTACTGTATGAAACTTAAGGTGAATCTTTTAGATTTATTAAGTTATTTGTTATTTGATGACCTACATTATGTGTATGTTTTAAATATAAATTAGTTGAGTGTTATGAAAGTTTTGCATTTTGTAAGTTCCTTTAGTCAAAAAACATATAATGTAACAGATGTGGACTGGGGACCTGACTGGGGTCCAGACTTGGACTGTGATCAATTCCTGGAGTCGATCACTCACTTGGAGGCTTCTACTTCATCAGCGAGTAAGTAATCACAAAATCGATTGAACCCTGAATATATAAACAGTAGCCTATATTTGTAGGGTATACAGTGTTTTTTACACAAGCTCAAGTTTAACAAACGAGCCAAAGCCAATGAAAGGATATAAAAGCAGTTAGGAATTTTACTGACAACAAATTTAAACGCGCTTGTATGTACAATAAAACTAACTCGCCAATTTGTGGCCTAGAGGTTGTCGAGCTATCCGGAACATTGCAATTTTTAATGGGTTTTAGTAAATGGATACATTACAGATTATATAATTTTAACACATAAATTTATTACTTACATGAGCATTTTTCCATATTGAGTTAAAAATAATTAAAGAATAAGAATTGTGACGGTGCAATTTTGCCCTTGGGGACAAAATTGTACTGTCGTCCTCGGATAGCTGATCTAATTTTGAGTAAGTCCAGGGCTAGTGTTAATAATAATAGTATCTATATTATTAAAATAATTTGTTGGATTTTTGTGTGCAGCAAATCGACCCCTAAATATTTATTTTGATAGGCATATTGGGTATCAATATAAAGCTCTTATCTTCTAGATTTGCCCTTTGAGGGTTTGCATGATATCCCATAAAATCTCTTCGTCCTATAGGCTTTTAACATTTCATAGTTTGTGCTGAATTCTGTTGTCAATCATCTGAACTTTTTTAAGTTTACACTTGTTTACACCAAAACAGATGGCCATGATACAATGTTGTTTACATCCATACAAAAATTTTATTATTTTAGGGAATTCAAGTAAAGTATTGTAATGTTAATTGTTTAAAATTTAAAGAAGAAAATTACTTATGTTAGACTTTTCATAGTGTGTTTCATTAGTATTAGTTATTTTTCTAAGATACCTCGAAGGGATCACACTCGCAATGCAAATAAAAGGCATATGATGAGAATTAATCATTTTCATCCTAAAGTAGAGAGTCGAAAATCCGAACGTCAAAAATCTGAAACGTCAAAATCCGAACGGCTCCTGAGAGTTAAAAAATATTGAATTAGCACGGAGACACCGGTGTTTTACAATTTTGCGGGACAAACAGTGGGCGCTGGGCAGGGAAATGAGTGAATGCGCCGAGCCAATCTGTGTTTTGTTCCTTTCCAATGTATAAGCTCTACATATTTTTTTCAAGAAACGAATTGCAGTTATATAACAAAAATACCTAAGTAAAAAAATCATTATTTTTATTTCATTCACTGTATCCTAGAACTGTATTTTTAATATTGTAGGCCTAATTATGTGTCTATTAGGCATTTCTAGGCTACGTTTGAAAATCCGAACAAATCGGTTATCTGATCCACCAACGGTCCCAATTGGTTCTCTCTTCTGTATGAACTTACGGATTTTAAGTCACAAAGTGACACAGGTTGCTAGTTAAGTAAAAAAATGATGTATAAAAAAATATTTTTTCTTAAAATATTTTTGGAATTTTAGAATTCTCAAAATGTGACGGACATTATGTGGTATGTTTAATTCATACAGATAAATCAGAGTACTTCCAAACCAACAGAACCTCTCTTCCTAGCATCAGAGAGTCTCCTCAACAGCAGCCGGAGATCAAAGACGACTCCGCTGAGTTCAACCACACAAACTTTCCACACTACCAGGAGATGTTGAGGGTAATGTAGTGCAACTGATATACTCAAAACCACTTTCACCAATACAATCTCTCTTAGGTGTTCACTGTTCAGATAAATAGTTGTGCTATCTACATTACTGGAAACATTGTGTTTGTTCTTGTTGTCATGCGGGTTTTGTGAACTGCCAACACACTCATAAAGGCACTTAAATATATTTTATTTATTCCTGTAAATTTATGTTTCTTATTAGAATAAATTTGTATTATAGGTGATTTGAATTGTTACCTTAGTACAGTTAAAATTAGTCGTAAGCACTTAAGAATAAAGTAAAAACTGAAAAAATGCATTTGGACGGTTCTGATGTTTCAGGACAGCAAGTTTTGCCAAAACTGTTATTTAAAATACATGGCTAATGGGCTTTTTCTATTGCACGGTGAATGTGGAATGGAATTTACAGGGTGGAAAAAAGTCCCGGGACAGTTAAATATAAAAAAATCAATATATAGCTTACAAACTTTGGTACAAAGTTACTGGGCATTAAAATAGTTTAAACACAATCAGTGATACGCTACCCCCTCAGAGGGACTGCCCTCTAGGATTCAGAAGAAAAAGTGTAAGCATAGGTTGATATGTACACCAAATTAAAGGGCCTTTACTTGTAAAATACAATGCCGAAAATTTGAATTCAAACAACTGAGTCAAAAATGGTAGCCGTTCGAAGATTTTTGAGTTCAAATTTGCGGCATTATATTATATTCTACTAATAAAGACCATTAGTTTGATGTGTATGTCGACCCATGCTTACATTTATGATAATTAGTGAACTCATTTGGATAAAAGGGGGGAAGGACTTAATGTAAAAAAAAAAACAAATAAGATTTGCTAGTACTGTATTTGTGTTTGGTCCTTAAACTATGAAACTTAACCCATCCAGTCCAGTTAAAACTGAATGTAGTCTTTCAAATCCAAAATGAATAAAATTGTCTGTATTTATACTCCTTCTAAATTAGCAACATATCACTTAATTTAAGTTGTCGACCTGAATTAAATTAGATTATGAGTTTGAAATGTTCCATTTCAAATCAAAATCCAGAACCAGTTTCAGTCATCCTTGTCAGAGTTCTCTTGTTGATTTTCCTCTGAATGTGTCTGTAGTCTTCTCATCTCCATTATCCTCATTGCAAGTAGATCGTTTCCTATGCAGAGCAAGAAATACAAAATCAAGTAGAAAATTATAAAAAGTGTGCAATAGTGAGTAATTCCCTTCATCACATCATATAAAAACTGTATATATAAATCTGCCATTTGTAGTTTTAGTGTACCTTTTTCAGATTATATTTATTTTAATGTCTTAGGTAATGTTTATTCTTTTATTGTTATTTACATTTTTTTCAAAACATCAGCATGTTTAAACATTTGTAAACAGTACAGAAATTAATTCACATAAGGATATGAGTATAAACATATGTTTGAATAAACCTTGATACATTTTATTTCCATTTTATTAGTTGTTATAAACAAATAATAGAACTGCTGTTTGTTTCAACTGACTACAAGCAAGGCACAAGACAGGGGTCAGTAGAACCATAGATAAAACATAGTTTGGTAGAACCAAGGCCCCACTAGAAAAACAGGCCATGCTGCAGCACGGGCAGCACAACTCTGCGTCACAGTGGTGGATACTTGTACTTAAATCTTATCGTTACAATCTGCATCTATTTTGTTTAGTTGATTTGTTGCCAGTTGGTTTAATACGAGGGCTGAGATAATATAGTACCTTTTTGACTATTAATATATAATAGTCAATGGTAGTACGTGGTAAGTTAGTATACTACGTTAACTACTATATTATTTTTATTTTTAACATGTCTCTTTTGGAGAGCAATAAACAAAATTGACTTAATATTTATTCTTCTTCTTTATTGTCCCCCACCGTTTCCTGCATTTTTTTCTCATTGGATGTTTTTAAAATTGTGCTCCCATGTTTTGTTGCTGTTTTCAATTTTTTTTATGTACACCTCTGGTTTGCTAAAACTTCTTAAGAAGTTTTATATGACCATTCATTATTTCATAGATTTAACTTGTTTTAATTTTAATTTAATTCATTTGTTTTATATTTGTCTTTTTTTAATAAATTTACATCTACTAGTCAGTCCGCTTTATTTATCCTCTGAATGTGTCACTGTAAAAAGCATTATATATAGGCCTATATTTAAATTGTAAGAATAAATTACTTACGTCAAATAGCTCAATATCGGATGGTAAATTTTCAGTCGGAACACATTTCAACACATTGTGTCATCATCAGCTGAGTACTTTTGCTTGTAAAGTGATGTATTCCACCAGATGGCTTTGTCATTGTTCAATAAATTAACATAAATCACGAAAAAGACACGATACATATACATTTAAAACACGTTTAGATACATTGCAGGCCTGCATGGACGAACATACAGCCGCGCTGCGGGTCGGGGACAGACTGACTATTTCCTCATCCAGGCTTATCAGTGTTATCACGGAGGCAGTGGACAGCTTTTTCATTAGTGGAAATTAAAAAATGTAATATTGAATTGGAGCTGAAATTTAGTTTTGAAGAATATGAAATCTACAGAGCTCATAAAAATACTGACACAAACGAAGTTATTCCAAACAAAAAATAAATTTCAGCTCCAATTCAATACTCAATTTTCTCATTCCCATCAAAGAAACAGCTGTCCACTGTCTCCGTGATAACACTGATAAGCAAATAGCCAGTCTGTCCTGACCCACGGCGTGACTGTATGTTTGTCCATGCAGGCCTGCAATGTCTCTATAAGTGTTTTAAATGTTTATGTGTTGTGTTGTTTTTGTGATTTATGTTAGTTTATTGAACAATGAAGAAGCCATCTGGTGGAATACATCACTTCTCTGTGACCGTGTTTTCGGTGGGGTGTTCGGAATTGAAATCGATGCCGAAAATAGTTCAGTCTGCGCGGGTTCTCAATTTTCCAGGGGTCAGTTGAGATTTGTTTTTGTACGGTTCAACAAAACTCAAACACGGTCGCAAGAGTTTTGTTTGTAGGAGAAGGCTCAGAACTCTGTCCAGTCTCGAAACTCCAAGGTTTATTCTGTAAGGCTCATCATCACCAACTCCTACCTTCTGGGTGTCAGGGGAGCGACCCTGGTTCCCAAACGATTAAAACTTAAAGAGTTAACGTTTAGTGATAGTTGCTCGATAGCTAACGACAAATAAAGTCGACACAATGACCCTGGGTGTCAGAGGAGTGACCCTGGTTCCCAACACAATTTAAACTGCAAATAACCTCTATGCAAAACTAAAATGCAAACGAAAGTATATTCTTCTTTTAATTAACAAATAACAAAATAATACTTAAAGCAACGAATATATATTACACTGTCGAACGTCTAAGCTAACGTGAGAGCGGTAAAGTGTAGCTATGGTATTACTAACGTGTAACCAAATGGTATACTACACTCACCGGGGAGGATGTGACCTGCTGGTGGCTACTGGCTAGGACGAGACTGACCAACTGAACTGTTTGTTGCCACTCGCTCTTGGCTTCCCCCATTCTGCTGGAGGCCCGACACTAGCGCCTGGCAAGGCAGCGATCGCTACGAGATTCGTCTTGGAGTGAGGAGGGGTCAACGTTTACCCTGCCCAGTCTAGTTTCTTTTGTCACTACTTCGATAATTCCAATAAATAAATAAAAATAACCTTCTCTCCTTTTAATATGTATTTTATTCTGTATAAGGTCAAAAAATGTCTATTTTTGACCGTTCATCACAAGCAAAAGTACTCAGCTGATGATAACACAATGTGTTCTGACTGAAACTTTACCATCCAATATTGCTATCATCTTACCAAATTTCAGCTCAATCCGACCAGTAGTTAGTGCGGTATTGAACTTCAAACAAACAAACAAACAAACAAACAAACTTTCGCATTTGTAATATTAGTAAGAAAAGATAAGATTTTAAAAGAAGTTAGCATCTTTGCCAAAAATGAATATAGTTGAATTTAGTGTGTTGCTAACTTCTGCGGATTTCTGCCATAGACACATGTAGTATAGCTTTTAAACTGTAGTACATCACATTAGCCAATTGTATTATTAAAAAATGTAAACATATAATAGGAAATATAATTTTGGCAGTAAAACACTTTTGAGGGGCTCATTAAATTACGATTTATGTGAATACAAAATTTTCTTCAGCTGGTCCATACAAAATGAAAAATTATACGGCATTCCACATTCAACGTGCATGCAGTTCAGGTCTTTTTGGAGATCTTATTAATATTAAAATTACTGAAAACATCATGCTTATCGTCATGAGGGTTGTCAACTGTCTTGTACTCATTGTGAAGAGGGGAGTTAATTTTACTTAATTCTGTTACTTTATGTTTTTTTGTTTTTTATAGATTGGTATTTTGACATAACAATTACAATTTTGACCTTAGTGTAGTCAAAATTATTCCAATTGTAAAATGTAAGAAACAAGTTTAAGTGAACGAGTGTTTTCTATTATTATTTTGCTGCAGGTGTTCAGACAGCAGTTTGGGCTAGCCAAGTTCCGCATGAAGCAGCGTGAAGCACTGAACGCCGCCATGTTGGGGCACGACTGCTTCGTGCTGATGCCGACTGGGGGAGGCAAGAGCGTGTGTTACCAGTTGCCCGCTCTGTTGCAGAGGGGTCTCACTGTAGTGATCAGCCCTCTCCGCTCACTTATACTGGACCAAGTCAACAAACTCAAGAGTTTGGACGTAAGTTGCCCTACAATCTCCTAACCTAATATGATCAACTTGTTAATTAGCTTACTTTGTTTGAGATGTTTTCATGATGATATATTAATGTTATTTAATTTATTATTGTAGACATTTTCAATATTTCTTTTCAATGTCAATATTGCAGATACCTGCTGCTTGTCTGATGGGAGATAACACACAGACTGAGACGAACAGGATCTATAGTGAGCTGGTTAGGGTCAACGGACCTGGTAAGTACAAGTACACTTTAAATAAAGCTTAGATAGATTAGTTGTGGAATTGTCTCTTTAATTTAGATTAAATTCTACAGGTGTTTTACTCTTTGGCTACTACACAGAAGGGCAACCAAGAATATATTTGGTTAGGGTACAATATTGATTAGATAACAATCAATGAATACTGAATATCAAAATGCAATGCATGTATACCAAGCAGAAACACATTCCAAAATTGTCTTAGGATTCATAAGGAAGACAACATAAGGGTTTTTATTTAATTTGTAGATCAACTAACGTTTATCTACATAATGTGTGTATCAAAGTGACTTAACCATCTGTTGTCTGATAAAAATCAATACAGCATTCGGTAGAGAGCCATAGCACTAAACGGGTTGAGTTTTTAAAATGTCTTACAAATTTCTAATATATTTGTTTTCAAATTTATTAGATTTCCATCTGTTATTTGTTACGCCGGAGAAGATAGTTGCGTCGCAGCGGCTGGTCGGTATCCTACAAGGGCTGTTCAACAGAGGATTGTTGGCGAGGTTTGTCATTGACGAGGCTCATTGCGTGTCTCAGTGGGGACATGACTTCAGGTCAGTACTGCCACAAAACAGCTGTGCTGAGTTAATTGTGTGTAGGTTATGTTATTTATTTGAGGACTGTGGAATCTGATACTTAATACTTTAATACTTAATACTTTTCTTTGAAATGGCGACCATACAAAGTAGGTATTTTATGCCAAGTATGAATGGAGATGAGTGTATGATGAGTGGCGCGATCTTGTAGTCTTGTTAGTGACTAAGGTTATATTATTTATTTGAGGACTGTGGAATCTGATATCATAGTTGAGAAAGTACCTAATCGGGATGCAAGTCATGTTATGTTATGTTGGTACACCAGAGTCTGGCTAATCCACCTGTCAAAGAGAACATGTTACTGTATTTAAATTAAAAACAAAGCTATGTATTCTGAAATACTAACCAAGGTGTACATCCTATTAGGAAACCGAGAAATCTAGGAACTGCACTTTAATTTTTATGAACAGGCAAAAGTCTGTGAATTGTGTGTGAATTTAATGTGGAATAGTTTGATTTGATACAATCACCAATAGCCTGTGGTCGAGTGGCCATTCATTAACGGTGTTTAGTTGATATTATTTTAAGGTCATTGTTTAGTATCAAGAGCGTGATTGTAGGAGATGATCATTGATCACAGGTGTTGCTGCGATCATGGTAAATAAACACGTATATTTCCGCAATCATGGAAGACGGTGTAGCCCTGATTATTTCACCATGATGGTGGGAAATGATCTCGTTGTTGTTGTCTTTTTTGCGGAAGATGACCACAGTGTTGGCGTGATTGTGGGAGTAATTTAAAATAAAAAAGAAGCAAACAAAAACGCTGTATTAGTGTTTTAATGCAATTTTACTGCATTTTTGGCTAATCCAAACAATTTTTTTACCCTTTGAGTGCTGCAGCATCTCTCATAGTGACGCAATGTGCTTACGCATAAATTGTGCGCATAAAGTAATATATAAATAATATATTTTATGTATTACTCAAACACCAAACAACATATTGAAAAAATGTGAAAAAAATTTGGTTTAAATTTATTTTGAAATTTTTTTACGTCTTATCATTTCATAAAGAATTTATTCATGCTCAAAATAAAATAAATTACATGGATACATCTAAAATTGTGTTTTATATGACATTTGATATAAAATACTGCATTTTCCTTTGAAATTAGCTCGGCAATTTATGCATAAGAAATAGGCATGACACAGCGGCACTCAATGGGTTAGTCCAAACAGAGTCCAGTGCCAATTAGTTCTGATTAGCAGGACTCTGGTTTACTGTCATACACAAGGATGAGATCAGATGCCAAATCCTAAAAATTCCTGTAAAATTTTACTACAAATAATTGTGATTTAAATGCAATAATCCCATAAATGATTAGAAAAACTCTCCTTAACACATACGTTACAGACTTGCATGGGGCTAAAGTAGTTATTACCATTCTCAGAGTGAAAAATGATCAGCTGGAGTTGAAGAGATCAGTTGTAAATTTGTTACGTTATTAAACTTTGTCAGCTGTTTGTAGAAGAAAACAGTTCTGAGTAAATACAATAAAATAATAGTAAGTAAAAATATACAGCCACCATCAGTTACACATACACATGACCAACACTACGAGAGACATATTTGTTAACTGTGTACTGTGTAGGAAGGACTACAAGCGACTAAGTCAGTTGCGTGAACAGTTCCCTGGGGTGCCCATGATGGCTCTGACAGCCACAGCCACTCTCAGAGTCAGGAAGGACATCCTCCACCAGTTACACATGACTAATACCAAGTGGTCAGTATCAGGACTAGATAAACCCATACAAATTAAAATATACTTTTTTTGTGTTTGTCGGTCAGTCAGTGGCTCTCTAAGCAATTTACACTGCCTACTCTGTGGCAGCTATAGCACTGATACAGATAAAAATCTTTTCCCTGTATTCACTAAATGTTTCACAATGTCTTATACTTTTTAAACCTGGCCTAACTGAACGCTTGAATTCAGTTTTGCATGATACTGCACAAATTTTCTCCTGAGTGAGTTGTACATACATTGTGTAAACTTACCGAGGCTGTGTATTACAGGTTTGTCTGCAGCTTTGACAGACCTAACCTTGCCTACAGTGTCCGCTACAAGACCAAGAACACTCTGGAAGAGATTATTTCCTTCATCAAAAAACAATACCTAAGGAAATCCGGGATCGTGTATGGTTTCTCTCGTAAGGTTGGTGTCAACTCTTATCCGACAGTTATATCTGATCCTCTTTAATATAGAATATTCAATGTTTCCAGTTACAACCAACTTAAATACTTTATAAATGTATACAAATTTATTTTTAGAGCATCTTCTTGCTACGAAAATATTAATATTATGGAAGATCACTACTAGGTCAAAATTACAACACATTTTCTTCAGTGTTTTTCATCCCATCCTTCATAATTGGATCATCCAATTTAGAGGATGTGTCATAGAAGAGTTGTATAAGTATTTTCAAATTTAGTTTTTTGTAGTTTAGCTGTCAATTGTTGTAATTGTGTTAGTAAAATGAAGTATGGATTTTTTACTAGATTTAAGTTCCAAAGTTATATTGAGGATGAAAAAATTAATTATCTGCCAGGAGTCTGTGAGGCAAGATTGACCACAAATGGAAGAAAACCAGGACTGTAATTGAGAAAATATGTTTTATAAATGAAGTAATTTTTGTGTGACATAGGATGTGTTTTCCCCCTCATAGTTTTCTTTTTATTACTCTAAGATATCTTAAGAAAACTACATTAAATGTTCAACATGTTTTAGTGTTACATTAGTTATACACATGTCCCCTGGCTTGTACTATACCAGTTTGTATGTCATGTAGGAGTGTGAGACGACGGCTCGTGCTCTTCAGGCCGCTGGTATACAGGCAGATTGTTATCACGCTGGGCTCAGCGACAAGCAAAGAGCTAAAGTACAGACTGACTGGGTACTCAATAAGATTAAGGTAAATTTGTACAATATGCATTTGTTGATACATCTCCTTTTGTTGTGCTGATTACTAGTTTAAGGTTGTCCAGTGTGTTCCTATTTGGGTTTGTCATGGGAAGTTGCAGGTCTGTGTTTATATAAATAACTTCTTGATCAACATTGTATGTGTAAAAGTATAAGTAAAGAACTGTTTAAGGGTTATTAGACATATTGTTATGTACTTTCAGTGTGTTTATGTGTGTTATACTTAGTGTAGTTTATTTAATGACAAACCATGTGGCTGATCAAGGAGATGTTCATAGGGATACACCTTAACATCATCCTATTCTACTTCCAGCATGTCGTTGGATACAAATAATTTTTATTTATTACGGTAAACCACTTTTTAACTGCTCCCCGCTAAACTGAAACCACTTTGAAATAGCCTGTTGGATCTAACTATCAAAGATTCAAAGATTTATTTCAACAAGAAACAAGATTGCACACTTGTACAGTTGACGTCAAGATACTAAGACTAATAAATTAACAAGAGTGAATATATATCTAAAGATCAACAATGCCATCTATAAACAAGGTAACAAGGTGTAAACATAACAGAGCAAGACTAGTCAATGTCAATAATTAATTACTAAAACTTAAATTAATTCTGGAACATTTAAAATATTCTTCCAAGCTATAAAATGGGTTTTCAAGCAGCCAGGCCATTAGACTAGATTTAAAGGACTTCATGCTAACATGGTGTGACTCAAGAGGTAGCCTGTTAAACAATTTAATTCCAAGATAAGAAAAGGATTCTTGTGTTTTTGCAAGCTCTGCTAAATGAAAAAATAGGTGATCCAAAATGGCCTGACTTAGTTACCACAGACTACTTGGTTTGAGTAGTGATAAAAGACAGAAAAGTACAGTGAGAGTGTAAGTCACACAGACAAGCTAGTCCCAAACCAGCAATGTGTGGCTTATCAGCTCAATATTTCTACCATGTGTCTAATGTTGTAGGTAGTGGTGGCTACCATAGCGTTTGTATGGGTATAGATAGACAAGCCAGATGTGAGGTTTGTGGTCCACTGCACCATGGCCAAGAGTATAGAGGGCTACTACCAGGAGGCGGGGCGAGCTGGCCGAGATGGAGACACAGCTGTCTGTATACTGTACTACAGTGTGTCTAATGTTGTAGGTAGTGGTGGCTACCATAGCGTTTGTATGGGTATAGACAAGCCAGACGTGAGGTTTGTGGTCCACTGCACCATGGCCAAGAGTATAGAGGGCTACTACCAGGAGGCGGGGCGAGCTGGCCGAGATGGAGACACAGCTGTTTGTATACTGAACTACAGTGTGTCTAATGTTGTAGGTAGTGGTGGCTACCTTAGCGTTTGGTATGGGTATAGACAAGCCAGATGTGAGGTTTGTGGTCCACTACACCATGGCCAAGAGTATAGAGGGCTACTACCAGGAGGCGGGGCGAGCTGGCCGAGATGGAGACACAGCTGTTTGTATACTGTACTACAGTGTGTCTAATGTTGTAGGTAGTGGTGGCTACCTTAGCGTTTGTATGGGTATAGACAAGCCAGATGTGAGGTTTGTGGTCCACTACACCATGGCTAAGAGTATAGAGGGCTACTACCAGGAGGCGGGGCGAGCTGGCCGAGATGGAGACTCAGCTGTCTGTATACTGTACTACAGTGTGTCTAATGTTGTAGGTAGTGGTGGCTACCTTAGCGTTTGGTATGGGTATAGACAAGCCAGACGTGAGGTTTGTGGTCCACTGCACCATGGCCAAGAGTATAGAGGGCTACTACCAGGAGGCGGGGCGAGCTGGCCGAGATGGAGACACAGCTGTTTGTATACTGAACTACAGTGTGTCTAATGTTGTAGGTAGTGGTGGCTACCTTAGCGTTTGGTATGGGTATAGACAAGCCAGACGTGAGGTTTGTGGTCCACTACACCATGGCCAAGAGTATAGAGGGCTACTACCAGGAGGCGGGGCGAGCTGGCCGAGATTGAGACACAGCTGTCTGTATACTGAACTACAGTGTGTCTAATGTTGTAGGTAGTGGTGGCTACCATAGCGTTTGGTATGGGTATAGACAAGCCAGACGTGAGGTTTGTGGTCCACTACACCATGGCCAAGAGTATAGAGGGCTACTACCAGGAGGCGGGGCGAGCTGGCCGAGATGGAGACACAGCTGTCTGTATACTGTACTACAGTGTGTCTAATGTTGTAGGTAGTGGTGGCTACCATAGCGTTTGGTATGGGTATAGACAAGCCAGACGTGAGGTTTGTGGTCCACTACACCATGGCCAAGAGTATAGAGGGCTACTACCAGGAGGCGGGGCGAGCTGGCCGAGATTGAGACTCAGCTGTCTGTATACTGAACTACAGTGTGTCTAATGTTGTAGGTAGTGGTGGCTACCATAGCGTTTGGTATGGGTATAGACAAGCCAGACGTGAGGTTTGTGGTCCACTACACCATGGCCAAGAGTATAGAGGGCTACTACCAGGAGGCGGGGCGAGCTGGCCGAGATGGAGACACAGCTGTCTGTATACTGTACTACAGTGTGTCTAATGTTGTAGGTAGTGGTGGCTACCTTAGCGTTTGGTATGGGTATAGACAAGCCAGACGTGAGGTTTGTGGTCCACTACACCATGGCCAAGAGTATAGAGGGCTACTACCAGGAGGCGGGGCGAGCTGGCCGAGATGGAGACACAGCTGTCTGTATACTGTACTACAGTGTGTCTAATGTTGTAGGTAGTGGTGGCTACCATAGCGTTTGGTATGGGTATAGACAAGCCAGACGTGAGGTTTGTGGTCCACTACACCATGGCCAAGAGTATAGAGGGCTACTACCAGGAGGCGGGGCGAGCTGGCCGAGATTGAGACTCAGCTGTCTGTATACTGAACTACAGTGTGTCTAATGTTGTAGGTAGTGGTGGCTACCATAGCGTTTGGTATGGGTATAGACAAGCCAGACGTGAGGTTTGTGGTCCACTACACCATGGCCAAGAGTATAGAGGGCTACTACCAGGAGGCAGGGCGAGCTGGCCGAGATGGAGACACAGCTGTCTGTATACTGTACTACAGTGTGGCGGACGTGTGCAAGCTGCGTAAAATGATAGATAGTGAGTCATCAAACCTTAATGTCAAGCTTGGATAATATAGGCACTCCATAATGAAAAGTAAATTAACAAAATAATATAATTGTAATCTGAAACCTTGTCTATCGGCACGAGACCTTAATCTGCAATCCAACAGTAGCTAAAATACAGCTGCCCATTAAGGAGTGGATTTTGTTAAATTGTTTTCTCATCTATGCGTTTCCTACGATTCCGAGTGGGGACAGGTTCCAAATCAGTCGTACTCGTGTGGCTGAGGGACTGAAAGTCAGGAATTGAGTCATACAGTAAAACAGTTGCCTTTTACATTCATTACTTGGTGTGTTAGCTCGATCCACAACCAAAATGAAGCAGCCCTTACTTACAGTAGATTATAGAGCTAAATTTGATTTTACAACAACATAATTTATTTTTTTACACTTGTTTTTAATTGAATCTAAACCTTTTGCTTTATTGGTACATACATTTGACCATTGACAGAAATAGACATTTCATCCTCAAGTTTAAGTTACTGTTTGGAATCTAAATGAAGCCACAGGAGTGTGCTGATGTTACTGTAAGTCAAATACACCAACTTATTGACCGACTTAACTCATGAATAGGACAAAAAGCTTTGGCAACTTTTATGCCACATCAACCGTCTATCTCAGTAACAAAAAAAGAGAAAATTTAACTTTAGACTGTAGCACACTCTAAGAGTGGCACATTCAACTATGTTCTTACTTCTTTTTTAGTAAAAAAAGCTACAGCTAGTCCATATAGATGGGATGTCTACTATGGCATCTAAAAGTAAATGGTACCATCAATTAACAATTTTGAAAGTGTGTTTTTGAAATTTGTAAAATCTTTAACGGGGTTTCAAGCTACCGAAAACCACTTTTAGCTCATCAGTAGGAGGTTTAACATCATGTTATGGAGTAAACTTTTGCTGTAAACTTAGTCTGTAATATTTTGACAGTGGACTCTGAAGGAACGAAGTCCTCGAAGGACACTCACAGAGACAATCTACGACGAATGGTAGAGTACTGCGAGAACAAGAGCGACTGTCGGAGAACTATTCAGCTGCACTACTTTGGAGAGAACTTCAAAGGTCGCTGTCCGAACAATCCATTACTCGCCTGCGACAACTGTCTCTGCCAGGTCTCAATTATTCATGTTTTTAGGTCTATTTACAGAATCTTACTAATATTATAAATCTGAAAGTTTGTGAGTTTGTGTGTGTTGCTCAATCACGCATAAACTACTGGACGGATTGGGCTGAAATTTGGCATGATGATAGCTCACATTCCCAATTACCATTAGGCATGTTCTTATCTCAAAAATCCTTTCGGGCTCCGCCCCAGTGGCTCTTTAGTTCCCCATGTTAACCGTATGAGTTTTCATATTTAAAGGGAATTAAAGAATTTAGTCAGCTGTTTCAACTTTACACGTTGGTTCTATAATATACAATCTATATATTAATTTGAAACTGTTTTTCTTTGTGACAGCTATTTTGAGAGAACGGCTGGGCGTAGAAACTCGGTAGAGGTGTCTAAAGAAAGGTCCTGGTCTGTAGATGAGCCATCAAAAGAGAAACAAGGAGAATTCCCTCGGGGCTCTGCCCCAGTGGCCTTTAAATTCACATACCATGTTATTCTTATGGAGGAAAACGAGGTTTTTGTCACAGCTAATGTGAGAGAACGGCTGGGCATAGAAACTTGGTAGGGGTGTCTAAAGAAAGGTATTGGTCTGTAGGTGAGCCCTCAAAAGAGAAACGAGGTAAATTTCCTTGGGGCTCTGCCCCAGAGGCCTTTAAAGTTCACTCTGCAATGTTGTTTACATTTCGACCATATGGATAATTTTACACAACTTTTAATGAACCAGCTGTTAATATTAAAATTGTATTCAAAGGTCTACTTATTACTATTATTTATGATTTTAAATGGATTCTCTACTGCATGGCAAGTTTTTTATAGTTTCACCAGAATGATGAATTTATGATACGTTTTAAATGTTTTGTTCAAAAATCAATGCTTTATTGCTCTAGAAAATTTTGGGTTTAAAATTGTGTCATAGATGAGTACGTTGAGGATGAGAGCTGTGTTCAAGTTTTGGAATAGACTAACTACGGAGTCTATGGTTTTGGTAAAGTAGGTGAACTAATGTCAATTCAGGTATTTAAAAAAAATGTGTACACAGTTTTTACTTTGATGTACACATGTAGTGAGGTCGAACAACGCATCTAAACCTCACTACATACAAAACATTCGGAAACACAACAGTGTCATCACATCTCATCGCATATGCATAATTTGTTACCATTTAAAATTGATTATTCTCTACATGGCATGCTTTTTAGTTTGAACAAAATGACAAATTTATGATATGTTTTAAATTTGTTGTTCAGAAATCTATGCTTTATATCAGAAATCAGTTGGACATATCAATTTTAAAGGAACAGATTACTATCCCTTATCGGGTTAGCTTATATTTATTGTAGAGGTTTTTTTTTTTTTTTTTTTTTTTCGTCATCAAGATGGCGCCTACTAGATGTGGCTCGGCTGATTGCAAAAGAAATATTACGAAGAACAGTAAATGTATCAAGTGTTTTGGATATTGTCTGTCGTGGTTTCACATTTCGTGTGCCGGTCTATCAAACGAAGAGTTAAATATTTTTAAGGAGTTAGGAGATAAGGCTTTTTTCAAGTGTGAAACGTGCCGGTCGTCATCTGAAGCGATGCCGCCGCCGTCGTCTGCTCCCTGCTCAGCAAGTTCTGTGAAAAATGACGACGAATGTGATGTACCATATTCTGATGACTCATTTCAATCCCTCTCGGATAAAGTGTGCAATTTAATTATCACGCAAAACAAGATGAGTGAGCAAATTATGTTTTTACTCTGTGAAAATGACAAGCTGAAGAACGGACTGAAACACCAGTCTGAAATCATTGGTGATATCGTTTTTGACAAGTCTACTAATAACACGTATGCTAGCAAACTAAAATCACAGAATTTAAAGAGAGGTGAAGGTAGTATTCAAAATCTAACTTCCTTAAATTGTAATCTTATCGATAAGGATATTCTTAAACCTAACCCTAGTATGCTTGACAGTAATGAAAATGTCAACAACAACAACAACAACAACGTTGAACAGACAGCTAGTAACAAATCTGTTGTTAGTGGTCATAGAGTAAAAGAGTCGACTATGACGAGCTCGTTGCTTCGAAACCCAGAAGGCCGACCGGCTACATCCAAGTCTGAATCTGCAGCAGCGGAGTCAAATAGGAGTGAGATGGCAGCTGAATCCGATTCGTTCCAGACAGTCTCCTATCGGAAGCGAAATATGCGTCGTGACTTTCAACAACATCAACAGAAAAGTCAGAATAATGCAGGCCGTGGCGTTGGGAATGTCAGTTACAGACAAAATCAAAACAATAACAAACCTAAATTTATTACTGGAAGTTTAAGTGCAGCTGATGGCGATAGGCTTAAAACTGCCGAAAAGAAGTCGTTCCTGTTTGTATCTAGGCTATCACCGGACACTGACTCTAAGGATTTGGAATCTTTCCTATTAGAAAAATTTAGCAATGAATCGTTTAAAGTAGAATCACTAAATTCTAAGTACCCGGAGGAATACTGTTCATTCAAAGTCACCATTCCTTCCAGGATTGATGAAGTAGTGTATAAACCTGACTTCTGGCCGAAGGGAGTGTTTGTGAACAGGTTTGTTGTCAAGAAATCTTTAAACTTACAGGACAAACGAGTTGTACCTCCAATGTGACTGACTTTGAAAACCAGGTAAGCACAGACGTAGCCAACCCTTGTGCACATATAATTGACGTAGGCCTAGGCCTAAACAATTTTAACTTCAATACCTTGCTATGGAACTGCCGTAATCTTTGTGACAAGGTCAACTTCGTTGAAATATTTGCTAATGACGAAAACAGTGATGTTGTTTTTATTACTGAACATTGGCTTTTGGATTCTGACATAAAATCATTACATCTAGAAAACTTTACACTATGTTCAAGCTTTAGTAGGCCTCGGTTAGAAAGAGGAGGTTCAGCAATATTTATTAGGGACAACAATGCTATTAATTGGTCTCCTGCGCCTATTATTACCAGTTTAGCCTTGGTAAATGTTTTTGAAATTAGTGCTCTCTTCCTAGACAATCCGAAGATTTTATTGGTGTGCATTTATCGAATTCCAGACAAAGACAATACTGAGTTATTCTTGCTCAAATTCGAAGAACTTTTAACTGTAACAGCATCCTTGGAATGTGATGTTCTTATAGCTGGTGACTTCAACATCGATGTTAAAGATAACGTGTCTCATGTCTGTCAAGATTTTTGTAACTTAATTACAAGTTTTGGGCTCAACATTATGCTAAGAGACGAAGTAACTCGACCCAGCCTTTTAAATATGCTTGATGGTTCGTGCATTGACAATTATGTAACCAATTTGCATCCCTCGAGGTGGAAGGCTACTGTTATTCAGACTACGGCGTCTGATCACTACATCGTAAGTTCGTCTATGTGTTTGGACTTGGCTCCTGCTTCCACACAGTCACATCCTCCGAGGTCCATGGGTGCGTCACAGTCTAGGCGCAGGGTGTCAGACGATAACGCTGGTGTTTTTTGTAATCATATCAAGGATACAAACTGGAATGAAATCTACAGCGCAGATGATGTAAATACTAAGATATTGTTATTTCTTAATCTAGTCATTATTTTTGTAAATTGTTGTTTTCCTTACGTTAGGCCAAGATCTGCTAAACCACGCAAACACATTGGTAATTGGTATACTGGTGAACTTGGGAAGTTAAAAGAAGAATGTTTAAATTATTTTTATCTAAGTAAAGATACTGGTTGTGAAGCTTTTAAGGTTAGGTACAAGTTATTAACAAAGGTCTATAATAAGAAAGTAAAGGAAGCTAAGTTATTGTTCAATAACTCATGTATTTCTAATGCCTGCAACAAGCCCAGGGTAATGTGGAATATTATTAGAAAAAATATCTCAACAAATGAGCGCCCAGTTGTTATATTACCAGATGTTGATTCACCTTTAAACTCAGAAAATTTTAACTCTTTTTTTGTAAGTAGTATTAATGATATTGTTGATAACATTCCTGTTAGTTTAACCAGTGCCGATGAGTATATGTCTAGTGTTCCTTTGTGTAATGTTAAATTTGAATTTTGTGAGGTATCAGTAGAATGTGTACATAAAGCTATTTTGTCTTTAAGCAGCAGCAGCAGTCTTGATATTTTTGGTTTAAGTTCTCAGATTCTAAAGTTTGGTAGTGATTATTTATGTGAAGTCATTGCACACATCATTAACTCCTGTATTACGGGAAAAACTTTCCCAGACAAACTTAAAATTTCTAAGATAATTCCAATATTTAAAAAAGGTAATAGATTGGATGTTAGCAATTATAGGCCTGTGGCCTTGGTGCCCACTCTGTCGAAGGTCATTGAGAGGGTGCTTTCATGGCAAATAGTTAACTTTCTGGATTCAAACGGTTTGCTTTCGTGTGCGCAATTTGGTTTCCGCAAGCACCGATCCACGACGGAGGCGGTCTTAAATTACATTCAGGACACTCTAGAGGCCATGGAAAGAAAACAAGGTGTTTGCTCAAAATTTTTTGATCTCTCAAGGGCCTTCGACACTGTGTCTCACAGTGTTTTACTAGGCAAACTAAAGTCATTTGGTTTTTGTGATAATGCCGTGTCTTTGATTGAGTCATATCTGAGCAACAGATTCCAGGCTGTTTATTTCCAGGATTCACTGTCAGAGCTTAAACACACTCCCCACGGAGTGCCACAAGGGTCCATTTTAGGCCCCCTACTCTTCATTATTTATGTTAATGACTTACCTTTTAATGTCCAAAGTAATGATGTTTCATGTTTTATGTATGCAGACGACGTGTGTTTGAATATCAAGTCTACTAAGTGTATGCAGGACAGTGTAATTTCTGAGTCTGTTAAAACAATGTCCGACTGGTGTAAGGCCAATAAGCTGTCTCTTAACGTAAAGAAAACTCAAAATCTGGAAATGACCTATGGTAACTCTAAGAATTCTCAAACTCCAGTCAAATTCTTAGGTGTGATGATACAGAGCAACCTAAAATGGTTTTCCCATATTGATTTTATCGCTCCAAAACTCTCCAAAGGAATTTTTATTTTAAGAAATTTAAAATCAATTGTTTCTCCAGATGTATTGTTAACTGTGTATTTTAGTTATGTTCATTGTCATTTAGTATATAGTGCCATTCTCTGGGCTAATTGTAGCCATGCCAACATCTTGTTTGTTTTACAAAAAAGAGCCATTAGACTGTTAAGTAATGCTCCACCACGTAGTCATTGTAAGCCTATATTTAAGAAATTGTCTGTGATGCCCTTAACCTGTATTTATATTTTTCAATGTCTGTTATATGTTAAAAACAACTGTGATATTTTACTTTGTAATAAGGATGTGCACAAGTATGCCACAAGGAATTGTAATAATTTAAGAATAGATCAGTGCCTTTATGCCACCACTCAAGCTAGCTTCAAATATACCGCTACCAAATTGTACAACAAGTTACCAGTTAAAGTTAAAAAGTTACCATTAAATGTTTTTAAAGTAGCCATCAAGAGAATTCTTCTAAAAAACTGTTTTTATAAAATAGAAGATTATTTTGCATCAACCTTAGATTAGTTTTAAGTTGTATTATATTGTTGACGCAGCCTATACACTATTGTACTTTTCACAATTTGTGTCTATGGAATAAAGATGATTTGATTTGATTTGATTTTGATTTGAACTTGCCTTTATAGTCTACTTTCAATTATTATCATTTGTAGATGTATGTAATCATTTGTACATTGAGGATGTGAGCTGTGTTCCAAGTTTTGGAATAGACTAGGCACGGAGTAGGTTTAATCCATGGTTTGGTGCAGTAGGTGAATTAATGGCTGTTTAGGTATTAAAAAAGGGGAAATACGTTTAATCAGTCTAATTTTACAGTTTATTTTCATCACATCTCATCGCATTTGCATAATTTGTTACCAATGCTGGACTAGGTTATGGATTTGGTTCCGCAAATGTTCAAGATTTGTGATAAAATTTCCTACAATTATGGTTCATTCCAATCCACGAAATACATGCACAGCTTTATGTGATCTATATGGCCAAGGCAAAACTACCCCATAAGTTAATGAATTATCAAGTAAGAACAGGATAAATACATGGGTCGATGTGGCAAGAGAAGGATTTAAAATTGCTGAGATCGAAGTAAGAATGTTACTGCTTTCTGGAGAATCAGATATTTTTATCATAAAAAGATGAAGATTTACTTATAAATCCGGATACAATCTGAATGATTTTCCTAAAGCAGATGGAATTAGTGGTTAGTAATAAATATTGACTCTTTCTGTAACATGATAGACTAATTATATGAACTCATTCTCCCATATAGTGAAAGTGGCTTTGGTATGAAACAAACTCATGAACAAACAATTATAAGACTCCTAAAAAACCTTTTGGGCAACCTAAAGCCGATAAAAAGAAAGGAAGGAAATATTGTGTTAAACGAATTTATCAATCACGTTTTTTAGGGAACACAATCGTCATACTTATTATTGCTTATCCTCCCTTCATATAACTAAGATTTTAATGACTTCACTCTATCCAACGCAGTTAGCTGAATTTACATAAAACCTCAAGATTAACCGTCGATTTCGACGGGGTTCCACTAGTAGCATTAAAAAGAGAACTGCATAGAATAGCATAGAAAAGAGCACAATGAAAACTGTCAAAGTAGTATTGTTTACAGTTTGGTTTGTGTTTTTAATTTAATGAATAATTTATGATATTGTGCGAATGTTTGATAATTTATTTTTTTCTATTGTTTAGGTGCAGTGGTAGAAAATTATGGCAATGTTAGATGTGTTATACTATACTGTAGTGTAACTTGAATTAAAAACATCTTCAAGACATTTAAAAATAATTTATTTACTTCCAAAATTATAAACCTTGATACACTGACATCTTTTTCTTTAAATTAACTTTTATTAAGATCATTCTCTGATCAAATTTGATTTTTAACATTTACTTTTCTTTACACAATTTTGGATATTTCTTGAATTTGAATTATTATTTAGTTTCATGAGCCCTAAAAAAAATACAATAACATTAGAATTCTAGAATTAATACTGAATTGAGCTGAAAAGGAGCAGATGAGACATACATGAAAATAAAAAGGTTAAGACTATTAAAAATTCGAACAAACTTACCCAAATTGGGGTACCAGAGACTAAGATGGTTAATCACAAGTGAACTGATCTACAGTAATACCAAACTAAACCCGACTGAGGAAGAGCCTTGCAGCACGTGCTGTCTTATATACCTCCCCCTCCCCCAATGACGTCTCATCTACTTTACAAGAATTATTCTGAATGGACTTGTAACGTTTTGTTATTTGAGCAGAGTTGCAAATTATTTCTTTAATAATAACACAAAATTCAAATTTTATTTCAATACATAAACAAAAAATATTAACCTAATCAAAAAATGCTACAATACTATACCGTAAAATTATGAACCAAATTTTATTAAACTGTGTCCTCAACCCATTGCAAACGCAAAGCTTGAGTATTCCAAACAAAAGTTGCTAAGATGTATAGCACTTATTTCAAGGGATGATTTTGTTTGACTGTTTGTCAGGCTACAAATGTGTTTTATTAGAACTATAACAGTATTGCATTTAAGCCAAAATTTCTAATGGGTTTATTCATAATGAAGTTTTTTGTTTTATAGTTCACAAAATGTGAGGATGTGACAGATGTGTGTAGAGCTATTGAGGTGATGGTGGCTCAGATCTGTAACAAGTCTTTGTTGTTACAGGAGAGTTACAGAGTGGAGGATGTGACAGAAGTGTGCAGAGCCATTGTGATGATGGTGGCTCAGATCTGTAACAAGTCTTTGTTGTTACAGGAGAGTTACAGAGTGGAGGATGTGACAGAAGTGTGCACAGCCATTGTGATGATGGTGGCTCAGATCTGTAACAAGTCTTTGTTGTTACAGGAGAGTTACAGAGTGGAGGATGTGACAGAAGTGTGCAGAGCCATTGTGATGATGGTGGCTTAGATCTGTAACAAGTCTTTGTTGTTACAGGAGAGTTACAGAGTGGAGGATGTGACAGAAGTGTGCACAGCCATTGTGATGATGGTGGCTCAGATCTGTAGCAAGTCTTTGTTGTTACAGGAGAGTTACAGAGTGGAGGATGTGACAGAAGAGTGCAGAGTCATTGTGATGATGGTGGCTCAGATCTGTAACAAGTCTTTGTTGTTGCAGGAGAGTTACAGAGTGGAGGATGTGACAGAAGTGTGCAGAGCCATTGTGGTGTTTGTGGCTCAGATCTGTATCAAGTCTTTGTTGTTACAGGAGAGTTACAGAGTGGAGGATGTGACAGAAGTGTGTCAATCCATTGTGATGATGGTGGCTCAGATCTGTAACAAGTCTTTGTCTTTACAGGAGAGTTACAGAGTGGAGGATGTGACAGAAGTGTGCAGAGCCATTGTGGTGTTGGTGGCTCAGATCTGTAACAAGTCTTTGTTGTTACAGGAGAGTTACAGAGTGGAGGATGTGACAGAAGTGTGCAGAGCCATTGTGCTGATGGTGAATCAGATCTGTAACAAGTCTTTGTTGTTACAGGAGAGTTACAGAGTGGAGGATGTGACAGAAGTGTGCACAGCCATTGTGGTGTTTGTGGCTCAGATCTGTATCAAGTCTTTGTTGTTACAGGAGAGTTACAGAGTGGAGGATGTGACAGAAGTGTGTCAATCCATTGTGATGATGGTGGCTCAGATCTGTAACAAGTCTTTGTCTTTACAGGAGAGTTACAGAGTGGAGGATGTGACAGAAGTGTGCAGAGCCATTGTGGTGTTGGTGGCTCAGATCTGTAACAAGTCTTTGTTGTTACAGGAGAGTTACAGAGTGGAGGATGTGACAGAAGTGTGCAGAGCCATTGTGCTGATGGTGAATCAGATCTGTAACAAGTCTTTGTTGTTACAGGAGAGTTACAGAGTGGAGGATGTGACAGAAGTGTGCAGAGCCATTGTGATGATGGTGGCTCAGATCTGTAACAAGTCTTTGTTGTTACAGGAGAGTTACAGAGTGGAGGATGTGACAGAAGTGTGCAGAGCCATTGTGATGATGGTGGCTCAGATCTGTAACAAGTCTTTGTTGTTACAGGAGAGTTACAGAGTGGAGGATGTGACAGAAGTGTGCAGAGCCATTGTGCTGATGGTGAATCAGATCTGTAACAAGTCTTTGTTGTTACAGGAGAGTTACAGAGTGGAGGATGTGACAGAAGTGTGCAGAGCCATTGTGATGATGGTGGCTCAGATCTGTAACAAGTCTTTGTTGTTACAGGAGAGTTACAGAGTGGAGGATGTGACAGAAGTGTGCAGAGCCATTGTGATGATGGTGGCTCAGATCTGTAACAAGTCTTTGTTGTTACAGGAGAGTTACAGAGTGGAGGATGTGACAGAAGTGTGCAGAGCCATTGTGATGATGGTGGCTCAGATCTGTAACAAGTCTTTGTTGTTACAGGAGAGTTACAGAGTGGAGGATGTGACAGAAGTGTGCAGAGCCATTGTGATGATGGTGGCTCAGATCTGTAACAAGTCTCAGTGGGATAACTTCACCATCAATCACCTGGTGGATGTCTGTAAGGGCAGTCGTTGCAAGAAGGTGGTGGATAATGGTAAGTGTAAGGTAGAGATTGTATAAAAATTATCAGCTTTTTTACAGAATAAAATGTCTTTTATCCCGTTGTGCTCACTTCAGCAGTTGTTTGCGTATCCGAATCAATTTGAAAATCTTTTAACACTTTTGATTTGACAAAAATTTTGATAACTGGATTTCTACCCAAATTTGGGGTATTTTACAAAAAATAAACCGAGTAAAGCTGAGCTATTACTATCTTAATTAGAAAACGCGTCTGCAAAGATTTCGAAAGATAAAATCACGCTTTCGCCGCCATTGCGAAGGACGATTAAGATTTTACGTGACCGCGGGAGACGAAAATTAGGTCTACAAGACTGAAGAAGATATTAATTATTTGCAAAAAAAATTACATTACGGGAGACCATGATCTTGTCTAACCAACCACAAAAATTATTCATGATTTTGCCGCTACTACGGAAAACTATGACGATGTTTCCATGACTGCGGGAGACGATGATAATGTCCACAAAACTGTAAAAGATGTTGCCTTAATCGCGGAAAAGGATGACGAGTTTCCATGACCGTGAGAGACAATGATCATTTCTGCAAGACTGCGGAAGGTTTTCAAGATTTTAACGCAATCACTAAAACAATGCCGGGAGACAATGTAGAAAGACCACGAGAGCAGACATGACAACGAACAATATTTTCTGGGTAAAATCAGTTCTTTTGACCAGTGAAATGTATTTTATTGTATTTTACAGGTAGTAGCTCGTGGTCATCTAAGCTGAGAGCTGTTTTATGTTTTAGGACATGACACCTTGGATGCGTTTGGCAGTCTCAGTGTTTGGGACAAGGTAGATATCTGCAGACTGATCAACAAGCTGGTGATGGACAGAGTGTTGGAGGAGTACCATGTCACCAAGTATGACAACACCAACTCCTACATCAGACTGGGCCCGAGAGCTGAGAGCCTTGCTAACGGCCGAGACAAGGTATTTACTCTCATACTATTGTAATAGATATATGATAGGTAATTCTTCCATAGTGTATCTATACATTGGAATCCCAGTATATATTTTGGCACAAATTGAATTTAAAGTACGGTAAGTAGTTTTGAATAAAACAAAAACTTTTAGGACTAAATGAAATAGATTCGGTAGAAATTATTTCTTTTAAGACAATAACCAAATAATCTGAAATTGGTCGTTGCAAAGGCAAGATTGCATGCATGTTCCTAGTTGTAACATTAAGCCTGTAGTATATTTAGGTCACTGAGGTGAACCTTATTTCCTGCAAACTATCAGGATGAGTAAGCAGTGCCTACTTTTAGCACACTAAAGAACGATAGTCTAGTTCATTAGGCTATTCTTTCACTTACTTTATTTTTTATTGCATTATTCCATTGCTTGGTTGACCAGACCCCATTCAGACATAAATACGGTGCTTTTTGAAAGGAGAGTTGCAACTGACAATCTCTGTGTAATAGACAGTGGTAGTGTGCGTGTGATGTGTTATTATTTTTTCCTACAGTTACCTAACAATGTACATGTTCTCTCACTGATTTGAGAAAGCAAAGTGGCCAATTCGCTCATCAGTGAGACAATGTTAACATTGTCTCACTCTAATTACTTTGTCTCACTCCAGATTTGCAACGTGAAGGCACGAAATAGTGAGCGCGTAACATGCAGACAAGGTTGTATGCGCGCGAAATACGTTGGCAGCACTGGCTGTAAATCAGCTGGTCAGCTATTGTACTGTTGTATTTGTCATCACATTAAATGTCATATTAAAAGTTCACTTCTGTGTAAAAAAATGTTATGTTTCTTTACCAATTTATTTGTTTTATGGGAACTGTAGGAAAAATATAATGTGCAACTCGAGTGCAAAGTGCAATTGCTCACTAGTTGCACAAATAACTATAAAACTAATATATCATTATTTGACTGTTTATCCAGAGACTGATCCTCAGGACATATTGCAGGTGAAAGAGTGGTTATTTATTTTATTTGCCAATGAGTGAATGCTTGCAGGTTGAGTTCTCCATACGCAAGCTTGCCAGGAAGAGTTCAGTTGTGAACCCAGCGGAGGGCAATGAGGCTATGAGTGAGATGGATGCGATACATGAGCAGTGCTTCAGTGAGCTGATGGATGTCGTAACGGCCATCGCAGAGGTCAGCGGAGTCAACACAAACACCATCATGAACATACAGGTACAGGCATCATGTACATCCAACCTGAGACTGTTGGGTCATCTTCAAGAGATGACTGTGTCATTGAATTGGTAAAAACAGTGGCTGACGTTTTTGTTTTGGAAGAATTAACTCAGTTGAATAGTAGCTCGCCCGCAGATGGATTGCTGCAATACTTCCAAAAGGCCAGCTTGTATCGTCAATGGTTCAACGACACGGCTATCTTCTGACGACTATTTAACTCTCTAATTTTGTTCGTTTATTAACTCGACAACTAAAATACAACTAAAAATTGTTTTGTAAGATGTGTTATTTACTTACTTGTATACTCCCTTTAAGAATAGTCATGCTTGTAGATTAGCTGAAAACAACTTTGAGGTATGATTTGGTCTGGTTTGAACCGACTGTGTTTTGATATTTATTATTTCTTTCTCACTATTTTAATTTTATCAACATTAAGAAAGTTCCAACCAATTCAATAGATGATATACTAATTAATAAATTACTGTAACTAACTTGTCTTCAGGTATTATAACCTAAGTGTAAATTGCATCAAGCCTATGTAAAATTTACAGAAAAATAAAAGAAAAACATCCAGTTGACATCAGCATACCCAAACGTAGTCAGACTCATAAAAATGTTCCAGATTTTACCATAAGATGGGGATCTGCAATAATATTCAAAACCAATGTTGATAGTTAATGAAAGCATGGTTATTTTATTTGCCTTTTTTAATTTCAGTCTCTAAAAGGAATGTCTCTGAAATTACCTGAAACTAGAGAGGAAATGTTGAAGATTATCGGTGTGACACATGCTAACTATGAAAAATATGGCAAAGATTTGCTTAAAATCACAAGCAAATATGCGGAGGAGAGAAATAAGCTAAGTGAGTATAAGAACAATTATTGTTGTAAATTGAAGGTTGTTTTAGTTCATGAGTTTATTTCATTCGCATTCCTTAACTTTATACATTTTTGACTGCATTAATTTTAAATGCAATATTGTTAAATAGCAAATTCCAATAATGCACACCATTGGATAGAGTTAAATTTGATGTTGTTCCTGCCAACTTTTAATATTTTTAGATTATAGAAGTATCAGAATAGACCAATTTAAATTGTTAGAAAGCAGTCTTCATTAAGTGACTAAACACTATAGGTTTGGAGTTTTATTTAAAAAAAATAATAAATTAGTTTAAAACCCCTGTAGGCATAGGCCTATTTTTCCTGAGACTTCAGATATCATAGCATGATTAGCACTGGCAGCAATTTACCCTCAAGCTAACACTGTTAGGTCCTGAAGGCATCTTTCTATCTCAAACCTTCCTTGGTTGAAAGAAAATACTGTAAGTAACTGAGAAATGTTCTATTTTGTGTGTATGTTGTGAAGTTTTTTGCCAGGATATACTCTTTCCCATTCAGATAAGTTTGCTGTAAATCTGTTTAACACTTAGGCCCTTCTGCCCTATGTTGCGTCAATAACCTCTAACTGTTTTTAAGATTAATTAGATAATGAGCTGTGCTAGCTCCTCCCTAGTATACCTTTTTAAAGTAAAAACTAGGTAAAAATTAATCATGGATATTTTATAGATTTTGTCGAACCAAAGAAGAAGAGATCTTTGTCTCCTACGTCCTTCAGGCCACACAACGGCCCTTCAAAACGAAGAAAATCCTCTACAGAAGACTCTCCGGCAGGATCCTACATTGCTCCATATGCCGCCAAGATGAAGTAAGTGTCAGTCTTGAGAATTGGTAGTTTGACTTTCCATTCCTATGCTGTCACCAGTTTTTGAATCAAGCCCACCAACAAAGTGTGCTGAAACTACTAGTTTCAGTTGAATTCGTCCACCTTTTTAAGTCAAACTGATTTGACAACTTTTTGTAAGCTGTAGCATCTTTTATTTCACATCAACTATCTCAGTAACAAAAACTCAGGCAGAAAACAAAATGTAGACTGTAGCATTGGCTGTAAACAGCTCATTTCACTATGTTGTATTTGAATTAAAAATCCACATGGATGGGATGTGTAGCCTACTTCAGTACCCAACAGTTTTGTATCAGTGATAAGTGTCTGAATGATTTATTTCTATTTCACCTTCCCTTAAAATACATACAACACCACTCTATTAAAAACGCTTTTGTCAAAATTTAGAAGTTGAATTCTGCCTTTGCAGGTAGATCTTTGGGGATTTACCTGAGCTCCGCTGTAGTTTTTCTAAAGTTAAAATTTCACTTGTTCATATAATCAGTAGTTAGCAACTGTGTAGTGAAGTCAGTTCTTCCCTTTCCACAAGTCTGGCCTAGCCCGCCAGCCAGAGACAGCAGCGCTGATATATTCTGGTGTAGACACTAGCAGATTCAAACACAGTGTTTTTTTGTTCATTGAAAGTGCTAAAACAAAACCCTAGAATGTGGACCTATAATGCTGCAAATTTTGACCTTTTGAAAGAAATCATACTTTAATTTATTAATATTTAGGACCAATAGATGCAGCATTATTTGCAATGAGGTTAGAATATATAAGAATGTCTCCTTTTGAAGCCAGTGTTGAAAAGTAATTGCATTATTACCTAACTTTAATAGTTTATTTCACTACTCGTCCTGAAAGTAACCCATTTATGGCAAGATAGTGGTTTACAAGTGAGGAAAAGCAGAGCGCAAGAAATAACTATCGAGCCCCGGAATGGAAAATTAAAATAATGTTGAGTAGTGACAATACTTTCCATAACGATGAAAACAATCACACAAAGCTTCTTGGTTATTAATAATAAAACATTATTCCATAACCTAGTACTCTTTAAAACTACTCTTTAAATAGTACACTTTAAATAGTAAGTTTTACTATTTATTTTGAAGTTAGCTGTTACAGTAGACTCCCTCTTATCCGGACACCTTTTAACCGGACATCGGTTTAACCGGACTACACTCGGCGGAAATGACATAACTTTAACCGGACAATTTTTATCAGGACATCGGTTTAACCGGACTAGATCGGCAGGAAGTGGGTAGTACTGAAACGACTGTTCTCGTGGAAAGATTTGAGACCAGTGATCACGTGTCTAAATACAATTCTCTCCTAAATTTAAGTCAAATATTTGGGTTACATAACAAGTTTTTGTGGACGTCGGTTTAACCGGAAAAAACCGTTATCCGGACTGGCCTCGGTCCCGAGAAGTCCGGATTCTTAAGAGGGGGTCTACTGTAGAACATTATTTCTTGTTTCAAAAGAATACATAGATTAGTGCTCTGTTAGACTAAACGGGAAGATTGTTGGTTTCGGTTTGAGACGTGAAAAAGTCTGTTTTGTACAGGCAAAGTATTTTTTGGAACATGAAAACTAATGTTTATCACAGGCAACATCATCTTTGGAGGGATTGGAAAACTACGATTTTTGTAAAGCTCAGCTGTAGTCGAAAAAGAACTAATTTTGTATACACAGTGATGAAAAAATCTTCTTTGATCTTATTGAAACTATCATTATCATTTGAGTTTCACTAAACAGTTTTAGCAGTTATTTGTGTAAATATTTACTTTCTCCCCTATACCATAGTATATTCAGAAAAATTGTTTTCATCAACATTTTTGAGTTTGAGTGGATTGAGTGGTATACACGTTTTTTTATGTGGAAAAAAGTGGTTTTCGAAGTGATATCCGTGTGTGTGTGTGTGTGGATGTGTGTAGAGCTACAGACATCACCTATAAGTTTGATTTTTATGAAATTTGGTATTTAGGTATTAATTAATCCATTGCATCTCCAGGCATTTTTGATGGAGATTTTTCCATAAAACCCATAAAATAACAGAAAGATAGAATTTTCTCGGAAATGGCCTAAACCATTTTGATAAAATTTTAGCATGTTATAGCCCTTTGAATTCTGAACAAAATGGTATAACTCCCATTGTTGTAAAACTTAGGGTTCTAATTCTAAAGATATTATAACTTATATTATTTTCCCATAATCAGATTTTTTTTTAAACCGGTTGTGATTAAAATTAGTAATTTATGGCCCTTATAATTCTAAACAAAATAGGGCAACAACACCCTTTGCTGTAAAAATTACGGTTAAAAAATTATTGCAACTTTTGTGATTTTCCCCATAAAATGATGAAGGATTTTACAAGCTAACGGGAGAAAGTATGTGTCAGATTGCTTATACCATTTATTTTTATTTAGATCAATGTTTGCCACAGTATATTTAACTCAGAAACTGTTTCAGGAACAGAAAGTTTAATCCACGCAAGAAGAAATGGAAAACAACAAAATCTAAGAATGTTAGAGGTGCTAGCAACAGTAGGGCTAACCCCTCTAGTGGCTCTGGCTCAAGCAGTTATCGAGCAACCGCCAGTGGAAATCACAACACGTTGCAACCGAACCGGACTCTTCCTCCTACCAAGCGGCCCGGCTTCATGCCCGCACCAAGAGTGTCCACGATGAATAAGTGATGTAAAATGTCATCCTCATAACAAAATAAGAAATGGATTTTGGAAAAACGCCAATCTGTGGAGTTAGACCTATATTTCTGATTTTGATTACTTTACATTACACCTGCAGGTGAAGACAACACGGGATGCTTGTATAGTGTAATGAACTTTCTTAATTCATATTCAAGTTTGAAATGAATACCAATGTATTGCAGCTGGCTGAAAGGAACTGGTTTCTAGCAATGAGCAGCCAGGAAAAAATCTTAAGATACATAACATACTGTTTTGTCATAAAAATGTCTTGCAGGTTGGTGGGTGTGAGCATTGGAATTTGACTCATTCTAAGTCTGGTCCTAGAAAGATGATCATAATGAAAATACTTTGATTTATCATGAAACCAATAGATACCTATAGATAGATACCAATAGTGGACCTTTGGATCAACATTTTTTGGGAACAATACTGAGTTTTACTGCTGCCAACAACCTTGGTTGGACTTTAATTGTAATCTATTTTTATTAGGATAGTTTTTAAGTTAAAAATGTATATTATAAAAATTTTATTTTATTTTTAATTAGGTAGTTTTGTTAGTTTTGAAATGTATGTTATAAATTAGTTATACAAACAGCTCTATAGTATTATTTATTGTAAAGGTCTTGAAGACAAATTCAGCGTTACACATTATTTATCTTCCTGGACGTAACTTGAACCATTCTATGATAAATTGGAATTAAGTCATCAGAGACTGTAATATGTCATAACGAAGGATTTATGTATTGTGACTAGTCCAACAGGATAATCATTTGAGTTTTGAATTGAAACTAAACACACATGATATCAGTGTAGCCAAGCTACCATTCATATTTTTATATGTCGTTAGTTTGTAAAAAACATATTTATTATTTTTATAAGCAAAACGCCAAAATCTCAAAAAAATATTGTAATGTAAATAAATTGTTTTTATAAAACTCAATTTAGTTAACCAGTGCCTTTGTTGCATTCAATGTTCAGGACTAAGTGTAGTAAATTCTTTTTCCTACAGTCACCTCACAAAGTTGGCTTCCTTGTACTGTTTATAGTACAGATTTCAGAAAGCTGCTAATTGCTGCATATTTATACTTTATCGTACGTTTTATACTTTGGCGCACATCAGGATTCCAACGAAACAACACAAAACAGCGCGGTTCTATTATGCACTTAATCTGTGAACGCTTGGAAATGGGTTGGCATCACTTACTTTCTGGACTTTTCTTTTAAACGTTATTAAAACATTCCTACGATCTTAATAAACAAGAAAATACCTTTAAAGCATTTTTTAGGCGCGGTAACCACTGCAAATTACAAAAATATACGGAACTATTTTCTCAAGTCGCGGAGCACATTGCTTGTCGAGGAACAAATAGCGGAGTGATACGGACCGGGGACTACTTTCTCTAGGGCACCTATTTGTGTTGCCAGCTGAACCTAAAAAGTGATGTATAGTGTTTGAAAAACTAATTATTTATATGCTTTATAGTGACTGTAGGAAAAATATAATGTGTAACACGAGTGCAAAAGGCCTTTGCTGCACTCAAGATCATTCCGTAAAAGTTGCTCTTGTGTGCAGCAAAGTGCCACTTTGCTCACTATAGTTTGGCCGCTTAGAAAACGACCTGCGCGCTAATGCTAAATTAATGCTGGAGGAGGTCGCTTTCTAAGCGGCCGAACTATAGTTACACAAATAACTATAGTATGGATTTTTAATTATTTGTTGTTAGAATTAAATATTTGTAGTAAAATCAATAAATTAAGCATTTTTATTATATTTTTATTTTATAAAATCTTTTTAACTGAAACAGAATAATCCAGTTTATGATTTACTCCCTATAAATGACCCCCCCCCCATCCTTATTTTTTATTATTTAATCTTTGATCCAACAAGTTTAATTCTAACTAAATTGGATTTCTCAAGTTCAAGAAATGTATTTTCGCTACACTACTGTGAAATTACCTGTTTTCTGATGTTTAAAAAGATTTCATGTTTATCACCTGCAAAAATTCATCATTACATTGATTTGTAAGGAAAACGAATGTTTACTATGCAAAAGTAATGTCGACTATCTTTTTTGGATTTTGCCGACGTTAACAAAAAAAATTTGTTATTGTTTTGTTAACCGTTTTAATTCCCGACAACCAAAACCGTATATTATTATATTAATATTAATTTAAATTAAAAGAATAACCTGAAAATGCTATGAGTTTTGCAATGCTCCTAACTGTAATAAAGAAATATCCAATGTCTGTTTTAATTAAGAAATTATTTGGCTTTGTAGTGTAGCGAAAATTAACGTTCAAAACACGAGTGAAAGTGGGTCTATATTCTCAACCATTAAAAGTGCTCGATACTAGTTAATAGCAATAGCACTTCAAACATGGTCTCAAATAATATGTAATAACTCACTTTCTACTCTTGTTATGAAAAGATACTGTTCTACACATTTCTAAAACAAATAGGTAGTGGATGGTAATTTTAATTGCTTTTATTTGGATAGAACTGTTTACTTTGCAATCAAAATAATATTTTTTTATGAAACAGGAAGGAAGTAAATTGTCCTTACCACGTCAGTTTCAGTTTATATGTGATGTATAAAAACATTATTCTTGAAAATTCACATCAATTAATATTGTTGAGCTCGTCCTTAGATATATTATTTTATACATTATTTGCAATAAATTCCCATAATCAGTGAAAGGTGTGTAGACAAAACTAACTTACACCAGTTAGTTAGTTAAAATTTAGAACAAATCTCTGACTTTTCAATTTCCTTTGTCATACAACTATAATTCTATATACTGTAGTTGTTTGGCTAAATAACAATTTTAGAAACCTTGGGTTGTGATATCTAAGTAAACTTGAATGCACTTAATCATCTCACAATTTAAGAGTGTATTGACACACTGTGCAGTTTGTTTTAGTAATGATGTTTTGACCAAATCGTAGCTTGAAAGAGGAGGAGGCACTTACCCCCCTTCTTCTTGTGCCAAAATACATAGTCCATATTATGATCTAAGTAAAATTTTCATTGTCAATTTCAATTTGGTGGATGAAAAAATTAAACTTTTTTAACTACATCATTTTTGAGGCCCTTGACTTAAAATGCCCGTAAACTAATATGTATGACTTCCATGACAACCTAAATCATCAGAGTTCTGATTATCCTATCTAAACCAGTTCTGACTGATAACCAAGACGAAGGGAAGCAGAGATATATGCAGGTATCAGGAGTTGAGGAACGTTTAGTGTACAGCATTCTATAACAATACAAATGTACAGTCAAGTGTAGGTACCGAAATCTTGGCACATATCTTCCAAGTAAGTCGGTGGTAAAAGTGTGATACGCACTACGTACAGTCATATCACACGGAAATACTGTAAAGTCCCTTTCATTTAGCATTTAGATGACCAGTACATACAGTGTTATACTTTGGTATTTTAAAAACCACTGAAAATATTTTCAAACAAAATTTATTTCAAAACAAAATATAGAAAATAACTAACAGCACAATGCAACAATGTTCAAGACAAATTAAGCTTCTCTTTGAAAAGTTGAGGTATCTCGTATAGTTGGGGTGTCTTAGGTGTGCCTTTCCCTCCGTCGTAGTTCACTGACGGAGCTTCGCCATCCTGTGTTATTCTGTATAACTGGTCCTCTTCCTCCCGAATCACCAGCTTCATGCGAGGTTCCTCATCTACAGGAAGTCCCCTTGCCTTTCTGTCTTGGATTATTAGTTCCTACGATGAAATAAATAAATTGATTAACTACCTACTTGAGTTTATCAATCAATAGAAATATTTAAGATTCATTACTGAATAGTTAGTTCATCCAGAAACCACTATCAAGATATATATCCATAAGTAAACAACAACTATGTTTAGTTATAATAATAAAATCAACAATTTGAATTGTAACCCAGTATAGACTAAACTTCTGCCGATTCAAAGTGTTCATGTAAATCCTATTTGAGTCATCTTCTGCTTCAGAGCATCAAAGCAAAAACACACACAGTTAGTAATTTATTGTATGTGTTTCTGTTTGTTTGGTTTGTGTGTGTATGTGTATAGCCAAAATGTTTGTGTAGTGCCAAATGTGTGTGTGTGGGCCCAAATGTATAGGTATACATGCATGTGTAAGGTTGTGTGTTTTAAATTTGATAGTCTTCAGTGGAGGATGCCTAAAGATGGCTCAGATTTAGAGGCGAAACTAGTGGCTGATAGCAAATTAGGAGTTTACCAGAACCAGGTGCTTACACCATTTTCAGTAAGAATTTAAGCTGGCTACTTATATATTATGAAACTGTGTAACATGATATACGCTATTGATGTTTTTCTTAACAACACAGTGTGTTGATAACATTAGAAATAGTATTTCATTTAATCTTTCTATAGACTTACCTTTAACAGTGGTGGAAAGGAAATTGTTTTTGGGACAGTTTTCTTATTAAGATATACTGACGCTTCTGCTTTTTCTAATAAAGCCTTTTCTTCTGATTTTGGAACCAAAGTGAAATCGGGCGCCCAGGATTCTTGGCATATTTCATAAATCTTTTCAAACTTCCTTCCCCTGAAAACTCTTTCTGTATAAGCTCGTACTTTTCTGGCATCATCTGTTTTCTGCAATCAATCCCAAATAAATTCACTGAAGCTAGTACAAATAAGTAACATGGGCAATATCTATACATGGTGTAAAAAAGTCTTGCTAAGCCTGGGTCAGGCTACTGGGCATTGAGATCATTTGAACACATTATTTAATGATATAAGCTACCTCCTCAGGGGAACGACCTGCTAGGAGTCAGAAGAAAATCTTAAATGTAAACATAGTATGTATGTAGAGCCGGGTTTTCCAAGGAACGGGAGCGGAGAGCGGACTCCACTTGTCTTAGGTAATTTAATGTTACTGTTATCCTAGAAGCGGAGCAGAATGCCATTTTAATTTCTTTTCCGCTCTCCGCGTTCCTCTCTCCGCTCTCCGCTTCCGCGCGTAAGAAAATCCAGCTTAGGTCTACCCCCTGAGGGGTAACATATTACTGATTAATGTGTTCAAATTATTGTAATGCCCAGTATCTTTGTGTCTCTATCTATATATTATCCATCTATATATCTTGTTTTGTAGCTCTATCCATATATTAATAGGCAAGCATGTTCCTTTAAAACCTTTTTTCTCTCATCGTGAGCGTCACAGGGAAAATCTTCGCATACTGTTAAAAATATATTTAAAAAAATAAAAAAAGGTTGAACCTTTTTTAATGAAACTTATCAGCTGACATCTACGATAAAAATATATCTATATCTATATATATCTATATATATAATACGTGAAGCCGTTTTTTGTTAACGCAACTCCTCCCTAATTTGTGGACCAATTTCAATGTTTAAGGTGTCAAACGATTCGTCTCAATATGTAGTTTTGCAATAAGGTTTTAGAACTTTGAAATTCCTACTCTTAAGGGCGTGAGACCCTCTCAAAGTTTGGGTTTTCCCCAAGAAATACATAGAACAAATTTAAAAACAAAAACAGCTGTTTATAAAAAGAAACTCCTTAGCTTTTTGGGAGTAAATATTAATGTTTTTTAATATTGAGTAGGTTAAGACCAAGTTAAACCGGTAATCAGTTTTGTAGGAAGAACAGAAAATACCTCAAGTTCAAAGAAGAAATATTGAAAACGTGAGTAGGAGACAATTAATAATAAGATATCTTATGCGTATGAGGAGAGTAGAAATAGAGAGGCCTGGTCTAACAGACACCCATCCAGATACACATTCACTTGGTGATATGAATAATATTTGCCAGTTATGCTACACATCGATGGTTCTGCTATGCAACTCACTTTGGAAGTGAAAAGATATACGAAGCACATAGTGTTGTCACGGTGGTAAAGTATTTTTGCCTAATGTCCGATCAAATGAATGCATGCAAAAAATATTTACTTCTGACACTGACAAAACAAGATATTTCAAAACATTTAGTAGAATTTACCTACACAATCCAGACATGTCAAGTCAAAAATAAGAAGTTTCAACAACTCATTTGCTATTGAAAGTTTTAGGGGCAATATTAGACCAAACATAAGTGAAGGAATTAGTGTTTATGTATTCAACGATCGAGTTGTTACAGTCAAGTTTATTTTTATGATTTAGGAAAGGCAAATAATATACGCTGTTCAAAAAGAGAATACGAAAATTGCTATCCAAATCGTATAACTACAAGAGTTATCCAACCTATTTCGACAAATGAATCCATACTTTCAAAACGTTGGGACAGGTATTTTAAAGAAACTCAACTGAAAAACGTGATACTGGCAGACAACACGTTAAAATATGTTAACCAACATTCAATGGTGTTGCTGCTTTAGCCTATTCAAAGCAGATTATGACAGTCCAGTTGGCAAAAAATGGAGCACATGAAATGGTTGATATCACCTCACTTTTCAGGGTTCTCCACGAAGAAAATTCGTTTGATTTAGGGGATGTATCAAATCAAAGAAATGAAATGACCCAACTTAAATTACTAAACACAGGTTATCAGTAGGTCTAAGGCAACAGTTTTCTTCAATTCTCAATGCTGGAAAAACTTTGTTGCAACATTTTAACTCAAATCGAAGCAGATCGTTTAGCATTAATTAGAAGTTATCAATTAAAACTGAGAGCAGAAATAATGTAGGTGAACATTGACGACGCAAACAGAGATATTTAAAATTATTTTCTAACAAGTGTTTAAACAACTCTAAGATGTAGCTACAATTACTTGAATTTAAGCATAAAGTTTTCCTCGGCGTTATGTTTCATACTATGCGGCTCATTGAGCCGCACGGGTTCTTTAGTAGGTAAATATTGTTCAGTATCAACAAACAATAAAAAAAAAATATAATATTGAAATGAAACTGTTCTAAACTAACCTAACGAACTAAACTTCCTGTAACAAAATTCTGTTTGATAGCCTATTCCCCATTTGCCTTTTCTGTTACAGAACGGAATTTTGAACGGTAACTTAATTAGCCTACAGCAAGTTTGGTTAGTTATGTTAGGTTAGTTTAGAATAGTTTTATTTCTTAAATAGGCTAGGCTATTTTTTTTTGCCTAAACAAGATTAGTTCTCAATCCTATTCTCTAATACGAGCTATAACTCAATAACTAGGTAATTGAGCCAAGAATAACTTAGAAATATTTTCTATGTCTGTCTGTCTGTAATTTAAATGCGTTTGAATATATTAAAACAGATAGAATATGGACCGTAAAGGAAAACAAAAATATCGATATATCGAAAAGAAATAATCGATAATAATGAATGTTCCCCTTAACAGTAAAGTACCAAAAGTATTAAAGTAAAAAGTAGGCTATATATTAAACATTGTAGATTACACTTTTAACAACATTATAAGTATCTTATCTTATACTAGGCCTACTATAAATCTAAAAGTTTGTGAGTTTGTGTGTTGCTCAATCACGCATAAAAACTGATGGATTGGGCTGAAATTTGGGATGTTTATAGCTCACATTCCCGATTTAAAACATTTAGGCATATTCTTATCTCAAAAATCCTTTCGGGCTCCACCCCAGTGGCTCTGTAGTTCCCCATGTTAACCTTATGAGTACCGTACCTACTTTAAATGGAATTAAAGAATCTAATCAGCTGGTTCAACTAAACAATTTGATTCTGTGGTAGTGAATTAGGCCTAACGGAAAAGGTCCATACTCTCTGTTCCAACTCCTTTTAAAAATGCCAACGGTGCAGACCAAAAAATGTTGATCCAGCCTATCAGTTGGGAAAGAGCAGGGAAAGAACAGAAGGCAACGTACAGTCAAAGAGAATGCTGCAGACACCTACTGGTGCGATAGCGGCATATGCCCTTGGGCTGAATAGGAAGACCCTGTGGAAGGTGGTTGGCTTCATCAGCGGCCATTGGATACTCCGCGGACATCTACACAATATGGGAATTCAAGTTGAAGGCCTTTTATGTAGGAAATGTGGAGAGGAGGAAGAGACAGCCTTCCACGTGATATTTATGTGCCCAGCCCTACAAGGTCTGCGTATGAGATTCCTTGGCCTATCGACTGGAGATCAAAGGGAAGAACAGGTTAGCCTACTATAGTCGAAAGGATGTCATGGTTCACAAAGGACCTGTGATTTGACGGAGAATGAGGACTTGTAAATGAGGGTGCACAATAAGCTGTTCCAACTGTGATGCAATCGCTATCCCATGGATACTTGTAAGTCAGGCCCTCTAAAAAAACCCCTATCAGTTCAAAATACTATTAGTTAGGGCCTAGTAGAAACTCCGCATTACTACCTATAGTTAATGGAATTAACTAATATAGTATACACATTACCTGAGGAGGAGGAAGTGTATCAACTTTGAGAATTCTATAGTAGGTAGGTTCAGGATACCTCTCATAAATGCTGCGCCTCACGATTCTTCCTACCCCTAAGTTTCTCAAGTTTCCTAGAATTTCCCACAGTGTTTTTCCTACATACTTTGTACTGGGCCCAATTTTAATTATTTTTGGCATTTCTGAAAATATATATAGCTAAGTTACAAGGGTTTCAAGGGAGGATAAGGATAAAACTTATTTTGAGTTTTTAAGGTTATGTTTGTCTGTCCGGTAAATTGATAAACAAAAATTTTTATTCAAACTTCTTCGTGTTTTTCCTGAAAAAAGTATGCTGGTTAAAGTTCTATGTAGCTTCAGGGTAACTCTAACTGTAGTTCAGTGTATTATGGCAAATGAGCTATTTTCATCTATCGTCTGATTTTACACATTTTCTAAATTAAATCCAATCTTAGATACGACTGATTGACGTAAACATGAGCGCTGGCAGGAATACCCTCAGGGGAGGCAATAGTTATTTGTGCAACTAGTGAACAAAGGGAGCAATTGACTCACTCGAGAGCCAGAGAAATACTTGAGCCTGATTTACACGGGTCGAGTATGTCAGACGAATTATTCGGCCCAGTTATACTAGGCCCAGTTGTTGATTTGTTAAACTCTCCCGGTACTTGACTGGACCATGGTGGAAGTAAATAATGTAAATGTAATTCTGATAGAACACATTTTTAGGAAGTTAGCTTTCTAATTAATTAACAGCTGTGTCTAAGGAACATGTCGGCCTTAGTCACTAACAAGACTACAAGATCGCGCCACTCATCCTTCACTCATATTTGGGTTAAAATACGCACATAGTGGCGTCCCCATCTTAAATAATTGAATTGAATTGAATTGAATTGAATTAATGACCCATTGATTAATAAAATCAGTCCAGTATAACTGTATATCTTAAGTTGTTGTACAACAATTTTATAAACTAAATTCTATAAGAGTAGATTTACGAGACAATGCAACACAGTACTGTTCAACTTGTACTTGTACAAAATCACTTGTACTATTCAAATAAACCATTGAGCATTGAGGGTGAGTATGCCTACACGACTCACTGAACTAACCTCAATACTGATCGTTGTGTGTCAGTGTGTGATCGGTGATCGACTCCATCGACTCACTCAGTGACCACAAAAAAATATAAACATAATTCTATGGACGCTGGACTAACTTGATATCAGTAAACAGATGTTTCGCGGGCAAATCGTGGTGGTGGGGGTAGCTACTGGGCCGAGCAACTCGGTTTTCAACTAAATCACTCGACTCGCTCTCAACTGACCTCTTTTTATCAACTCGCCCGTTGCTCGACTCGTCTGCATGTCTACACCATGCGAGTTAGAGAGCGTCGCAGTCAGAGCGAGTGGCAATTCGTACACTGACTCGCCCGCTGTACTCGACCCGCGTAAACCAGGCGTTCACGAGCCGTAGGCGAGTGAGGACTAATTTCTCGAGTGAGGCAATTGCACTTTGCACTCGAGTTGCACATTATATTTTTCCTACAGTTACCATAAAACTAATAAATTGGTAAAGAAACGTGACATATTTTTTACACAGAAGTGAACTTTTAATATTACATATAATGATACAACAGTACAACCAGCTGACCAGCTGATTTACAACCAGTGCTGCCAACGTATTTCGCGCGCATAAGACCTTGTCTGCATATTACGCGCTCTCTATTTCGTGCCTTCACGTTGCAAATCTGGAGTGAGTGAGACAAAGTAATTTAGAGTGAGACAATGTTAACATTGAACATTGTCTCACTGATGAGCGAATCGGCAACATTGCTTTCTCAAATCAGTGAGAGAACATGTACATTGTTAGGTAACTGTAGGAAAAATAGTATTCTTTAAGGGTCCGGAGGAAAAGGCCCTTCGCCACAAACTAGTTAATGTAAAACACGTTAAAACATTATTACAGTGTTGCCAGATAAAAAGCAGGTATAATATAAAAAATAGTTTTTGTCTCTAAATCACATTAAAACCTTGGCCTACAGATTCTCAGGAAGGCTCGACCCACGGCCACCTTTAACTCCAGGCCGCGGCCTTCGAAGTGGCAACGTTGCAAGTAGGGTTGTAACAGCTGTTTGGAAGAAGCTAATAGTGTTTGTGTATTTTCGAAAGCACTTAATCTATATCTATACTATTATATAAAAATCTAATGGTGTCTGTCTGTATGTGTATTACTAATAGTAATAGGTGCAAAAACTACTGAACCAACTGGGTTCAAATTTTACAAAAATATAGCTACCATACCAAGGACCATTATAGGACTATTCACATTTTGATACCAACCGTGGGCTTCGCCCCTTTGGCTTTAAAAGTTCTGAGTTGAGGATTTTAAAAGTAAATATTGATTGGTCTCCATGGCTGCAATAAGAATACTCACAATGTTTACAATTTAAGACAGCTGATCCAATGAAGTTAAATATAATATTTCACACAACTATGTGGTTGATTTATTTAATCTAAAAATTTATCAAAGATGATTTATTCAAAAACTATGTCAAAGATTATAGAAATAAAAAATATATTCTAAAAGCATTGCTGTATCAATACAGGCTCTGCTTTCGATTTTTAAATTGTCTTAAGTGTTATGGAAACAGTAAGAAAATTAAACTGCTTAGATGTTTTGTATGAATTTGGAGGCTACTTTAAATAAATTCGAACTGCTTAACATAAGTTAGATTAACTTAACATAACTTGCACATCACATTGTTTTTTTTTTTATATGTATACTAGGTGAACCCGTGCGAATTCGCACGAATAATAAATTAGGATAGTATAGCAACGTCGTTAGTAGTTGCGTCGTTGTATCGACGTTGGTCTTGAGCTCTATCGTTGACTTTTCGCATGCTAAGGAATTTTTGCTGTTCAGTAGGAGTATTTTGCAGGACGGAGCTCATCATGTTGAAAACCTGCGCGTATGGATTAATATCAACCAAATGATGAGTCAAAATGTGCATGAGTTCAGTGCTGCAAGAGCCATTAGCTTTGTTTAGCATTCTTTCTTAAACAACGGTTTCGACGTCGTAGATATAAACTCTGGCATACGTGGGATGCTCCCCTTCTGACGGTTGAAAAGTGCCAATTTGAGTGATAAATTGTGTCGTGCACCTTATACATGAAATGTCCTCCAACGTAATGTTCTTCAATTTTAGCTAGAGTGCTGACCATTGCGAGCGCAGAGTTGTACGATCTAATGTTCTCTTTGTAGTTTCTCCTCAAATTATTTGCTCCAATAAGTAAGCTCTGGATATAATAGATTTCTTGGTATGGTGGTATATTCCCTTTTCCTTTATGTCAGTAGGATGAAAATCCTTCCCTTCGTCCTCTTTGTTCTTCTCTAAAATGTAGCGCACCACATATCTGACATTTTAATGCTATCTCGCCAAGTGAATGCTGCTGAATTCTTGTATTTGTCAATGTAATTTTGTAGGTACAAGTTGCCACTGACTGCTCCAGCTCCTCGTCTGGACTCCTTATGTTTTGCATTGCTTGCCGTATGTTGACTCGCCGTGTCCGACCGGCAATATTTCTTCGTCGTCGGGCCCTTGACATGTTTAAACGAAAATATAATTTAAAATTTTTTTCGCATCGAGTCCTATAGGTAACATTTATTTGCCGGTTTTCTTATTATTTTTAAAAACATTGAAACTGTCAACATTTCAATACCAAACAAAACAGCTGGGATTTAATATTTTTGTTAACTAATTTATTGACATCTGTTTCAGTCAAATCAATTACAATGTTATCCTTATGGAAGGAACTTTGAGGGCAGCCCACGCCCTTAAAAAGATATATTTCCAAAATATAAAGCCAGTTTGCACATCTACACACCTAGACGAACTTTTTGGTATATAATATGTGTGGTTTAATCTTAAAACAACAAAGCCTTATTGTTCACAAAGTTTCATGTCGCGTATTAAATATATAGATTTAGGTAAATTTAGTTATTGTGTTTTGCTAAACCTATGCTTTAATCAAACTAAAAAATATCATCAATAACTAAATTGTGTTGATTTTTGTGTTCTAAAATCTGTTGTATATGTATAACTATATTTAATTATCAAATGGTAATACAAAATACTCTTATTTTATCTTAACATAGCTTTCAATTCGCATTTACTTTATTTGATAAATTTACTATTGTGTTTTGCCACACCACTGATTAAATTAAACCAAGGAAAATATCATAAAACTAAGCAGTACACAGTGTTCTTTTGTTTCTAAAATCAATGAAATATCTGTTACTATGTTTACTCAATGGTAAGTGTGAAAATGTAAAGGCAATGGATGATGGAACTGATTAAAAGAACTGGTTTGTATATTAAGTTGTCTGTTGATATTTTTGGAGAGTAGAATCAGAGATGCAATGAAACATATAGGTACTGTATTTGCTATTACATTTTTTAGTCCTTGATGCGTTGATAATCATATTAGTTTTGTCTGCTGTCTTTAATGCTAAATCTATAATATTAAAACGAAACAGTGTTTTTTTATTTCACGATTCTGAATCAACCACACTTTGAATAAATTCATGTAAATATTCTGAAGGAAGACCAGAGTATGTACCTGCTTTTATTAAAGGAAGTCTCTCTTTTAAATCATCAGCATGTTTTTATTGGTTATATGTGATTTAGGATGAGAGACAATTTGTGTTGATGTAAGGGGTTTCCAGTTGGTATGATTTTGATGTGTTTCTGGATTTAAATTTAACGAATTGAAGCTTTGTAACAATTATTGTTCATGCTCTATTATTGTTCTGTTTTCGTAAAGGTTTTGTGAATGTTTAGTTTCAGGTTGTGTTAGGTCGTCAGAAGAATGTACAGTGTCATATGTTGGTTCTTGAAGGGTATTCTAGAATTTTAGAAAATCTCTAAACTGTTCTTTTGTTTGGTCTTCTAGAATGTTGTTAAGTTAAAGAACAAGTCTGAGCGAAACTAGCATGTCTAAATGCAGTCTTGAAAACATCTTTAGTGAAAGCTAACTTTATGTTATCAGATTAGCTAGGGTTTCGGTTTCAGGGATGGTTGGGAGTTGTATTTTATATTTACAAGCTTGTTGTAAAGCCTCAGTTTTGTTTAAGCTATAATGTCAATATTAACAATTTAAAAATCTAAATCCATAAATTATCTTTCAAGTTTTAGTACTACGATGAACCTACATAAGTAATTTTTACATTTGAGGGTTTTAAACGTTATGAGCCTAGCTACATTAATTAATTATGAGTTTTTGTATTTGTG